TTTTAGGGCCAACAGACTTGGAGGGGGAAGAAGTGTGAACGGACATGGGTTCTTGACGTTTGGTGGGAAATTCTCTTAGGGTTTCCTCGAGGATCACCAAAGTGGCCACTCAGTAGAATTCTTCTGTTTAGGTGACTTAAGTTGTTCGGTATTTTGTAAGCCATTGTCGAATCATCTCGTAACCTCCGGTAGATAAGAGAGTGTAGGCCTAGACCTTTCAGTCTATCCTCATATGGTTTTCGTTGCATCCCATCAACCCCTTTGGTGGCTCGCCTCTGAACTTTCTTCAATAGGTTCGTGCCTCTTTTCAGTTGTGGTAGAGCGAAGACGTTGTGGACCTACAGGCGGGGCCGTATGTAAGTCTTGCAGAGGTTCAGAAAGAGCTCTGAGGTAAGAGCACCTAGTTATCAGCGCACAAAGTGTAGTACAGCGTATGCTTTTGAGGCGTTACCTGGGTAATTGGAACTGGTGTCCAGTTTCTCCGTCACCATTAAACCCAGGTATTTTTCTGCTGCGGTATGGGAAAGACGTGAACCACAGAGAGAGTGGGCTACTTTCTGGGGATCAGGAGTGCGGAAAAACATGGACCGACACTTATCCAGGTTAAATGCCAATTCGCTATTTGTTGCCCATTCCTCTAGTGTTTTGAGGTCGTTCTGTAATGCACTCGATTTCGCTTCGCAAGTTACTGTCCTCCATAACTTGACGTCATCAGCGTAGAGGAGAATTGGAGAGCTGATATGCAGCGGGAGGTCATTCGCGAATAGTAGGAGCAACAGTGGACCCAGGATTGCTCCCTGAGAGACACCGGATGAGGATATTCTCCAAGTTGAGTGGACCCTGTTGACTTTTGTGCAGAACTCTCTAATGCCTAAGCAGTTTTGCAGCCACGATAGCACCTGGTCACGGGTACCTAACCCAGCTATTTTGTGTATTGGGATGGTGTGTGAGACAGTGTCGAAGGCTTTGGCGAAATCCGGAAAAATCGCGTCTTTCGGGACCTTGGGGTCGCAGCATGCTGTCCAGTGATCATGGGCCGTCAGGAGGTTGAAAGCACAGGATCTACCCTTTCGAAAGCCATGTTGAGCGTCGCTGAGTGCTTGTTTCTTGCCTAGATATTCCCTGATGCGGTCGTCTATCACACTTCCCATAACTTTTGATATTACTGGTAGAAGTGCTATAGGTCTTTAACAGTTTGGATTCTGCCTGTCTCCTCCTTTGAAGATAGGAGAGAGGATGGCCCGTTTCCACTCTTGTGGGAGTTTTTGTTCGTCTAAGGAGTGTTGGAAGAGTTTGCAGAGTGAGCCACTTGGGGTGCTCGCAGATTCTTTCAACACAGATGGGCGGATGTCGTCGCACCCTGGGGATTTCCCCGCGCTTACCTTTGATAGCTTGTCGTGAACAACAGCACGAGGTATCTGTACTTCTTTTAACTCTGCAGCGTCGGATAACGTTAGCGGTGCTCGGGTAGTAGTTATCCATACTTTTCTGATGGAATGTTGAGCTGCATGTTAGATTTGGTGCTTAACATTTCGGCAATCTCCTGTCCAGAGAGGTTTTCTCTGTTCGGACCCTTTACGACGCACGCTCCTTGGCTTGTCGATTTTGTCTTTGGCATGAATCGGTATGGGTTTTTAGGGCTTACTTCAAGCCTCTTGGCAAGGTTGGACTGGAATGACTCCCTGTCTCCCCGCACCCTGATGTAGCTTCGATCCCGTTGAGTCATGTATGCATCATGGTCATCCACTTCCCTGGAGAGTCTCCATGTGTGCCATGTCCTTCTCTTGGCTTTTAGGAGGCGCTCAGTGCCCCGTTTGACCATTAGGTCCGCTTTCTGGTTGTTGTCATCACCAAGGGGACATTTTGCGAGATGGCCGCCTTGATGATATCTTTTACCAGTTCCCAGTGCTGGTCGACCGAAAAGGATCATCAATCCACTAGCTGTGGAGCTCTTGATAGGCTTTTGTTCATACCTTCGAAGTTTGCCCAGTCGTAACAGAGGTGGTAAGAGGTCCCTCCCTCACCGATTACCAGGTCGAACACTACCATTGCATTGTCACTGCTTCCATGAGAGGTCTGTACCTGAACGTTTTCAACCAGAAGGTGATCACTGGTCAGCAGGTAATGCAGCTAAGATGGTTTACCATCTGACCCCCAGAAGGTGTTGTCGCTAATTCTTTCGTACACTCCAGCCATTTGGATGGCATTTAGCAGGTTACCATCCAACTTCCTGCTGTGGGTCGTGCCATCTTGCTCTAGGTTGAGAGTTGGAGCGTTGAAGTCGCCAGTTATTAGAATCTGGTCGTACCCTATAGTTGACACTGTGGATATTACTTGGAATTTATCGTCCGTATTTTTATTGTCTGAGTTCATTGGGTGCATATTCGTCAATGCAAATTTATTTATTACGCAATACCTCTTATTTTAGTGATAGCTATTGACAGCTATGCTATCACATTTCGGTGGTTAGATTGAAACTATATTGAAGTCAACACAAACGAAGCGTTTGTAAATGTGAATATTAGCTTAGTCCTAACAACAAGTCAATACCTCACTGTTTTATTTCAGGAGTTCATGTCATTATCTCAAGTACACTGGAATTTTGACACTATGTTTATTCAGGGCATCATAAACTCTTCTGTGAAGTGAGAGGACTAGGTTAGTCATGGGTAACAATTTACATTTTTAAACCTGGATCTTCATCAGTTTTCTAAGGGAATACATAAAAGTACAAAAAACTGGGTGCATATATATATTTAAGATATTTTACTTCACAAAAGACGACCCTTCAGTTTTAATTAAAACTCAAGCTAATCAAGCTCTGTCAACAAACGCGTGAACGTTCATTCAGTAGGCGATGAGCCACACCTGTGTGAGAGCTTATTATAATTACTGGAAGCCCAAACCTTGTTATGTGGAGTAGGGCTGTAACTTGTGACACGGGTTGAAAGTCGAGTATCTAGACCAATAAATCACACTTCTAGTACTGTCTCCGCATCACTGTCGTCAAACTACTCGACAAATTAGAAGTAAGTCTCATGAGTCCTTTGAAGGTAATTTTTTTTATTGGTAAACGCTCTAGGTTGAGAGTTGGAGCGTTGAAGTCGCCAGTTATTAGAATCTGGTGGTACCCTATAGTTGACACTGTGGGTATTTCTTGGAGTAGTTTTTGGTTATGTTCCAAGTTGCTATTATGGGACTTGTAGATTGCTTCAGGAAGGAATTCGGTGTTTTGACCGTGGAGCGACACCAGATAGAGTCTTGAAGCTCTATCATTATAGTATCAGTGGTTTGTTCGCTTCTGAACAATCTATTCAAGTGTATTGCAACCCCCCTGTGTCCCTATGTTCTCTGTCTCTCCTGTTCAGAATCATATCGTTTCTGTCAACCTCAGTGCCAGTTATGTCTGGTGACAACCATGTTTCTGTCAGGATCATGATTTTCAGGACGAGTTCGAGGAAGAGGGATCGGAGCTCTTACATTCTCCTTCGAAGTCTTCTCGCGTTGCTGCACGGACGCTTGGAGTTGTTTCTCGTAATGTGAGATGTCTCAAAGTTAACTAGTGGCACAGGTTTGGATGTGAGGATTTCTACTGACTGGCCGTCTCCAATGGAACTGGCCCAGCTAGGCTTTTTCCCGGGTCGATTCGCGCACTCGTTGTTGGGTGGAGGTTGCCGGTCTGACTGTCAACGTTTCGGTTTACAGTTACGGTGGACTGAGCACAGGGAGTACCTGTTGTCTGTTGTTGTCTCAGTATTCTCGGTCTGCTTTCACAGCAGGGAACGTTACCGCTTATGGTGATCTTGACTTTGTGCCACGTCTCTAGCACTCCCGTGAGTACTTCTGAGGATTCAGAGTTGACGGCCATTAGTCTAGGTTAGGTTATGGTTGTCAGATGCGAGGGGCGTGGCAGTCTGCTAGTTGCCGCAGCTGCAGCCCCACTCAGCTCCATCCCTGCTGATAACCACTGACGTTGTTGGACGTCATGGGTGTACTTGTCAACTAGGGTACCGGTTATCATTTCGGGTATTCCGTGTACGACCTTAATCGTAGGTCTCGGTGGACCACCTGCTTCTCGAGACGTCTACCCGTGATCGGTCAGGTCTAGCTCTAATGCTGGGCGATCTGTCGGTGACCAGGGTGTGTGACAGTAAAAGGAACTTTTCGGCGTCTCTAGCTGAGCAAAGGGTCACTCCCGTCTGCGGTGGCTTCCCTGTGGGTGAGTGGGTGCCTTTGTACAGTCGACACAGTTTTGCATCGAGAGCGCCCAGACCTGGTATGGCACAAAGGGAGTTCCATTGCTGCCTGTCAAACTTGTCCTTATGCTCCAGAAGGCTATCATCACAGACAGGAAAGTTAAACATAATGACAGAGCCAGATCAGTCAATGATGCCAGCATTATCCGATAACATGGGTGCGTTTTCAAGGATGCGTCGAGCTTTTTTCTCCATCCTGACCCACTCCTTATATTGTCCGCTGGCTGCTGTCTCTGGTACGGCTCCAAGGCTTGAGGTGGATGCAGTTGCCGTTGGTGTAGGCGGTGTTTTGTTAGGCTTGGAGCCTCTCAGGTTTTTGACTTTCAGTATGCCATTGCCGAAATCCTCTAGAGGGTAAATATCCTCCTTGATAGCGGTTTGGACGGATACCTGCTTTTCGGTTGCTGGAGATTTATCGATTACTCTAAGTAAACCTGAAGCTAGGTGCGGTCTCAGACGTTACTGTGGGCAAATGTGCCAAAACCGCGTGCACGAGTGGTGCGTCATAAAGCTATAGTACTGATGTAGCACTTCTTTGTCACATCGGCAGTGCACCCATCTGTGGCAGCTGTTGCGTTCAAAGGCTGAATCACTTTTGTTGACAGTGAGGGCACATGTGTGGCAGTTGTCATCATGTCCATGTGGTTTTTCTAAATGCTTCCACTCTACTGTTTGACGTCTCACTGGAGGCAATTACAGATCCAGAACATATTCCAACCTTAAGTTTGAAGTTTACTTAAATTTGCTGCCAAATATGAACGTTAGGTGTACGGTGCTTTCGTCCTTGACCAAATGCGTTGATCGTATACGCAACGTTTGTATTTTAGCTCATGTTGATCATGGTAAGTGAACTAGAAAATTTGTAATGAGTATCATGGATTGAGATGCGAGTCACTCCACTTCTTGTTAAGCTGACGTCAGGGTGTCAACTATCCACTTAGATATCCTTACGTACTATCAACCTCACCTAAGAGTGTACTTTCTTCAACTTTTATTGTCGCATTTTATGCATTTTATAATCATGACCCTTTGAGTATCCTAGTCAATATTTTCGAGGAGCGGAATGCGGGACAATTGGGCGAAATTTCACTAAAATCTCAGGGAAAGGCATGGGAACCTTGTCCCATCACTACTCGTCCATCATTGCATTTTGCCTCTCGTCCATTCGTTCGCTGTGCATTTTGTTCCTCTTTATTAGCTTACCTGGCATCCGACTTACCATTTTGTTTCACGTATTGGTAGTCATTTTCCAAAACCACTGAGCCACAGTTCCACTTCATCCCTAGTTCAAGTTGCCACAGTTCACAACAAAAGTGGAGAGATTGTATAATTAGTTTTTATGCCTAGGAGTTTTGATTGATTAACTGAACTTAAAATTTACAGCAGACAAAGTGACAGTTTGCTACGCTAATATACATGAAATCGTCCAATGGAATAACTTATACACCTGTATAAGCATTAAATATACTTAAACGAAGGATTTCTGTAGTCGTTTGGTTAAAAGATAACCTGGTAGATTTGATAGCATCGTTCAGACGATGGAAACTATCACATTTAAGTGACCAGACAGACTTAACAGCAATATGCCGTCGGTTTGAAGTTAGTTGGAATCGAAATCAAGGCATTATGATTCGAAGTTCCTTCATCATTCTGATAGTTTTTCATGGTTTCTTGTCATAATTTTCATTGTATCTAGGCAAGACTACTATGGCTGACGCTCTGTTGGCTACTAATGGGATTGTTTCTTTGCGCCAGTCAGGGAAACTCCGTTATATGGATAACACTGAAGCGGAGCAAGAACGTGGAATAACAATGAAATCTAGTGTAATTGGCCTCATTTTCAATCGGAATATCTCCTCTACAGATACAGAAAGTGGTTCCAATTGTTATCTCATAAATTTAGTGGATTCTCCTGGACATGTGGACTTTTCTTCAGAAGTTTCAACAGCAGTTCGATTGTGTGATGCTGCAATCATCGTGATAGATGTCGTTGAAGGAGTGTGTCCTCAGGTAAGATATCTGATTATTGCATAAGTTTTCTTGTAGACACGTACAGTACTTCGTCAAGCTTGGGATGAAAGACTTACTCTTTTGCTGGTTCTTAACAAGATTGATCGCTTGATTTTGGAGCTAAAGATGACCCCTTCGCAAGCTTATGAAACAATGTGTCGAGCAATAGAGCAAGTTAATTCAGTCCTTGCAGAGATGTTTTCTGCGGATATGATGCGTCAAACAGATGACGTGTGGCAAACGAACCTCAGCAAACAAGTGAGTGTAGATAATGTATGTTAATCTGAATCATTTCGACAAATCACTCAGTCCACATCAACATTGGGCCCACCATCACTGCTGCATCACGGTCCAAATGTCTACACCTAGCATCGGTATAGCGAGGTGAAAAGTAACACAAATGAAGTCAAAGCAAACAATATGATAGACGGGTAATAACACACTCCACCACGCCCCACGGTCTGCCGGGCCGGCGGTGTTGGTTCACTTGTCGTTTCCTTTCGACCATCCGGCCCCAAAAATACAAAAGTTCAAAATAATCATACTCAAAAGGCTGGGTGTGACAGGCCTCAAGCAGATGTCCGATGGGCTCTGCGGTCACACAAATCTCTTTCAGGTACCTTAAGAAGAAATAGCCTTCCACGGTGTGGGCAGCCGGGAAGTGTCAACCGCCCTCACAACTCTGTCAGCACCCAAGTTTCTTCTGACTGCTATCCTCCTCCTCCATCATTACCTTCTAATCTTCCTTCACGTCTCTTAATTAATGATGCTGCATCATCTTCAATTTCTCCTACCTCTGCAGCCTTCGACAACGATCTGAGTCCACAGAACAGCATCCCTGGTCTCCTTAAACCACGCTCCAAATTACATATTGGAGCCTTCAATGTCCGCACCCTCCGTCAAATTGGCCAACAGGCTTCGTTGGCAAAGACTCTAGCAACTCGGGCATGGATGTGTGCTGTGTTTGTGAGACACGCATACAGGACCCAAGTGTGGTTATTCACCTGACCTCTCCTGACCAATCTGGTGAATCTGCAAAATTCACCCTTCGAGTTTCTGGAGATTCGATAGCTAGCTCTCGTGGTCTTGCAGGTGTAGGTATAGCATTAAGCACCAGGGCAGAAAACTCACTACTAGACTGGATCCCAGTTGATAGTCGCCTCTGCGCTATGAGGCTGAACGGCACAGTGAGAACTAAAAGGAATAGTGAGACTCGCCGTTGTCTCTTTGTAATCTCTGCTTACGCACCCACTGACTGTAGTTCGGATGAAGTGAAGGACGAGTTCTACCATAAACTGTCTAACCTCCTCTCGAAAGCCAAACGTTCGGACGTAGTGGTTGTTGCAGGTGACCTCAACGCACAGGTGGGTAGACTGAGTGAGGCAGAAAGGCACTTAGGTGGCACTTTCGGAATCCCAGCTGAACGTACAGATAACGGTGATCGCCTATTACAACTATGCTCAGATAACCGCCTATTTTTAGCCAGCACAAATTTCAGACATAAAGAAAGGCACTGTCTGACCTGGCGTCCACCGAGCTCGACTCAGCGATGGACACAGATAGACCACATTGCTATTAGTCATCGCTGGAGAGGATCGGTGGAAGACTGCCGCTCCTTCTGGAGTACGTGTTTGGACAGCGATCATGCGTTGGTCCGAGCACGTATATGCCTGCGTCTCAATGGACGTAGAAAAAATTTGGCAACAAAACCACTACGAGTTCTGCTGGACAACGAAAACACCAAAGCCGTGTTCAGTGAGAAGTTGGCTAGGCAAGACTGTCACTCATCCAGAAGAAGCTTGGTGCCATCTTCAGTCTACTGTAAAAGCAGCACTGGAGACTGTAGCCGACTCCAAGATAATGGCTAAAAAGAGCCAGTGGATATCAGCAGCTTCTTCCAAACTAATGGATGCACGTGAATGCATCCCTGCAGGCTCTGAGTACAATGAAGAGCGAGCGCAACTTAAAAATAACTGACGAAAAGTCTGCGCAACGATCGTGAACAGTGGTGGGCAGCAAAGGCTAAAGAGATGGAAAAGGCAGCGGCGATCGGTAACAGTAGACAGTTATTTAGACTTATTAAGGAGACTGGGGGGAAATGGTCAACAACAGTTAGTGAGGTTATAGCGGAGAAGGACGGATCGGCGATTCACTCGCAGGGAAGGCGACTGGGACGATGGGCAGAACACTTTGAGGAACAGTTTAACTGGCCTCCAGCCACCATTGCGCTGCCCGCTATCCAGTCGGACCCTGAATGGGACATAGAGACAGGTCCCCCAACACTAGAAGAAGTTGAGAAAGCGGTAGGTAGCCTGAAACGGGGAAGGGCAGCAGGACCAGACGGACTACCTGCTGAGGTATACAAGAATGGTGGTAGAGTTCTCTTAGTCAGGCTAACGGAAGTGTTAGCCAGTATATGGGAATCAAATACGATCCCCTCCGACTGGTCTAAGTCACTCATCATCCCAGTCTTCAAGAAAGGCGAGAAGTCCTCTTGTGATAACCACAGAGGAATCAGCCTGACAAACATAGTGTCTAAGATCCTAAGTTCTATAATTCTCCGACGCCTGAGTGGAGCTCGGGAACAGCAAGCCCGAGAAAACCAGGCAGGCTTTAGACCTGGCCGTGGATGTATCGACCAAATATTCACACTGCGCCAGGTCCTGGAACATAGGCATGCTTACAGACGCCCGACAATAGCTGTATTTCTCGACCTGACTCCGTTGATCGAGAAGTCTTATGGCAGTGTCTGTCACTGAAAGGCGTGCCTAGTAAGTACATCACCTTATTGAAAGCTCTCTACTCGAACACTTGTGGGCATGTTAGAGCCTATGGTGAGTTGTCCAGGGAGCTATACTCATCAAGTGGTGTCCGTCAAGGATGCCCACTATCCCCATTCTTATTTAATTTTATCATAGATATTCTTATGGAGGTTTCCCTCTCGTCACCTAATTACAAGACGTTGACCCGATCACAGGTGAATTTTCCTTAGATCTAGAATATGCAGATGACATAGTCCTGTTAGGTGAAGACGCTGACAAGATGCAGAGTCTTCTGAACACTTTGAGTGGGAATTTGAGAATGTTTGGGATGCGATTTTCACCACCCAAATGCAAATTTTTGCTCCAGGACTGGTCTTCAGCGGTACCGCGGTTAACAATAGAGAGTGAAGTGGTTGAGTGTGTTGACCACTTCACTTACCTGGGAAGTAGGATCAACCCGGTGGGTTAGTTGCCGATGAGATTTCTGCACGGATACAAAAGGCTCGATTGGCTTTTGCCAATTTGCGCCACCTATGGCGCCGCCGTGATATTCGTTTGTCTATTAAGGGTCGCGTGTACTGCACAGCAGTCCGCTCTGTTCTACTGTATGGCTGTGAAACATGGCCATTGAAAGTGGAAGATACAAAAAGGTTTCAGGTGTTTGACCACCGTTGCCTTCGTAGTATAGGACGTATTCCGTGGTGTCACCATGTGAGTAATGCAGAAGTTAGGTGTAGAGTTTTAGGGAGAAGAGGTAAGTCAGTCGACGAGGTTGTGAACCTTCATCGACTGAGATGGTTGGGACACGTACTACGTATGCCTAGTCACCGATTGCCTCGTCACACAATGTTGGCTGAGGTGGGTTCAGGCTGGAAAAAGGCCCGAGGTGGCCAGACTAAAACATGGCACCAATGTATGAAGTCTCTGACTGTTGGTTTAAGCCATGTAGGACGATGCAGACTAGGTGGTTGGGGTCCACGGGACAAGAGGAACCAGTGGTTGGAGACCCTAGGTGATATGGCTCAGAACCGAAGTCAGTGGCGCAGATGTATACACACATTATCCTCATCTTAACAACGCTATACCGAATCTCACTATTTTGTCACTCCTCTTTCCTTTCTTCTCGTACTTTATATTTCTTTTGACTGCATTCACTTATCTTCATCCTTCACCTCACTACCTTTTTACTTGATGTGCTGATATGAGGTGTGGCAACTCGGACCGTTACGCAGTAATGCCTGGTCCTATGTTGATAATGATGATGATGATGATGATGATGATGATGATGATGATAACTGCAGTTATCTTCGACCTTTATCATCTAGAGTCTCTAACTATCAATTTAGATCACCAATAGTGACTGGATTAACACTTTACTGTACTCTTATTGGTTTCTCATTTAGGAAACGCATTTATCATACGACAGCCATAACAATAGTCAATAAAGCCTGAAGTTTATTCTGCATTTCAGATGGTGGGTTGTATTTTAGAACGAAACCTACTTCGTTGATTCATCAGTAAAAGAGGTTTGTGAAGTTTCCTATTTGTATAAGTGGTTGGGATGGGTTAAGATATGACTGATATTCAGTTTCTAGATTATGTTTAGTCATATTGGAAACGATTTTGTAGCTCAGGTTAGGAACGACAATTATTTGGTGTTCGAGCTTTGATGTCTGTTCCTCGACGTTTCATCATCAGGTCAGGTGACTTCATCAGCACTTACTTCACGAAGAATTAAAGAAGCATTTGCAAGCTGCATATATGAATGTGTATGTAAGACATTTGCAGTCTTGAGAGTTATTCGGTTGTGCATAGGGGTAACTTTCTCGATCACGTCTTGACCTTTATAACCTAGAGTTTTCTCATGTTACAGTGAAGCAATAGAATGTTACGAGCGTTGCTATTTGACCTATGATACTGACCAAATATCCGATTATTGACTCACTTTTTGATTTTTTGTTGGTTGGTCCAATCCCTTCTTAGTGGTGTCTATATTGGGTCAGTGCGCGTATGCTTGCCAATTGACATTTTATTGGAGTACTATGCTTCCAGGAATCCCTTTGTACTTTGTTTTTGAGTTTGTGTGTTGTTCCAATCGAAGTTATAGTCGTTTTCGTCTATATGCACCGATATCAATGGTGATGTACCTTGTCATTTGACTGATACTTGATGTTCATAGTATCCTTTCGACTATCCGACAACTCGTTTTACCAATGTAGTGATGTTTACATTTTTTTGACTAATTCTGTTGATCATATTGATCAAGAAACGCAAAATGTTTTTAATGTGAATTAAAAGCTTTGAGAGTTTTGGTTGCTAAGATTAATCGTGCTTTCTAATTCACTTGTTTTAAGGGCATATGTCGTTGACCAAGCGAATCCAAGTTGCAAGGTTTGATCATATGGATTACTTTATATCTCCGCTTCAGCGATCATTTCAGATATTGATGAACACATGGGAGTTCCCGTGGTTTCTTTGTACTTTCCCCCTGAACCGTATATACGTCAGAACATTAGTTGGTTCGTTCCATCAAGCTTGTGGTGGTATACATTTAGAGATTCTGATCATTTTTGTGATATCTGGGTTGACTAATGTGAAAAGTACACTTACACTTAACGAGATTATTTTTCTATTGTTTTTCATCTTGAGATTTTTAAAAAATTGAACCTTAAGCTAGTAGTAGTCTAGGTCAAATGGTGACTCGGAATATTTCGTCGCTTCAGTGTAATACGATAGAAGTCTAAGTTATAAAGATCAGCACGTGATCGAGCAGTTCACCTTTATCCATAGTCGAATAACTATGAAGGTCGCAAATATCTTACGTACAAATATCATACAACTTGCAAATACCTCTTCAATTCTTCTTGAAGTGCTGGTGGTGAAACGTCTGACAAAAAGTGAAAGCTGAGAGAACATTGAACACCCATCTCATGTTTTGCTACTAAAATTTTGACGCTAAAGTATCTTACTTGTTTGTAGGTGAATGGATAGTCAACGTATGCAGTACTTTCACTTAAAATTCGTCCGATGAAGATACTTTGACAAATCTACAGCTTGTCAGTATTTTGATTATGAGTTTACCTCATCTGTTGAATATAACATTGAATTTTTCTGTTAGATTTAGTGTTCTTGCCGTTAAGTGCACTTTTTCTGTGTTTGTCATAGCTTTTTTATTTGATTTCAATCCATCCTAAAGTTTACTGTGTCCTCATTTTTACTGTACTGCTAAATTTATGAGAAGTGATAGGGTGTCAATTATTCATTATACCTGTTACGAAGCGTAACCAAAAAACATTTCAAAAGGCACAAATAGTAGGTATAAAATACAAGGGATATAAGCATCCCTATAAAAATCCTGGTGGTCATTTCTGTTATATTCAGCTTGTATTAATATGTCATGGGATTTTGGAATCAATAATTCTTGTTAAAGGAATAGTTACTTTTGTTTGGTTGATTTGTTTATTAGTATTGATGGTGTGATTTGTTTGGATAGTTGCCAAATGGTGATATGCTGATGAAAGTTGACTTTTATTATGAACTCATTTTATTTATGCCCCCGATCATATTTTCTTCTTCAAGCACATAAAATATTTCACGTTCAATGCAGTACTTTGGATTAACACCTTAATGGGCTTATTAAAGTTACCTATCAGGATATTTATGTGCAATGAAAGAGTAAGGGAAATTTTTAGAAGGTAACCAGATAAAAATCATGTGAAAATAGGGAGCACTTTGTCCTCAGGATCAATACACACTGCTAAGCAACCCCCTCTAGGTATTAGCCTGTCAAACAAACGAATTTCTAACAAACCATTCACTTAAAATTTGTCAATGGAAGTTCAAATAAATTTTTCTAATGATAATATGTTTATTTAACTGAAACTGTCGTCTTTTTAAGCATATTTAACGGTCAGTGGTTAAATTTATATCTCTGGACACTGTTTGATTAAAATTTTCACATAACAGTTTGAAAATAGTTTATATGCATGCAGAGGGTTTTGATAATCGTTCAAATTAATGTTTACACATTATAACGCTATTAATTCATTCATGGCATAAGGCAGCGATTACATTAGTGTGTTGAACGCTGAAATAATTTCAGAATTCAAATAATATTATGGAGTGTATAATAAGAAAACTAACATGAAATTATGAAACTTAACCTCGTAGCTCAGTTGGTAGAGCATCGGATCGGTAACTCAGTGGTCACTGGTTCGAATCCAACCGCTGTCCAGATTTTCACCTCACCTTCATTTATCAACCGGTATAAGTGAAATTATTCTCTAATAACAATTAGTGTTATTTATTTCAGCCTTTCCTCATATTTTTCCAGTACTTTCTAGTAGTAAGGATCCATTACACTTCTGAAAGCGTAGTAATCTTAAAACTATAGAAAATTCTAAATTGAGTAGATGAGAATTTGAGTCAATACCTATTTTCTTTAGTCTTGTAAAACTCTACTTTTAAATACAATATTATATTCTGCATTTTGATTATTTGAGATAACCGTGGTTTGGCAGACTAGTATTGATACTGGGTGATGATTAAAGGTGAAGTGAAACTATGGACCGTGGCCGGATTCGAACCAGCGACCATCAGGTTTCCGGCCCGATGCTGTAGTCAATATGATGCCCCCCTCTCTAATTGAACTAGATTCAGATTGTGATGAGAAGTCTTGGTTAGAAGCCAGTGTGAATACGATCAAGAGGTATTAACGCATCGCGAATTCACATGGCAGTCGGGCAAACCCATAGTGATAGGAGTGAAGTAAAATTCTAGTCAGCAGTCGGACCTCGTAGCCCAGTTGATGAAGCATGGTCGCTGGTTCGAGTCCGGCCGCGGTCCAAATTTTCATTTCGCCGTCAATCATCACCTATTAACAACATTATATGTCAAGAGATATACACCTAGGGTTTAGACAAACAAACGGAGTCAACATAGGACCTCGCACACAAGTGCATCAGCTCAAGTTGCCAGACTTAATAGTATAAAAAGAACTGGTGAGTGGGAAAAGACTGATATCAAAATAGGCAAAGTTTTGTGAGACAGTTTGAAGCCAGAGGTTAGTACGAATAATTAGGCTTCAGAAGAATACATGTGCGCCATTGCGACCGATTTTCCGCCATGTCATTAAGAGTCCTTAATTACTCATTCCTTTCGTCTCGAGAACCGCAAACGGGCAGACCGCATGTATTCACACGGCTCAGACCAACAGTCATACAATACATGCATTGATGCCATTTCTTAGTCTAGCCATCTTGAACCCTCTTCCAATCTAATCCAACTTTTCCTACTACGGCACCTAAATGTAGGCGGAGACTCGGCATACGCAGTACATGTCCAAGCCATCTTAGTCAACAAAGGCTTACAACCTCATCAATCGACTTGCCTGTCTTGCCCAGTACTCTTCACCTGACCTTAACATTGCTCACATGGTAGTTCCATGAAGTGTGAGCAATGCTACAAAGATATCTGTGATCAGAACCTTGCAGCCTCTTCATATCTCCCACTTTTAATGGTCATGTGTTACAGCCACAAAACAAGAGAGAAGGGACTGCAGCGCAGCAAACTCGTCCTTTGATAGATAGTCAGATATCTCACCAGTCGGCGCCACAGATTATGCAAGTCAGCAGATGCCGAACGGACCTTCTGTATCCCACCCACCCCCAATGAAATTTCGTCAGTGACCAGCCATTTTAACTTCATGCAACTGCGCAAGTAGGTGAGGTGGTCTACACATTCCACCACTTCACTGCCTATCATTAAACTGCGGTTACCTGGAGTAGACTAGTTCTGGAGCATCATCTAACATTTGACAGGTGCCGGTGGGACGCACGCAGAGCATACTCAGATTTCTGCTCAATGCGTTCAGAAAACTCCGCATTTCATCGATGTTTCCATCAAACAGGATAGTATCGTCTACATTCTCCAAATCAGCCACATGAACTTCAGGGAGTACCGATGTTAATGTCTCTTAGTACATTAAAGTAGATAATGACAATCATGTATACGACTAACTGATTTTGTGTCTAAAATTACAAATTATTTCAGAAGATTTCACCTAATTAACACATAAAAAGATCAATATGTTACAGGGATTATTAACTACAATAGCATTAAAGACAGTACAGTGAATAAATACACACAATGGATCAAATGACAAATTGAAATGAATAATATGGGTCAAAAATTGGGAAACGCGTAATCAGATTACGACAAAATATGTACATGTTATTTAGGTCACTGTGTACCTGAATTATTTGACTTTCTTCTTCGCAGATGACTATGAAAGAATAAAAGAATGTCTGGGATTAGTTTTTGCGCTCATAGGTCATGTTTGATGATTTTCATTGCGATCATTTCAGCATTTTGAAGAAATACGCATTCTTACTATGTGTAGTATTTGGTTTGCTATCCTATGGATTGCTGAAAAAGCAAAGTTGATGTCTGCGTTGTGATCAATGGTTACTGTGTGGAACTAAATAGGACTTGGGATTTTTACTTCTCCTTTTGCTTAACATACCGAGAGGTGTTTTTCCCCCGCATGTTCCTATACGATTCTCAGTGGCGTGAAGATAACTGAAATCAACAACTATTGGCTCTAGCTACAATTTAAAGCCATTACGGATCCTAGTGATGAAATACTGTTTCTGAGGTCATCAGTGCGAGGTGCGACGGTAGTAGTTCGCATAAAACTGAAGGAGACATTGCACTTTTCCGTTACATGATTGAAACAACTCAATAATCCAAGGACCTTGCTTTGGGCCTAAGGAGCTCTCATTTTCACTTTTGTAAGAGGTCATACGCTTGAACCCTTGAGTTGTAGAACAGAATGATGACATTTAAGTTTGTACGAATGATATTGATCCGTAAAGATGATTACCATTAAATTTCACTGAGTACTTGACGAATGCCGAAAAATGTCATTACTTGAATGAAGTGAACTCAATTATTACGTGATTATCTTTTTTACAGAATCTTTCGAATGATTTGAAAAATGATGAAAAGGTGTACTACTGGAGTAATGATCTCGGGAAAGCTGATGATTCCAATCTATTCTTCTCACCTGAAAAAGGAAATGTTGTATTCTCTTCTGCTATAGATTCATGGGGTTTTCGTGTAGACCAGTTTTATAAGACATGGTCTGAACGTCTATCTGTTCCTTCTTCAATTTTACAAAAGTCTCTGTGGGGTGATTTTTATCTAACTTCCTCTCCTACAGAATCGAATAAAATGATTGTCAAATCGAATGCTAGACAAAAGCGAAAGAAGTCAATATTTGTTCAATTAGTTTTGGAGCCTTTATGGAATGCTTATCAAGTAAGAATTGGTGTTGACTTTCAGTTATTTATTGTTTCGTATATTCAGTGTTTAGAATCGGATATGAAGTAAGAGGAGTATGATGTCGTTAGCTGAACTAATGTGAATGTCAGTAACGTATATTCTTAATATTTACGACAGTTGGTCGGTAAAGTTTTCTGTTATAAGAAGATAGATGGTGTGGTTAAGTCAGTGAATGTAGAATTACCAAGTGTTAATCAGAACCCAGTTCTTTTCTATTCCTTGAGGAATGTGGATAATAATGTAGAATTCCGAGTTCAATATATATGAATAGAGATGTTCTGTGACAAATGCCAATTACTTCTGTGTTTTTGTTTGATATTTTAGACGTTACTACTGGATGACAAACGAGATAAAGTGTTTGGAATGGCTGAGAAAGTTGGCATTAACCTTGACCAACGTGTTATTCGTAATGTTGATAGTCGTGGAGTCTTGCGTGCTTTCCTGAGTGCTTGGTTGTCTTTGGGTCATAGCCTTATGTATGCTATAACGGATATTTGTCCCAGTCCATCTTCAGCAGTATCCGCTGACCGAGCTGTACATATGCTTTATGGGGATACAGTTTTGTGTGATTTACCTCTTCTGAAAAAAGATACTGCCATTTCAATCGATCAAACTTCTCGTGTACCGATGAACTCAATATATTCGACATCTGGAGCTAGCTTGGGTAAATACACCTGTTACCATTCCTATTCGTTAAGTTCGTCGATGTTATGCTTTGTATAGGTCGCTTACTAACAGCCACGTCACTCACTGAGTATCCACCTTGCCCTGTTAACCTGGTTGGTGTTCTTTTGGCTTCACACATTAGCTCCTATTGACGATCTAGTGCACCTGTATGTATTGTGTATCCTAGATAGTGATATAATATTCACAGACGTAAAACTGCAATACCGTTTGATTGCATATTGGTTTTTATCATACAGCGAGCCAGCATTGTTTACTGGATGGTGATGTTTTCAGCATAATTCATTTCTTTGATTTTGGTACTGTAAAAGCTACGTATGAAGCTACGATAAGGAAGGCATTTGAACCTGCAAACTCACTTGAAAACCAACTGTTTGTTAAAAGTTCTCATTGAACCTATGAGACGAACTAACAGTATACAAATGCTTTTGGATTGCTTATATGGTCAAATTATCAACGTGCTTCAATGAAGTTATCCGAGCACAATAACCTAGCCAAGTCAAAATTGGCATATCACAGTACCCAAGTACTGTGTTTATTCTAATACCGTTTTAGTGTTGGGTGTTCGCAGGTGGGAAGTACTAAGTCTTGGTTTTGCACATGCTGATATTCATCACTATATGTTTTATGCAACCTTATGGAAACTCACCCCCAACAGTTAATAATAATCGAAGATTAAATGAAAACCTGGGTCTCAGAAATTTTCAAACCAGCGACTTTCGGGTCACTGACCTCTATGACCTAAGTTTTAATTTCACTTCCTACCAGTTTACCAAACCATGATTATCTCAAGCAGTTTCGTTAATACGCTCATCCTTCCTTGGAAATTTCAGTATCACCTGTAATCACAGTTGCACTACTACTGATCTATTTTTGGTTAGGTGACTTACTTGGTTGGTAGGATTGGGCCTGTAATGAAGATTAAAAAGTAAGACATTAGTTCTGTGTAGCACCTATGTGTGGAGATTGGATTCTGAAAGTCTTGAACAATGACCCAGAAGGTATATATATATATATATATATAGTATGGTATGGTATAGTATGGAACTAATACAATGAGAAAGTTGCATGTGATCGATACAAAGCATTTGTCATTTGGGTTTTGAGATCACTTCTAGATCAGTAAAGCATCTTAACAAGAAATGACCTTTCGCAACGTAAATCACTTATTATACCTCAAACACTGCTTGAGTTTAATCTGACATTGAGGAAGACAAAATGCACTTCTATTCCGATAAATATTTCCCCTCAGACGATTACTATTTGACATTTTCAATGTCTTCCAAATTCTCATTTATCCCTGCTAATAACTCTGCACTCTCTTCAACTTCCTGACTATGACCTATGCTGCTGATTCGATCTTACAACACAACATCATCGATCGGAGATCTCACTTCAACGTATGCATTTTATATCGAATCAGAAGGCGAGCCTCACTAAGTCTGTAGGACGCCGGTTCATTTATGTTTTCTGTCTCTGTAACATGCACACAAGCGTGGCTGCTTGCTCGATTTCACCTAATCACCATAGTGTGTCTGGACGTTTCTCAGTCTGGGCATTCGCTGCTTCGATGGTCAGTTTCTGAAGTCTTATTGGTGTAAGTGTAGCTCTAGTTTCTAGATCAAATCCCGAGTGAAAGTTGTTTGTATATTTTTCGACTGAATGCTATTGTAAGAATTCAGTCTGTAGCTATCCTCTGCCAATTTATTATTCGTAGTGAGAGCAGAGTTTGGGTGTGAAGAAACATATGGTGCGACAACCCTGTAATCAGTATAGAATGGCTACTCCCTATCGAGTATGCGTAAATCTACGCATAAGTCAACGAAAAGTTCCAAATGAAAGGTCTTTCCAGTCTCAAAACTTCTGTCTAAAACTTGCCTTGACTAAATTTTGATCATACTCCTTGAACCGAATGCTTTTTTGAGCTAACTTATAGCTGTTATTGAACTCTCAACACAGACTTGAAACATTTGCATGTGTTTTGTAACATCGAGAGACATTTAACTGAACATATTTATTCACCGATAAATTAATTTATGTCAACCTCTTTAGGGCAGGACTTTTTTAATCTATTAACCGATCACTGATCAGAATGTCTTTTTTATTGTCGATTTAAGTCTCTGTGCCTTAGTTAACACCTTTCTTTTCTATATTTTAGCTCTTCAAGCATGTGATTCCTCTCCAGAAACCCCAACTATTGTTTTTGTAGCCAAAGTGTTTTGGACAGATAAATTACGTCCCGCTTCAACTGCTTGCAGTCTTTCTGTTACTGATATTAAAAAGTAATCTATTTGGCATTGATATATGCAATACTTTTACCTGTATTGATGAATACAATCTTCTCTTCCAGTCTGTGTTAGCAGATGGGCTCTTGTGTGGATGCCCCGATACTGCCCGGATATTCGTTATATTGTGGTCTACCTGGTGGCTAGTAGTGGAATCCGGGACGCGCGTTTTTTCCTATTTGGGACCCGTCAACTGGTTCCACGTCCACCCCAGTGAGCAGCGTTGTTACTCACTGAGACTCAAACCCGGTACCCGTCGCTTTAAACACCAGTGCGTTATCCACTAGGTATCCACATAGGAGCCCATCTACTAACAGGTTGGGCAGTTCGACCCAACATAGCAAAAGGAAACCACAAGTATGAATAAATATTCGTTGCACAAGTGGTAGCTCTCCTGCCCAACTGGCCTAGTGGATAACGCTTTGGCGTTTGAAGGGATGGATACTGGGTTCGAGCCCCGGTGAAATCAACATCACTCGCTGGGGTACAGAAACAACCAACTGAAGAGTCCTAATCTGTAGTCTGAATCAGTATAGTGTAAATTATCTTAACATATAGGATTGACCAATAAAGTCATTGTTTGTAGGTGTTCGAACATATATAAATTTTCTGTGAGGAGTCTGAGATATAAAAAAGATATAGTAGGTATCAAAACCTAATTCAATTGGCTAGTTAGAAGTCTGAGTCTCCTGCTCATTTCCCCCTTGTTTTTCATTGTTTGAGTCACACCTGAAATGGTTATGTGAAAAAGCATCATTGTGGCACTATTTCTTCAGTTTATGGATAACTAAGCTTCATGGTTTGGTTTTTGCTGTGTGACAAAAATATCTTTACTGTAATCTCATTTTCTGTTTTGGTTGCGATTGTTTCTACCTAAACCTGCTGAATCTATTATTATCATTTCATTCTAAATGTAAAAGTCAGTTGTATTTACATTAGTTAAGTGTAACAGTTTTTAGTGATTGATATGCATCATAATAATTATCGTTTATTTTCAGTTAGTGGTGAAGTGGATTATTTCTGTGGTTTTCAGTGTGTGAGCGCAATCAGTGAGTTATCAGGTTATGAGAGAGCTTGCTTTCTCATTTAGAAGAAAAAAAATCTGGAATATGAACCATTTAAATACTTGTAGCCGCAGATAGTGGAAGGGTCCAGAAACATATGCATATCACCGTAATCAATCTTCAACTGTGTCACCTTCAGTTTGCAAATATTGATTCTTAGCACTTCATGAGCTTTATTCAGGAAGCCTACGTGGATAAATAATATACCTTAGTCTGACCGTCATGTAGCTTTCTTTTGCTTCAGTTAACGTACCACTTTGAAACAGATGGCGGACTCATATCTAGCAGATGTTAAAATTGAAATATTTACGTTATTTGCATTAATTATGTCCTCTCCTCGTCAGTTGGCTTAAACTGATCTGTCTTCATCTCTTAATACTTACTTTCACTGATATTTTCTTCTTTTAGACCAGAAAATACAAATTCTGTTTGCGGTGTACAGCTAAGGGATACTGAAAATTCAGAAGCGAATCCTGTATGTGTAACCCAACCATCTATTCGTAATTTTATATCGAAACAATCCAATATACGATCTCCTTTATTATCTTGCAACCCATTTGTAGATACTGTTTTTGTTGCCTTGGCTCGAGTTTTTAGTGGTTCAATTTATCGTGGCCAAAAGTTGTTTGTTCTTGGCCCAAAGTTTGATGGTCGGAAGGTTAGTAACAATTTTAAACTGTTGTAACTTTTGCTAACGTCTTTATGAAATTTTATCTTGTTTTGGGTAATCTACTAGTTTTTTTTCGATGGAAAATGAATGATATGCTTACAGTTTGAATTCCACTCAAAAGTCTATAGCGTAAAACTTGGAATATCCGGACGATATTGTCGTGTTGGGTAAAGACCATAAAATTCAGGGTCTTCTGAACTCATTGAGCAGAAATCTGAGTATGTTTGGCATGCGTTCCATTGACACCTGTCAAATGGGAGATGATACTTCAGAATTGGTCTGCAACCACTCCCAGTTCTATGATAGACAATGGATTGGTGGGATGTGTCGACCAGTTCCCTTACTTAGGGAGTTGTATTCGTTCTGTCCCCTTGTACGGCTGTTATTTGGCCGATAGAAGTAGAAGATATGAAGCGGTTGCAAGGTTCTGATCACAGATATCTTCGTAGAACTGCTCATCTTTTGTGGAATCACCATATGAGTGGTGTTGAGGTCAGGTGAAGGGTACTAGAAAGGACAGGCAAGTCGATTGGTGAGATTGTGAACCTTTATCTACTGAGGTGGCTTGGACGTGTGTTGTGTATACCGAGTCACCACCCACCTTGATGTGCCATGGTAGGGGAAGTTAGATTAGGTTGGAAGAGTGGTGGGACCAAAACCTGGCACCAGTCGATGTAGTTTCTGACTGTTGGTCTGAGCCGTGTGGGGAGATGTAAACTGCCTGGTTTGGGTCCTCGAGACTAAAGAAATGAGTGATTGGGGACGTGGCTGAAAATCGGTCACAATGGCGCTGTTGTATCCACTTCTTGACGTCTGCTAAAGCTTGAATATTTGCACTAACCTTTATCTTCAGATTGTTTTTTCTCTCACACGACTTTGTCTACTTTGATATCACTCCTTTTCTATCTACCTGTTCTTTCTATACTTCTGTGAATTGTGGCAACTTGATGTGATGCACTTGTGTGTGAGGTTCTACGTTGATTTTGTCAATCTGTGTCACTTCGTCATAGCTTTACGCCATTTGGATTATTCCCGGATTATGTAATCCAAATAACAAATATGATGTTCCTCTTATTGATGAGTACTCACTTATCGTCATTGTACAGTTGATGTCGACTATAAAAATAGACCTTGTTGCAGTTTTCATTGAGTGAATCTTCGTAGCAAAGGTAGTCACAAATTTAGGTCGTCTAAAACTGGAGAAGAGTTAACCATCTTGCCTTCTCTTTTGGATGTCAACATATATTTTAAAGTTCTTCGTTGATTACAGATACTGTCAAACTAAATAACCACCCTAAAGGTCCGATATCACTAAACACTTATTATATAAGAAGTGTTTTAATGAAGTATTTCCAAGTCTCAGTTTATTTTTCCAACATAAATATCCCGTTATACAGTACGTTTCATATGCTAAGTATGCCCAATTTTGCTGTCAGGTTCCTTCATATCTCTTGGATGCAGATCCTGAAAATTTTCCGCTTGGTCCTGTTCGTTTACGCAATGAAGATGACGATTTTGGTCTTTTACCAACAAACAACGATATTAACTCATTTGATGATCTTGGCAAAGCGAGTTCAGTGAATTCTGGTTCTTTTTCTATTAGCCGTTCTGGATCAGTTGGTGGTTCAAGTGATTGTAGATTAACAGGTTCAAGATACTTACGTCATGTTTATGTAGCCTCCATTATTCGTGTCCTTCAATTATTGGGAGGTCAGTCTGATATGGTTGAGATTCTTGAACCTGTACCAGCTGGGAATATACTAGGTCTCACTGGACCAGATTTAATCGCCTGCCTCCCAAAATCTGGTCTTTTGGTTAGTCGGCTGTCTCTGGTTGCCTCAGTTATCAATAGAACGAATAATTCTGAAACTGAATTGGCTCCTGTTCTACCGCTTGCTGGGTTAGCCGTTTGGCATGGTGCACCAGTGATTTCAGTTGCTGTTGAACCTGCATCCGCTGCAAATCCTGAGGATGTTTACAGGCTTGAACGTGGTCTTCGGCTCCTAGATCGTTCTGATCCTTGTGCAGAGGTAATTTTTTTTGTTTTCGTTTTATGCTACCACTGCTTAGGTAGTCGCTTTTTTTGTTGAGGCATGATGCAAATTCAGAAAAGTGTACATTTTGTTTCTGTTTATTGTGTAAAAGGTCGTAAAAAAACTTAACTACCACTGTGGCAATCGGCTTATACATTAAGTTCATATTCACATGTTACTCTTCCTAAAGGAGGATTATCAACTTCAGTCTTGTCATTCTTGTTGACTTTCACTGTTCGGAATGCATTAACACACTAATGATGGTTTAAATTGTGACTGGGTATTCGAACTGCAACTGTGTGATAAAAAATGAGTCTATGTATTCGATAGTATGAAACTGACAGCCAACATGTTAGAAGCGCAGAAAAATTGTATTTTTTGCAGAAAGTTAGTTTTATAGGACGAATGAAAACAACAGATCAATAGAGATAAAAGTAACGCAGGTGTTTATCTAGTTAATTAGTTTGTTGACTATATACAGCTTTTGGTGTTATGAATCGCTTGGTCCCTAATATAATATCTTCCTTATCTTATTTCAAGGTCGACGTACTCTCTAACCGTACTTATTGTAACTGTAGCCCAGTTGATGTCTGAATATAGACGGTCACTTCTACCCAGTTCAATCTACAACACTATTCCTGTAAGATGTTACACTAGGCTGTAAGTTATATAATACATAGGGAGTAGTAGATATATATTCATAAACTTGAGAGTGTAGGAACTCACATTGCAGTATTCAGGACAGAGAATAAGCCGAAGACTCGTGCGCTATTTCCGAGATACACCACAAAACTAAACTTCTGAAGGAGCTCCTACGAAATAGTATCTAACGTTTAACCAGTGGATCACAGATTCTAAGTACAATCCACCTACCATGTTTTCGGTAGCCAGATAGTATCATTTATTTGCATGTAACAGTTATAGCTCATTATTTAGCAAGTGAGCTTTTAATTAGTTGATCAGCTGTTATATAACCAACTAGTTGACATTTTTATTGTTCAGTCATTCTCGGAATATATCACCTAAAGCACAGAATTCACTCTTTTATTTTTTTACTTACATCAATAGGTAACAATTACAGCCAGTGGTGAATACATCATACGTGCGGCTGGAGAGATTCATTTGCAAAAATGTATAGAAGATTTAGTGAAGTACTTTGCTCCTGATGTAGAATTACAAATATCTCCATTCGTTGTACCATTTCGTGAAACAGTTATTGATTCATGTACAACAATAAATTCACCGTCATTAACTTCACTATCCAGATTATCTTATGAAAAAGCTTGTCTCCAGTTTGAAAACTTACTTCAGAAGTTGAATCTCAAGTCGGATATTGTTTGTAATCAACTACACAATCTTAATTTGGAGTCTTCATCAATAACGCGTGAAACAATAGAAAATGATATCAGTAAAACGATTGATAATCTAAAGCTAAACAATACTAGTAGTGGGGTTAGTAGTATTTACAATTTACAAAAAATACATAACGTTAACAATTTCGAAATTACCAACTACCCAGTCAGTGTATTTCAACTTCCACACAGTAAGCCGAGAACAAGAATTCTAATCCGAGTTACTGCTCATTCAATGCCAAGTGAATTATTAGAATGGATTGAACATAGAGGTGCATCGAAAATTTCTCATCTTATTCGAGCATTTAAAAGTAAAGTGAGTTGAAAAGGTTTTCCTTGAATAAGTTGTTTTAACTGGTGTTGTACAAATAAACTTTATTTTTGATGATTCAGTGATATAAAGATTTCAATTCATGAATAGCCAAGGTCTCTGCTGTTTTCAGAAGTCGAACACAGAGGAAACGTGAGATGTTTGAGCCAATTCGATAGACAACCTTAAAATCATTGTTTAGGTCGGTTGAATGGTTGAAATGGATTAAATGTTCAGGGATAGAACTTCAAATGCATTTTCTTTCACCCTTACAAAACCAGGCTGGAATATGTTCTCGTATACATGTTGACCGGAATCTCTGACTAAGGCCGATGTACCTTGCTCCACAGGAGCAGATAAACTAGTAGATACATATGAAGGTGGCCTGTCGAGGGATGTTGTCTTGTATAAACAAACAGAGAACAATTTACGACTGGTAAAGGTCAAATGAAGTTTGGCTGAGATAAAAGTTCTACTAATTAATCTGGAGAGACGATTTTTCAAGATATCTGATGCTGCATCACCTTTAAAGTCTAGATTCATGAACGAAGTTTTTTTTAGAAACTGAGCTGATGACTGGTTTCGCATGTTGATGAGGTTTTGAGCATTCAGCGACTGCAAGACGTGGCACTAATGCAGGAATTTCCTGACTGTTGGTTAAACAAGAACAGTGAATATCTTTGGCGGACACCACTATTTGTCGTTAGTTTTGATGACAACTCTCCATAAGCGCCTACATGGTTGTGCGAGTTCGAGTTGAGAGCTTTGATTAGCGTTATATACTTGCTTGGCACTCCATTCACAATCAAATACTGCCGCAACACCTCACCGTTGACAAAGTCGAATACCGTCTTCAGGTCAAGGCGTATAGCAAGTATCGGCCACTGGCTGGTAGGTATGCCTGTGTTCCAGAACCTGTCGGAGGGTGAAACTATGATCGATGCAGCCTTGTATAGGTCTTGAACCTGCCTGGTTTCTCGGGTTTGCTGTTTTTGAGCTCCACTAAGTCGGATAACTATGAACCCTAGGACCTCGAACACGATATTAGTCAAACTAATTCCCTATGATTGTCACAAGAAGACTTCTCTACCTTCTTATAAACTGGGATGATCAGTGAAGTAGACCAGTCTGACACCACCACCTCCTATACTCTTACACTACCTACCATCTCCGTCACTCTGATCGGCAATTTCCTACCTTCATCCTTATAAACTTCACTTGGCAAACTATCAGGTCCTGCTGCTTTGCATCGTTTCAGGCTCGACACAGCTTTATCAACTTCAGAGAGAGTTGAAGACCAACATCTATGTTACATTCAGGTTCACACTGGATGTTGGGCAACTGAAGCGTTGCTATGGATCAGTCGAACTGTGCTCCAAAGTGTTCATCCCAACGTTCTAGCCGCCTGTCGTTGGAGGTTATGTGCGTCTCATCCTTTTCGGTGATGGTGTCACTCACCATCGTCTTCTCCTTGCCGCTATCCTTAATCAACCTAGATAATTGCTGAGTGTTACCCAACCCTGATGCCTTCTCTACCTCTCTCGCCTTCGCCTCCCAGCACTGCACGCAGTCGACGCGAAAACTCTTGGTCAGTTTATGTTTCAGATGCTTTCGCTTTTTAAGGGGGTCAGAGCCAACTGGAATCAGTCTTATCGTACCATTCAATTTGGATGATGTTTCGGAGACCGGGTGTAGCTTACCAACTGTCTTTACCGCTGTTTCTACAGCAGACTAAATATCACACCAGGATTCCTCAAGATGAGCATTCCTGTCATGTTCAGATAAATGCTTAGTCTACCGCTTCCCTAAATATAGACTTGACATTTTTCATCTTCCAACCGACCATTGACAGGTTTTCCTGTCAGTGAATCGTTCTAAAATTGTGAGTCAATGTACCGTTTCTTTGTTTCAGTATAATTTCCAGTTCATGATGAGTATTTTGCTGTGGTACACTGTATGTGAATCAATCTTTACATATGATTGTAGAGTATTATGTTATGGGTAAAAACAACAAGAATGTTGTTAAAAGTTTAGTTAGTTTTTGCTGGCATCCTTCATAAAAGCTTTACAAGTGTTCAAGATGATCCTAGGTCAAATGAACACCTATGAATGACATTTTGTAATTTGTATAACAATTTTGCGTGTATTTTCTCTTTAAACCGATTGGTTTTTCAACTAATTTGTTACTAATTTTAGTTTATTTCAATAACAACTTACCTTTATTTGTTTATTTTGTACATTTCTTTCAGGCTTCAAATTACACTAAACTTTTGTTTGAATTTGAACAACAGCTGACAAGTGTATGCTCTCAGTTAACATCAACATGTAGTTCCACTTGTTCCATTAATTGGAAACAGATTACAAAATCTTTGTTGGCATTTGGACCAAATCAAACTGGACCAAATATGTTAATCAGTCATCTGAGTACTGATGCCTTTCCGTTATGCACTGCATGGGGTAAAAAGTTTAGTACATCTGATGACTTCTCAGTGGATTCAGAAATGATTGGTAGAAAAACCTATTCTTTACCACTTATTAGTTATGGTAAAGCTCTGCTTCGTGGATTTCAACTAGCTACTCTAAAAGGTCCTCTTTGTGCAGAACCAATGTATGGTGTTATTTTTGCGTTGGAAGAAATTGTTGCAGAAAGTTTAGATAGTTTAAAGTTACCGGATATTGATAATATTTGTCAGGATAAAACACAAGAATCAAATGTTGATTGTCAATTACCACTACCTGAGAATAAGAGTTTTATATCTTCGCCTACCTCCTCAGCTGAACTACCTAACACTCAAATTGCAACTACTAAACTTCGACGTAAATCCAAACGGTTAACATCAATTTCATGGTTAGATGATTATGAAGATGATGATATTAGAAATTCTTATCACAGTAGCTCAGAAGGTGATGATGATTATGACAATGATAACAATGAGAACTGGGATTCAGATTCTTCTGAAGACGACACTCAATCGGATAAACAATCTGATATTGAAAACACTAATGATGCTATTTTGCAAGTAAAATAATCTTTCTTTCTTTTCACAATAATTGTTTATTTATTTTTCATTGTATTATCTATAAGATTCTTAGAAGATAACAGGTCAGCAGCATAAAAAAGAGTATAAGAATATACCTAGAACACACTTCATTTTGGGTGTTTGAAGTTGGTCAGGAAGAATTTTTTGAAACTGAGCGTTATGTTAGTTAAGGTTTCGCAAACCAGGCATATGTACACCTTATTAGAAATTCTTATTCCTTACGGCCTATAAAATCCTGTCATCATTGAAGAAAAGTCCACCTACTGTTTATTAACTAATTCATAAATTAATTGTATGCCATTGAAAAGACAGTAGATTTTTTTTATTGGTTTGGTGGTAGCTGGCAGTGAAATTATGGATTTAGGATTTTGTTCTTTTCTGAATGCATCAACTAAATGATGTGCTTTCATCTCGCTGGGACTCTAATTTAACACTCATCTCTTCAAACGTGAAAGAGTCTTCCACTAATCTACTGAGTCATAGAAATTACTCTTTATGCGTCATTATTTGGGATTCGTGATTGTTCAAGAAAATGTCACCATTATATAATTATTGGTCATATCAGCATATTCTTACAAAGAGTTTTTATACCAACAAAGGCTTATGCTTTCGGTTCAGCAATATGAACAATGGGGAATTCTAAAAACGCCTGTCCTTTGTTGGTGCTTAATGCTTTTATTCATTCTGAGTTAAAGGCATATCATATTATTTATTATTATTATTATTATTTGTCCCTTGGGTTCCTAATGGAACATAGGGCTTCAGTAGCACGTCTCCAATGCGCTCTCTTCTCTGAAATCTTTCGGACCTGGCTCCACGACATCCCACAAACTCTCATTCCCTCCTCGCACGATCTCCTTCATGTCAGCCTCATCTCAGACCCCCAACTCGTCGCTTCCCATCTGGGTTCCACTCGAGTACCTGGCCTGGCGCATGATGTCCCCAATCCGCCTTCTCAGTGTATGTCCAATCCATCCCCACTTCATTCTGCATATTTGTTGGGTGATAGGTTGTTGGTTGGTTCGTTACCAGGCCAGAGTGAGTTCCTTGTTGCTTATTCCTGTCATTCTGGCCATGTGATCTTCAGTAACGAGCCAGCGTAGACAGTTGTTGATGAATATCTGTAGTTTGTTAGAAATGCCTTTCGTAACTCGCCAATTCTGTCAACCACCACATAGAAGCACTGACTCGACTGACGTTGGTGTTGAAAATCCGGATGTTGTTCACGCTTTGTGCTGAGTGAAGTGCAGAAGATCTCCACACTGGTTTTAGGTTAATGAACGCGTGTCTTGCTTTTCCGGTCCTGACTTTGATTGTGCTTTGAAGTTTCTTTAGCGGTTGGATTTGTTTTACGGGGTAGAGTTGCTAGCCCTACGCCCAACCTTCCCTCTTTACCCGGGCTTAGGACCGGCTAGTAACTAGTGAACTAGTTAACCGGGGCATATCATATAGACAACACAAATCAACGTAGAAGTCTTCACAAAAGTGGGAGTTCCTAAACTTGGAATCGAAGTGTGAGCTGTTTTGAAACCCTTGCATCTTTCTTTAGATTGTTTCTTCATGAAAAGTGTATAAATTGTGAAAGCAACATCTAAACATCTAAAATAAAGTAATCGAAATGAATGTGGTATTTAAAAAGCTACTATCATATCTAGAATTACGGTGAAAAGATGCGTGTTTCGACAGTAATGTCCGCAAACTTTGTCCCTTTGTGCGACTGAAAGTCGTTGGAATTCTACATGATAGGACCGCAATGTGTATTTTCCCTTTTATTATCACAAAAAAATTGAAACGAGATCACTCACAACTACACTGGACTCTGAGAACTCAGTTTTATGGGTGATTGATATCTTTTAAATAAAACAGTTGGTGAGATAGGAATATAAAGTTGTGAGTACCCATTCAAAAGTATTATTGCCATAACCGCGAATATTTGTAGCTCAGGAGAATGACTTCGATGGTGTTGTGTTATCTGAGCTGGGTGCTTTAATCCTAAAACCTTCATTGACATTCTAGGCAATAACATCATCAGCACAAACATCAGAAAGAAGTGAGCCATACGGTTTTCTCCACAACTGGCTTACTAGCTTGTCGTGATGGCTTTGTGTGTGATTGATTGTTCCTACTAAAGTCTGCTCACTGTCTCCATATTCATTTTCATTGGTTGTCTTGCTGACATGAACTTTGACCTTCTCGATGTCTTATTGGTTGATGAATTGGGTTAATGTCAATATGTCTGCTGACCGCTGATTGACCTGAATGCCAAGCTTTTAAAAATTCTCTGGCACACTTTGCATTTCCTCTATCCAGGATTTTCACATTTTCCCAGTTAAATTCATCGTTCATAGTTGTCTCTATGCACTAATACGGGCGAAATGTGTTATGACATTTCATTGTTAGTTGGTGTTGATGTAGACGGATACGAAGAGGACAACCACTCCTTCCGATGTAGTGGTTTTCTCAGTTTCGCCTGAGTATCTTGTACACAACGTTTGGCCTGTCTACCTTTACTGTTATATCTTTTGGTCTGCATAACAGAGACTGAAGAGATTTTGTGGGCTTGTGAGCTACAGAGATCCCGAAAGACTTGAATAATCTAGCCATGGTATCGGAGAGGTTCTTCATGTCAGGCAAAACAATCCGAGGATGGCTTCTTGGTTGACGACGAATTATATAAACATCTTTCGATGAAGTTGCTTGGATAACCGTTCTTCTGGAAAACTCGTTGAATAGTTCTCTTCTTTTCTCTACAAGGTTGATGTACTACAATACATTTTCGCCTTTTCGAACAATGTTTTTATACAATGGATTTTGTGAGCTGTTGGGTTGTTCTACTGCAGTTGAGGATTTGATTCGTATGAGTTGGTTTCGCTGCAAACTGTCCACTGTTGAGTGACTGTTATGATTAGTTAAAGAATAGTCATTGAGTATTAGTAACCTTGAGTTTAGATGGTGCTTTAAAAAAATATCTATCTGTCTGAAGTTTTGTGTGATTGTGAATAGAAAAGTTAACACTTTACTACTAATCATCAACTCATAGAAGGCGCCAACGTTTGCATTAGTACACGCTTAAAACTTGGTTACTTTGATAAAAATGCGATTCCATACTAGGCTTGTTTCTTTGATGTAGCATACAGCTACAGAGTATCGTTTACCTGATAATATTTTGAGCAAAATTATAATTCATGATCACATCAAAACAATCATTTTATTTTCTACACTTAATTTTTGTTTTATAACCTGTCATTCTTTTTTAATGTTTTTTAAATGGTAATGGAATTTTCAACACCCTCTTATTTACTTTTAATGATGCAGCACACTCGTTCTGGAAGTGTTAAAAATTTATTACCACTGAAAATAAAAAATAAAAGTTGATAGATATATAAAAACCAGATATCGGAAACTAGGCATTTGCTGTGATACGATTATCAGTTGGAACCGCCATCCGGTGAATGATACTGCATCACTGTGTACCAACCATATCAAATAAGTAGCGTTCGCATTTTATCAATATCGAGATGGTATAAATGACAACTTAGGCAACTCTTGATAATCAAATAGACAACATTCTTGTTTCAGCCTTTTAAATAAACTGTCTGATCGTTGGAGGGAGTACCGAGACCGAGCAAGTATACAACGCTAATCAAAGCTATCTACAACTGTGTAAAGTTTTATGAAGAGTTGTCATATGAACTGACGACAACTGGTAGTTTCCGTCAGAGATGCTGTCTGTCATTGTTCCTGTTTAACTTCATCATAGCCGTATTAGTGGACATAAACTTAGGTAATTTTGACTTCACGGAATTGATCTACTCCCTGGAGGTCAATCTGGTTGACTTAGTGTACTGAGACGATATTGTTTTGCTAATTGAAGATGCTGATAAAATGTAAAGCCTTCTTAACGCGTTGGGCAGAAATCTGTGTATGTTTGGCACTTGTTAAATGTTAGATGATCCTCTGGAACTGGTCTGAAACTACTCCTAGTTTAAAGACAGGGGGTGGGATATGTTTACCATTTCACTTACGTAGGCTAGTTGCTGATGAAATCTCAAGTGGGATACAGAATGCCCGTTTGGGATTTGCCAACTCGCTTCGTTTGTGGCACCGACTGCCGAAATATCCGACTACCTAGGAAAGTCCGTGTGTTTAGCGCTGAAATCCATTCTGTCCTGTTATGCGGCTGTAAAACGACCGTCAAAAGTAGAAGACATGAATTGATTACAGGGTTTTGATCATGGGTGTTTTCGTAGGATTACTCGCTTTTGGTGCAACCATCCTATGTCCAGTGTTGAAGTCAGATGAAGGGTATCAGGCAAGTCAATTGATGAGGTTGTAAACTTTCATTGACTGAGGTGGCTTGGGCATATGTTGCTCATACCGAACCACTACCTACCTCGATGTGCCTCCAGCTACATCAAACTAAGGGAGGTTGGATTAGGTTGAAACAGGGTTCAAAGTGGCCTGAAAAAGATACGGCATCAATTGATAATGTCCCTAACTATTGCAGACTGCCTGGTCAACGTTTTTGAGATAAAAGGAATAGGTGATTGAGGACTCTTGGTGACGTGGCTGACGATCAGTAACAATCGCGCTGATGTATTTACTCTTTGATGTCTTCTAAAGTTTGAATGTTTGCACTAATCGTGATCTTCAACTTGTTTATTTTCCGAACACAGTTTTGTTTACTTTGATATCAATTTCTCTCTTTAGTTGTTCTCTCTATAGTACGGTGAATTATGACGACTTTAATCTATGCACTTGTGTATGAGATTCTACATTGATTTTGTCTGTCTAAAAATCATTATAATTGAATGCTGTCTATAACATAACTACACTAATCTCTCATGTTTATTTTCCAGAATCTTAAACCTGAAGCCTGTATTGAAGTGACAAAAGAAATTCCATATTGGGAACGTAGGTCAGATATGTCATGGTTACATGATATTCCTCCAGGACTTTTAACACCAGCTATGACACGTGCATGCATAGCTGCATTCCAATCTTGTCCATCTCAACGTTTAATGATTGCTGTATATGATTTAGAATTACAGGTACGTGATTTCTTTCATATAGAAATAGCCCATTCACTCATGAACATACAATTGGTTGATTTGTATACCTGTATCAAAGTCATTCATTGCCTTAACTTGACTTTTTTCCCTTCCTCTTTTCTCACCTCTAATTGATATAAATATTTTCATCGTGATTATTTCTTACTATCCTGGATTAGATATTGAGCATTTTATCGTGTGACTCTTGATGTAGATTGCCCTTTGTGAAACTTGAAGTCAACTAAGTCGACTTCTTGTAGGTACTTTTATCAAGCTTTGTAAACAAAAACCTCCTTCCCCGAATTGTTCATTTAATTCCCTTTAAGAAGTTTGATCAAGACATAATTACTTCGACTTCATGATCAAAATCTTACTTATTCAAATAGATCATTTTGATCGATAGGTTTCTATTCTTTTAGAAGAAGGATATCATCTGTTTTCAGAATACAAAACTTACACCATGAACAACTGAATCCTTTAAAAGATAGAGTCTCTTTATTACGGAAAGTGGAAATCTTCAGTTAACCTTGACTTAGTAATCTACTTTATTTTAGATATTGATACGAAACGGGAGTTTGAAGAGATTTTCAGCGGTTGTAGGTCATTTCCGTAGCTTTTAACTGATTCTCATCATTGCAATGGTGTAAAACATCATAAAAATGGCACTATTCATCTTTCTTTCTTTTTTTCAATTGCATGTCTACACACCTTTTGTACAGTTTAACATTTTATCATTGACTCTTTTTGAAACTTATTTTCTCTATTGTTGAGTAAATTAATCCCTGATTTCTTTTTAGGCTCGAAGTGATGTTCTCGGACGCATGTTTGGTGTTCTTCGGCGAAGATATGGTCGAGTTGTTGGTGAAGATTTTCGAGAAGGTGAAAACACCTTTGTTATAAATGCTAGATTACCTGTTATTGAAAGTTTTGGACTTGCAGATGAAATACGAAAACGTACCAGTGGTATTGTTAGTCTTCCTCAATTACGTCCAGGTGGCTGGGAATTACTCGACATTGATCCACTGCAGAAAGACATATCCACGAATAACATGGAGTTGTCTAGTGAAACATCTCATCTACGAACAACAGGTAAACATTTTCGATCAAAAGTAGTTGCAACACATTCTCATTGTGTTGATGATGATGGTGCTGCTGAGAATTTAGAGGAGTCAGCAAGTCAATTCTCCCGAGTTCAACGGTACATTCGTGAAGTAAGACTTCGAAAAGGCTTACCACTGAATGAACAATTAGTACTTAACGCTGATAAGCAAAGGACGTTGAAAAAAAATAAATGATTTTTCCCTTATAACTGATTCAGTTGTATATTATATATTTCCCAAAATAATATTTTTTAAAAGAAATTGTTGAATACATGGGATTTTTTATGATTGAATCTATAGGCATGTTGTTGTTTACCTATGCCAATCTCCATTTTTTCATCATTTCAAATCAAGAGATCATTTTCGCACAACCTAGTTGCTTTATTAGTTAGAAAGTGTCGGTCTTATTTCGTTTGGGTTTTCTATGGTTGTCGTATTGACTGAAATCAGCCACTGGTTGTCGACGTGCCTTCTCACTTGCAAATCCACTGAATATTAATTAATTCTACCCTATTGCAGCATGATAATTCGTCGAATGGATCTGCTTTGTCTTACACTTCCTTTCAAGTCAGGCTCCTAATGGTTGGTTTTTTGCCATTAAAGTCATAGGCGTACTGGTTTATGCAGTTTTCATAGTTCTGAGATCGATTTATCGCTGACCCATGGCTTATACTTTGGTGTGGTGACTAAGCCTGCTATCGCAAATACCTTAGAAATTATGCTGGTTGGAACAATCGTTCCATGGGTTCCCTGTATATCATAAAGGTTTATGAGATGTTGGTAAGCAGCTATCATTATAGCGTAAATTACTTCGCTGTTATGTAGGTCCCATGATAGCCAGCAGAAGGGGTTTTAAAAGACCAGCTTCAAAAATAACTCTTCCGGTGCTGATGGTATGAATTTTTCGCAGCTGGGGGTAGTATAATAAAATCTTAATCCAAAATTCTTGAAAGTTTGTATGTGGCTTGTCTCAATCAAATGTCCTTTGGTCTTTGCTATCAACCACCGCTACTGTTCCATTTTTTCTCAGAGAAGTAACTTTTCATAGTTTCGGGAACAAGAAACCATTATTGCTTTCATATCTGGATTTTCTTCAGATCATTAGGAATCCCTCACGTCTTTGCTTTCTATTCCTCCTTCACATCTCTCGGTCAATATTTCTGTGTCATCTTCGATTTTTTTGTAGCTTTGCAGCCATTGATAACGATTCAAGTTCACGGATTGTACAAAACTCTCGCATCTCGGAATACAGACGTATTAACTATGTTTTGAGATGCATATACGACACTCAAGTATGGTCATTTTCCTTATCTCACCTGGTCATTGCGATGCATTTACAAAATTCACCTTTTGAGTTTTTGGGGATTCTTTGTTTATCTCTCGTGGTTTAGCTAAAGTAAGTGTAGCGTTAATTAATAAGCCTGAAAATCCCACTACTCAGTTAAATCTCCGTCGACAGTCGTCTATGTACTGTTCGACTTCATGACGTAATGTAGTGAAGGCTAAAATAGCGTTTGAAGTCAGTGACAATAGACGGTTGTTTCGACTTATCAGGACAACAAGGATTTAAAAGGCAGTGGCTAGTAAGACTATAACAAAGAAAGTTGGGCCTATGATTCACTCGTAGTAGAAATAGCTGAAAAGATCCACAGAAAATTTTGAGGGACGATTCAGCTGATCTCCAGCTAATCTTCAGTCGCTTGCTACCTAGTAGGATATTGAACAGAACACTTGGAGAAGTTGAAAAGGCTCTAAATAACTTGAAATGAGTAACAGAGGATAAACTTACATCAGGTGTATTTAAGGATTGAAGTCGAAGATTATTGGTCAAATTAACGGAAGTATTAGCTAGCATATCGGAGTCAGATATGATCCCCTCTGACTGCTTTCAGTCATCGATTTGACTTAGTCTTCAAAAAAGAAGAAAAAGTTCCCTGTAATCAATCTTATGAAAATTATGCTCAAGACCCTAGGCTTCATAATCACAAACTAAAGCTCAGGAACAGCGAACCAGATGAAAACAGACGGGATTACAGTCTGGTCGTGGATGAATAGACCAAATGTTCACTTTACGCTATGTCCTGGAATGCAGGCACGTTTACCAACGACCAGCACAAGCTGCGTTTTTTAACTTAAAGGCGACATTTAACTCGGTCGATCCGGTGGTCTTATGACAGTCTCATTGAAAGCGATGCCGGGTAAGTCCATCACTTCATCGACAAATATTCTTTTCAAAAAACCACTAGAGCCCATAGCGAGCTATCGCATGAGTTTTGTACGTCGAGTGTGGTGACTGTCAAGAATGCTCACTATCTGCATTCTCATGTAATGTTGTAGTCGACGTGCTTCTGGAGGTCTCTCTATTCCCATCCGACCTTACGGGGATTGATTTTGTCACAGGAGACTCCTTGGTGGACCTAGAGTATACAGATGACATAGTCCTGTTTGGTAAAGATGCTGACTTGATGTAGTGTCTTCTGGACACACCTTGAGTAGCAGTTTGAAAACGTTTGAGATGCCATATAAATGCAAATTGTTTCACTAGGACTGGCTGACATTAGTGCCTTGCCTAACAACAGAGTGAACTTGTTGAGCGCGTTGCCCACTTCACTTATTGATGAATAGGGATCGACTATTTTGGGCTAGTGGCCGACGAAATCTCTTCATGGATACAAGAGGTTTGCTGGGCTTTTATCAACCTATGTCATTGACAGCTCCGGTGAGATATATGAGTGCCTACTTAGAGTCTTATGAACTGCAGAGCAATTCACTCTGTTCGATTACATGACTGTTAACATGTCCATAAAAGGTAGAGAACGCTGGGATGCATCATCTTAGTTGGATAGAGGTTAGGTAGAAGAGTTGAGTCAGTTGATGAAGTTGTTAAAAAGCGACTAGGGTGGTTCAGGTATATTTAAAACATGCCTAATCACCGTATACGGCGACGGACTATGTAAGCTAAAATAAGTTCAGGTTGGAAGAAAGCGTAGGGTAGTAAAATATGTTGCGAAACCGTAAGGTCAAGCAAAACAATTACAAGTTTTGTACTACTAATTAGCAAGAGTAGTTAGAAGCCATTCTGATCAATCAGCAGTGTTGCAGTCTGAACTTATTATTCAGTAGTCATATATTGTCGATTTATATAGGTAACGATCAAGATTACGCCAATAATTATTTGATATTCATGGTTTTCTGCAGTTGATCCATTGGTTACTATTATTACATAGGTTCCCCCTATTTAAGTTTGGAAACGTCGGTTTCCGTTTATCCATACGGACAGGTTATAATTTATTAGACCATCGATAAGTAAGGTCATGCAAATCCGGATCGACGAATATTTTTAACAGTATATATAATACGCAAGTGTTAGTCATTAGAGTTCAGTAACTTGGTGCATAATGTTCCTATGTATGATGTAACGGATGCTTCTGTATTATACAGATTACTAACGCCGTAATGAGTCGTTAGCAGGAATTCTGTTACTGCTCTCTTGGTAGCCACTTTCATGTGTAGTGGAATCACTGTGAACAATATGAAGGTTATTTGTATAACATTAGGTAAGCGATGTATTTATGTTGATGAAACTGTGCACCTTGATTGTCTAAACTTGTTGGAATACGTAATGGGTGGTTAACTTAGAACGTGAACCAGTTTATGAAGTATGTGATCCATGCGGATAAATTTAGGATTTGTGAAGCAGCTGAAATAAATAGTTGGAAACCTAAATAATTTGAATCACATTCGATCTCTCACCATCAACGGGCGAAACCTAAAGGAAGTAGCTTCTTTCACCTATCTAGGCAGCACTGTTTCAACTGCAGGCAGTGCGGACGAGGACGTCAAAGTCGGGATCGGAAAAGCAAGACACGCGTTCATTAACCTAAAACCAGTGTGGAGATCTTCTGCACTGCACTCAGCACAAAGCGTGAACAATATCCGGATTTTCAACATCAACGTCAGTCAAGTCAGTGCTTCTATGTGGTGGTTGACAGAATTGGCGAGTTACGAAAGGCATTTCTAACAAACTACAGATATTCATCAACAACTGTCTACGCTGGCTCGTTACTGAAGATCACATGGCCAGAATGACAGGAATAAGCAACAAGGAACTCTGGTCTGGTAACGAACCAAGCAATAACCTATCACTCAACAAATATGCAGAATGAAGTGGAGATGGATTGGACATACACTGAGAAGGCGGATTGGGGACATCATGCACCAGGTCAGGTACTCGAGTGGAAACTAGATGGGAAGCGACGAGTTGGGGGTGCGAGATGAGGCTGCAATGGAGGGGATTGTGCGAGGAGGAAATGAGAGCTTGTGATGATTTTATATCGATACATCTGAAGTCGGTTTTCTTATTGCACAATCTATTTAGTTAATGCTATAGTGAATAAAAAATTTCTTTGCTTCTTGAAAACTTAGTTGAATAAGTTATAAGGTAAATAAAATTGTATTCAGAAATCAAATAAATTTTACTCAATTGCCATTATCATTGATTTTAGCTTTTCGTCTCATACCATAAAATTAACTAAAGAGTCAAAGCAAAATGTATTTCTTAATCAACTATTAAATAAATCGAAATGGGTAAGTTGACTGACAACGAAAAAGTTGGAGAATAGTAAGGAAGACAAGTAAATTTTCAGCAAGGGAGTGAAAAATGCATGAAATTCTTTTAAAAGAAAAGTATCAATAATTACTTTCAAATTGAGTCCATTATAAGAAACAAGGCAGTTGATAGCGGTGACAATGGTAATATAATAATTAAGAATCAATGATTACGGAATAGTTTAAGAAATAAGGTAAAAATGGTGATTTTAGTTTGTTTTTTTTGTTTCAGCTAAACCATCATTGTTCAGTATATTTTATTATTTGAAAGGATTCAATCGAAATAAACAAATGTATGTATATTGTTCAGGAAGTCTAAGAGATAACTGCATGTCATGCTGATTTATTCAAATAGATATTAACAAAATAAAATTAACGAAAATGGAAACGAAATATTGGCAAGGAAAGAAACCAAGAAAAAAATTTGTAAGATTAAATAAATATTCTATCATTTCATAAGTATTTAAGCAGTTATTGCTTGTCAAAATCAGAATAAAAATATTTACTATCAATGAAGCAGAATTGAAAGAGTAAACATGCAAAGGGAACTCCAAAAAAAAGTAGAAGAAAGGTGTGTTTATATGTATATATATATATATATAAGTCGGGATAAGCAAAGCGCCTAACAAGTTCTGTTTCGAAATTGTCAGTTTATTTAGTAGTCATTTTTTCGCTTATATATTTATATCGAAAATTATTTAGTAGTAGTAGTAGTAGTAGTAGTAGTAACAACACTAGAGGAATAGGAGTGTTTAATGGTTAGTACCATTAATAATCATTACATCGAAAAATTGATGGTGTCACTAAAAAATGTCTAATGAAATTTAAACAACATACTGTTTTATTATTATTATTATTATTATTATTATTATTATTATTATTGTTAATTAAAAGCACAACATTGTATGTTCACTCAAAATGTTGCTTACTATCTCTTTTCAATGTATTTATGTACTTACTACACAACTGAATAATTAGTAAACTATACTATTGTGATTTAAATAACATTAACAGTGAATGGACTTCCGGGGACATGTTGTTCACCCCATTTAATCATAATCAGATGACGACCACGATCACGTACAGTGTAACTAATTGAATATTGACCATGACCTAAATGTTTGATGTTAACTTCTTCACAAGCTACCACTGGTCCAGATACGCCTACATACAATACATCGTGACCTAAATAATGCAAGAAGATGAAGAAATATTATTAAAGGTGAACCCATTATAAAGAAGAGCGTTTAGCATCAAAACCATTGTCACTAGATTGTTACACGATTACTAGGTATATACAAAATAGTTATTTGATATTCATTCATCTACAGAGACATTTGTTCGAATCCCTCCTAACCTAATCGACTGATATGGAAGAAGTATCCAATACCAATAGTATACAACAATTCCACTAGAAACTATCAGTTGATATCAAATATTTCCTGTTCTAAGGCTGTTACACAGCTATAATGAAAAGAATTTATTTGATACGTAAAGCATCTCAAAAAGAAAATTCATTGAATTTTGAAGCTAATAGTTTGAATTAGTTGTTGATATATAGTGGATGTAACCTACAGTAATGAATATTTTCATTGAATCAAGTTAATTTAATAAGTAATCAATAATTTGGTCTCAGATAACCCAGTAAACTGATTGATATTCAATCACGATCAACTTTCAGTTAACATATCATTTATATCAAACTCAGTCTACTGAAACAATGCTATGCTTGATAGTAATTCATCTACAGTCAATCATTCCTTCCTGCTTTCATACTCAGCTCATGTTATAGCTTAGAAAGGTTTTATTCGGTGAAGAAGTGACTTTCATTAGGTTGTAAAATGTCAACCTCATTGAAATCTTACAAATACATTTCATTGATAACTACCTACCTCAGTTTCCAATAGGATGAAATGCACTACTCTTGTATCTGGTGTGATGATATTGGTGATAAAAAAGAATAGTTACAAGCCACTCATTCACATTGTTGTAACGACAAACAAACTGATATACCCTTGATATCATGTGTCTCTGAATCAACAACTTCAAAATACATAACTTTGACATGCACATTATTGCAATTTTCTAGACTCCTGGCTAACTACATATTGCATCGGTTGTCCACGATCTATCCACTGAACTGAAAGCAACTCAACTCTTTACCTATCCGTCTTTCTTCGTTTCCAACTATAAAATCGATCTCTAAGACTAATGGCTTTCTACTCCCTACATTACATTTGATGTAAGTCTTACGTACATATAACTGATTTACATGAACAAAGCACACCATAATTAATAAAAATAAAATAAGTAACCTCACGCACAGAAATTTGCATCATCAACATGGAATTATTTATTTCGCAACTATGAATCGTGTGAAATTGGGTGAGGAACCCATTGAAAGCTCTTGAACTGAGCTATATAATAATAAATGGAATAATGCGTTTGATAAAGTTATTCTGAGATTCCTATAGTCCGTAATAACACATGTGATAATCAGCAAATCTCTTGGTGAGTCTTGTAGCTAGCTCACTCGTTAGATCCTATTAACAGGTGATAAATCTCTTAGAAGAACTTCATTGCATAGTCTACTCAACAAATGAACGATAAACATATTTAATAGGTATTCTTGAACTACCTGCTTGTGTGGCATTGACCGTAAAGGTGTTAACTTCATTGAGATAAGCTTGTTGGAGACCTGGTCCAGAGCATGTGACACGATCAGGTCGTGATGGACCGAAATTTGAATGAGGTCCATTGATCAAACGTCCTCCTGTTTCTACAACAACATGTGTTGTATCAGCTGTGAACGTCTCGTGTACAGCATCTCCAGTTACAATTGCCTGATCAGATAAGTTTAAAATCAATATTCAACATCAATACGGTGCACATAATCACACTTAATTAAATCACATTTTAATGCTAAGAAGGTCACGGAGTAAAATTATACATCATGCTGTTTCAGCTATCAAGATCGTCAATACATGGGATATAATAATGGTTAGCCTTGGAAGTGAAGACAGGCATAAGTAAGAAAAGGTTGCCGCTTACTATCACCGATGATCTTCCTGATTGTGGTTGACTGGACTGGATCATACAACAAACTGTGAGGAGCGAGAAAAGACACTAGAAGGTTTGAATTTCGCCAATGATGATTCATGTCTAGCGTTGGACAAACTCGAAGATCAATAGGCGAAAACTAACAAGTTGTCAGAAGAGGTGAGGCAGCGAAGAAAGACAGGACTTCAGGTGAGTGTAGAGAAGGCAGAGGTGATGAAGATATCTAACCAACAATAACAACAAGCAACAGTCACTCTCAACGGGAGAAACCTAAAGGAAGTAGTCTCTTTCACTTACCTAGGCAGCATCGTTTCAGCTACAGGCTGCGGCGCAGATAAGCATGTCAAAGCCAGGATCGGAAAAGCAAGACAGGTGTTCATTAACCTGAAATCAGTGTGGGAATCTACTGCACTCATCACAGAACGTGAACAACATCAGGATTTTCAACACTAATGTCAAGTCAGTGCTTCTATATGGTTGAGAGACTTGGCGCGTTACGAAAATCATTTCCAAGAGACTGCAGACATCAACAGATGCCGCCTACGCTTGATAAGGAAAGATCAGGCCACAAAGAATAAGCAACAAGGAACTCTGGCTGTCAACGAATCAACCAAGAATCTACCACCCAACGTGTATACAGAAGACGGGGAAGATGGATCGGGCATGCACTGAGAAGACCATTCGGGACATCACGCTCCAGGCCAGGCCGTTGAGTGAAACCCAGATGGGAGACGGCGAGTTGGGCGTCCGAGGTGAGAGTGATATGGAGGAGAACATGTGAGGAAGAAATGAGAGCTTCTGGGCAGTCTTGGAGCGATGTTCAAAAGATTGCAGAGAAGGGAGTGCACTGGAGACGTGCAACTGAAGCACTATGTTTGTCTAGGGACCCAAGGGATAAATAATAATAACGGTTAGGCGACTCTTTTTGAACTATGAACTTTAAAAGGGACTGCCCATTATAGATCGTGAATGAATTCTTTAAGAAAATTGTCAATTTCTTCTATATTGGCCATATCTCGGTTCACAAGACTACTAGCTTATGGATGGCGTTGCATTTTTTTCAGCTGGATGATTCAGTTGTGAAGCTTTCATTGCTTTAATACACATCATCTGAACTAAAATCTTTATGAAGTAAGACACCAGAATTTCTTTGTGAGTGATCGGTTAATCTGTCCTTAGTTGTTGTAACTGAGTTGATAAACGACATTCTGTTTATTACATCCTTTGGTATGAGTTTATGAGTTATATTCATTTTCAACAGTCTCAGTAGTCTTATCATGATCGTTGATACATCCTTTATGTGCGGTAGACAAGTTTTTCTATTGACTTCCATAGACAACATTGTTGAAGTGATAAAGTTGCTTTGACAACCATTATTCTTTAACACAGTTATCAGATAATTTTCTTTTTCTCTCTGTGTAGTGGATGTACTAAATTATTTTTGCCTTTTTAAAATAACTAATTCTATACAAAATTAACTTTGTTTTATTGGTTTGTTGTACTGCATGATTTCATAGTTCAGCTTCAAGACCAGAAAGTTATAATTCTGATCACTGTAAAGTCTTTTAAGTCTTTATTAGATTGCTGATGATATGATCATCATTATTTGTGTTAATCACGGGTAATAGCGAAATCGAAACAACCACGGTAATTTGGGGATAGTTTAGTAGCTACACTGATCAAACTAAATTGCGTTACATCATGTACAATAGCTAAAAATGAGTAATATAGGTGTTAGTTTATATCAGGTTATGTAAAACTTATCCTGTCTTGTTTACTTTATTCTTTAACCTTTTCCATTTAAAATGAATAGTATAAGCTCTTTTCAATGCATACACTGACTATGTATCGTGATGTTTAGTGTGTTGGTTTTTGCAACTATACTGATAGGCCAATGTCAATAGGAAAACCTTGAAAGTTATCGTATGAAGAAATAGTCTGTCTATTACATACACAACAAGACAATTATACTCTGAAGAGAACATTTACATGTATAAATTAAAGTGTACATATAACTCGAGCATCTCTAAGAAGATAGTAACTTCTCTCTTCCCAATTTCATCTTGTGTAGTATATCACTCTCCGGTTTCTGCTCGTGCTTTCCTTTTCTTCTTTTCTCTTGGGATACATATAATGTCATTTTTGATTGTAGCGTCACCGATAGTTTTTACTAACCTTATGAATCAGATATCAGGTCAGTAAAGATGTTGATCAAAGCATAATTCTAATGAATAATAGAACCAAAAAAGGAAGTAGCTCATCAAATTGGAGAACATCAAGAAAAGCCAATAAGCCATTCTAATGAAATCCTTACAATTCACTTCATCCCAAGGTTTTCATCCTGGTAACATTCTCTTGAAAGACAATTAAACCTCTAGAAAATAACTATTCACCTCAGAGAACGTAACATGAAAACTATTCTACTCAGTTACAATATCTTTTATATCTACAAGCATAGTTCTGACTTTCATAAATAATTAAGAAAATAGTGAACTATTACTTGCTCAACATTTATTAATCACAATTAAAACATTTTAATGTTACCACTGGCAGTACTCAAATAATACTTACCTTGAATGGTGAACCTATTATATGTTGAGCATCACCATATTTAATACTAATCATGTATTCACCAGGTGATAATGGCATATAAGTGAATTCATATCCATCTGGTCGTTCCGTACAATTCAACTGAACTTTACTTGGACCGTCTACTGTAACTGATAGTGCACCATTACCAGCGTGGACAGTATTCACAAAGAATCGATTACGTTCACCTTTAAATTATATGAATAAATTACATTGAATTAAGAATTACTCTCTTTGTTAGACTCTGTTTAGTTTAATGGTATACATTCACAATAACTAAAAGACACTGAAAATTCCATCAGGTGGAAATGTACTTGTTTTAATCACTAAAGGTTAGTAAGTCGTAGAACTGTGCATTATTTCACTGAAGTGATGAAGTTAACAAGCTTTCTGGTGAAATCTTTGTGATTAAACTTCAGACTTCAAGAGTCTGGAAAAACCGTTTCATTTTTCTGAGGATACAAATCTCCGAGAAGTAATTTTCACGTTGTCATCGGTTATCTGTCTACACAAAGGTACCTCTAGGTGTATCTACTTGTAAATACTGTCTTATTATTGCACATGGACGGACGAAAAAGAGAATTGCTTAAAGTCAACTGAGATGACTGACATCTTAGGCGTAATGGGTTAATATACCAGTTATCTGAGCTTTAAATAGGTACTCTAACACTTGGAAGCATTCATATACATAAATTTCAACTGTTTTACCAACAAATCTCATAGTGTTTGAAATAAGAAATTCCAAAGTTTGGCACTGAAGTCTGGTCCAAGCATCTGCTATATACCCCTAATTTTGCATAGCTTTTGCCTGCTGTTTTGAACATGACCTTAAAATAACCTATGTGGCTGTTTTCATGAGTGACTTTAAAGGCCACCCTAACAACAGCTAAATTAGTCAATCAGAGTTCCCCATTTTATAAACATTTTGCTATTCCAGCCAAAATACAGAGACTTAATTGGTTATTTCAGCCTTTAAAGTCACTTCTTTTCACACCGTTACTAGTTTTTCTCCGATCTGTTCTCAAGGCTGAACTTTCATTAGCTGTTAACTGTATGTGGATTTAGTGTTGTCAAGGTCATTCGAAAATGCATATATTCCGCATAGCTATCAGCTGTATTGACTGTTGTTGAGACAGTATGAAGTTTTATATCAACCGTCTGTCTTCCTGCCTTCGCGCATTAGTGGTATTGTTGTTGTTGTGGTCGACTTTCTAGTTTGCATTAGAGTCGATTCGTTTTCACGTTAGGTTCTCATCGTTCATAGTCTGCCTGGCCTGTGTTGCTCGTAGACTGTTACGTCGTCCTACTGGTCATGGCACGTTTTCAGGGAAATAATCAAAATCTACATCGTCACAGATATATATTACAAGTCAAAAATAGTATAGTTCATCTAATTGTCCTATCGTGACTGGATTATTATTGTTTTTCAATAGGGTTATTAATGATGTGCACAATGGTGCATTGATATATACGATGCGTGAATGTAAGCGTGTATGGGTGTGTGCTGTATGTCAGACATTGGTTATCATAAGATAACATTGAGAGTTCTTATTTCAAACAAGCTGAGATTTGTCCAAATACATAACCCACTCGGCCCCTAATATTTGTAAAATTATCTGGTTAAAACTTGACCAGGATTCATGTTATTGTTTTATTGACAGATGAGTAAAATATAAATCATGTGTGTGAATAACAAAAACCCGATTAGGTTTGCTTATAAGAAATGATCGAAAATGTTTTTTTGAAAGTATTGTTGCAGAGAATCAGGAAAACTACGCAGTCAGTATCTTATTAACGGTTTTTCTGTAGTCGATGTTTGATAAGATTTTCTCGAATGTTTTTAAAATAATTCATACTATGTTTTTAGTTAAAGTAGTTTGATGAGTTAAGTCTATTTGGATCTAGGGAAATTAGGGATGAATCAATTCAAAAAAAATTGACACACTGTCATCAAATTTTTAAATTTCGGTTATAAAGTCTGATGAGTTTCAGATCAGAAAAGATATGAGATTCAGTTAGATCACCAACATCTTTCAAGTTTGGTTACTAGGACCTGCAGTATTGTAAAGCTAATAATTATTTAATCACCGAAAGTAAGACGAGTTAACTTACCAACTCGACCATGACTCAAACCTTCTCCACTAGCAGTGACTGGACCCGTTTCTTCTTGTCCTACGAGAACACGGAAAGGACTACCAGGTATTGGACGTTCATCCATCAATACATGAACTAAGTGTGGTCCACTCTCATGAGGTGTGAAGCGAACTGCATGTTGATCAACGTCTACCTGATGTACAAATGCATCTGACTGTATACCAGATGGAGCTACAACATAAGCTCTCATTCTACCTGTCATTCCTGTATAGTTCACAGTAAATGCTGTCGGACGTCCAATCTGAAAAAAAGAAAACCAAAGGTTTTCATGGTTATAGTTCGTCACACATTTCTCACTCAATAAATGTGATAAGAATTCAGCGACGGAAACCTTTACTATTCAACGTACTTTTGGCTACGTTTACAAATTCAAAAGGGTGTCTAAATGTCATTTGTTTGTAGAACGAAGTGGAGGCAAGAAACTCAAAACTTGTTGTGTAGAATTATCCTAAGTTCAATACGCTTGGTATTCGCTACCGTAGTTGTGCTTATCTCTTCCCAAAATCTTTGATATAAAGCCATCGGAATATCTTTTCATTACTGAATTTAAAGTGAAGTTGAAAAGCTCCGATTTTCTCAGAATTCATTCGATCCACATACAGCTAGAAAGAAGTACGGTAAATAGAAAGGATGATCTATACATGCAAACCAAAACCTAGGAGAAAGAAACGTGGTTCTCTAATTTTTTTTACGTGGATGTATCATCTTGAAAAACAACAGCTTTGGCAGCTATTCTATGGTCTCTGTATTAAAGGAATAGGCTAAATATTTTGTCACATCTATCTACAATATGCTCCTGATAATTGAGCTGAATGTTTTGCTGTCATTCGATGTTTGCATTATGCGGCCATGGATTTCATTTTCAAGTTCTCTTCTACAAAGATAAAATATACAGTACAGTTGTTAGTTGCATGCTTGAAGAACAAACGTTTTCCTATCGTATGATTTCTGTCGATGATCAGAAGTGGTTTTCATAACTTAGAATGATGTATCTTCTACATTAACAGCTTGCAAGAAATGCATGAAGCGCATTCAACTAATTAGATGCAACTAAATTCTGAATATTCAAGAGTTAGTTTGACTTAGATGAGTTCAGTGACCTTTTCTATTTGTTGCCTTTATTTCGTGTACTTACGGTTGAAATCATCAGAAAATCATCATGAATTTTCACTACTGCGTTACATGTAGTTGTTTCATCCTAAGTAAGCAATGAAACTTTCGCAAACACATACTTCGATTTTGGATGTTGCCAAACTACTCAACTGGGAACCAGTTTTGGCTCACATTGAGTAGTGGATTGCAAACTGGCCTGCTTTTTATTTTTACGAGAGAAGGCAGTACACTATACTTGAGGGAAGTGCTCTACTTCGCTACTTAGTAAAGCCGGTATGCCTCTTTTTCTTCTTGCATGACTTGGCTAACTTTATTAGGTATACAGATGACCTAACAGTATTTATTTATGCTGATCATCACCTCTTCGGATTGTTATTAAATTAATAAATTACTAATCGAAATTCATTGAGGGTCTTCCTTAAGTGGTGGTACACTCAATCCCTTCAAATGTCAGACCGTTAATTTTAGCCTAAGACTTGGACAAGACATTTGTAAATTGCTTCAGTTCTATGACTCGCCTTATAGATGTCTCTGTTGTAATGTGTCAAGCGTGATCCATCTTAGCTTATACTTTTCTTCTGATCTCTCTCGGCCCCCCCCATATCTTACTGATTTCCAGGAAAACCCATCGCTTCACCTTTTATATAAGGAAATTCAGAGTATCTGGCATAACTCAACCTCTACTCTTACTTTTCAGTATTTCCTGTTTTTCCTATACTTACTTATTGTTCTCCTTTATTCTTTCCTGAACTGCGGACAAAAGACTACGTTATATTACGAAGGATTTCGAAGGTTGATAGTAGAGTAAGTGGTACACCACTGCCGGTGCTGATAAATGGGGTGGTGGATAGACATCTGAACTCTTGTAGAGAGCTGACTAAAAGTGTTTTATCCACCACAGTGATTAAGTTTTAACTTTTGCGTTACGTCATACGATATATTTTTTTGATCAAGGTTGTTTAAAGCAACAGTTGGACAATTTTCCTCTCGCTACCTATACCGATGCACTGTTCGATTTATGAAACAGCCTAGATAAGTTAACTTTCTGTTAAAACTAATGATACATACTGATTTCATTAGGAAAATAAATAACGTGGTGCAGATATTGGAAAAATCAAATGTTTTAGATTAATTACATACATGTATAATGTGAATATGGTATTGATAATTCTAAAAAGCCTCCTATGTTTGCATGAAGAGGTTACTTAGCTGTTATGTAAAACTGGTCACCAGTCTTAAAAGAAGACTGACAACAATTGCTGATAACCTTGGTGAGGTTAGTGAGACTCCTTGGAACTTAGATATATTTACTTGAAAAATGAAACTCATTTTCTAGACTCAAGTATCAGGTAATAAAACACAATAACTTTGGTTGTCACATATTAACATCTTCAAAAAATACTCACTCACCTGTAGACCACGATCCTGGACCGTTGCAACACTCAATAGTTTGGTTTCAGGTGTGTAGAATGTCCGCTCCATTGACTCATTGATAATGACACGATATGGTGAATTAGGTATATGGTCATCATTGAAACGTATAGAACACAAATATTCACCTGGTTCAGTTACTCGATAGGAAACACCACAAGAACCATCTTTTCGATCCTTCAGAGGATGGACATAAAACAGTGGTATACATTTAACGACATTGTATATAAATTTAAAGATAAATTAATTCACATTGTATGAGGAATTAAGTTTGTTGTATAAACAAAAATACAATTATATTGAGATGAGGATTAATTGGCTTAAAGCAGTGTGATGAATACACAATACATGGTACGAAGAGATTTGACTAGCCTCTTACCGGTTGAATCAAAGTGTTCTTAACGCTGGACAGCTATTTCCTCTATTAGGTGTTAAGCTAATTAACTGTATTCCCAGACTGACTTGGTTTCAAGGGTCCACTTGTGCGAATCACTTAAAAGTTAACTAGTTACTTCAGCTCACTAGCAATGCCTGGAATTGAAACAAGTCTTCCTCACAAAGTTTGGATCCGATGATAAGACTGATCAAAATATGGATAACACAATTGAAATATCATGCTACGACTTTCTCTAGAAACCAAATATTTAAGCCATAGATTATTAACTGGTTGATATTAAGTATGTTACTATGAAGACGAGATAAATAACTTTAAACTATATTCATCTTGGCGACTAGCAGTGAAATATAGGACGCATGCTTCACACTATCTGAGATTTGTCAACTGGGTGTACATGCACCCCAGTGAGTGATGTTGTTCCCATTGAGACAGAAACCCAGATCTGATCGCTTCAAGCGTCAAAGTGTTACCCACTAAGCAACTGGGGTACGATAAGCACTTCTTGTGCAACGGGTATCATTTGTTGTTTGTTGATACTTTTAGTTTTCCACTGTTATTTAGCGCAGAATTGCTTGGCCCCTGTCTGGAGATGAGCTTCCATGCGGATGTATATAATATCATGAATATCCGGCAGGAGTGAGGAACTCACATAGAGGCCCACCAAGCAACTGAGGTTGCGTAATTTGGCCCTGTATAGCAACAGGAAATAATGACTTCTAACTAATTTTTTCAAGAACCAGTAAAAAGTGACACAAATATCTGATAGAACCAATTCAGTATAATAATCTAATCTACTAAATTCCATGTAATGACTATGAGGTCAAGTACATAGGTCAAACTAGCCGGTCGGGGTTAGCTAGAATAGGTGAACACAGGAATTTAGCTAAATATAGAATAACAGACCCGAATAAGATCAATAATCTAGAAAAACACTTGGCTATTGCAATGCACGCACTAGCACACAACTACACAATAGATGGAGAGAGAGATTGATTACTGAATCTTTGTTCATCAAATCAATACGTAAAACATGTAATCGAAATGACGCAGTACCTATACCAGAGATATGGAAATTTTTATCACCAATAAAAACAAATCATATAAAGTGACGTAATTATAAAAACCAAATGTCGAAAGTAGTATGATAACATTGATATGATTATGATGAATAATTTATACTCGAAACGTCATCAAGTAAATAATACTACATCACTGTGTGTTATAAATCAAATAAACAAATCTAATATGGAATTAATTTCTACCATAGTGCCCAAGTTTTACACCTATATATTAATGACAACTTTTTTACTGTGCCAGTGTAGAATTTCTCAGGTATCATTAGTCTCCTGGAGGTCGAAGACGTGCTTTTCTAGTCAGAGTAATATTTAAGATTGTGACCTCCTATTGAGAACCTGTAAAGACGGATAACCAAATCTCTACTAAACTCAACTAAACACATTTAGTGCATACTTTGAATAATCCTTAACCTTTGGTTCAATGGTGTCGAATCTCCATTAATATTACAAGTGTTAAAGTAGTAGTAAGATCACTTCTGTGCTACTTTTGTCACCATAAAAATTCAGCTTATTCACTACCATATTTGTAAGAATTTATCAAATCTTCCTTTTTATCAGTAAAGATTACTACTTTCATCCTATTTTTCTTACTCTATAATTGTTAATTTCGATCTTCCTATTATCGTCTCACTTTGGCTTTTCTCATTACTTTCTAGATTATAATGGAATCACTATGTAGTTTTAGAAACAGTTTCCGATGAACTTCTGACTTATTATCTATAAATTACAGATGTACTGTTCCTAAAATTGATTCATCGAAAAAAAGGTTTTCTTCGCTGGATTGTGTTTTTGGAATCTTTCTTATCGTATTAACTGGTTGTAATGTAAACCACAGTGTTAATCTGTTAGAGGGTACCAACAAGGAAATAGTAGATCTTGAGGTTATAATCCATGTGGGAACCAAATTCAGTAGTTGAAAACCCTAACTGACTTACTTCAGAATAGATCTCTGTGGTACAGATTCTCTCACAAATTATTTTGATCCTAAAGTTTATATCACATTTCGTTACTTTTTTACTCTACGTTCTTTTGTCATAAGAATTCGTCTTTTGAAAAAGTTGGTTTCCCTACTTCTTGAATCTTTGTACGCTGATATGACGTGTGTTAATATGGAACGTTGTAGAGTATTATTAGACCACATGATGTTGACTGACTGATAGAAAATAGTGAGTAAATACCTAGAAAGTGTTGTCACTCTCTGCTATTTGGCATGTGATACGTTTTCAAAAAATTCACCTTATTTATAAGGTTGTATTATCACTGCAGTTTGACAACTAATGTCGAGACTGGATTCCTTTTTTAATAGCCTAATGATTGATGTAAATTGACACGGTATTCTAATTGTTTTTTTTAATTGCAAAACAAATTCAGAAAAAGGTAGTATATTGCTTTAAGACAATAATGTTACAATATAATGAATCTATACTTGGATACTAAAATCATATGAACAAAATTTTGAAATATATTACTAGCTAACCTCAAAATCAATTTCTGCTTTGCTTGGCCCTTCAATAGCAATCGATAAACCACCTGCACCTGCTTCTCGAGTATAGATACTAAAGTCATTTGGTGAATAAGTTAAACCATGTTGTAATCCTGGACCAGCAGCATGTACTTTGTGTGCTCCACCTTCTGTTATAGGACCTACAGTAAACTGGAATGGACTTCCTAGAGAGATGATGAAGAGAGATAATAAAAAAAAGATGAATATTCCATTGTAGAGTGCTACACTGCAATAATTAGTCACGAAAACTAGTATCGTCACTTCACTTACCAGAGATATGTGATCCTCGATGGCGTACTGAAACAGTATGTACACCCATTTCTTGTGGAACAAATTTGATGGTGTAGTTCACATCATCCGTTGCTAATATGTCACATCTTTGGGTCACTCCTGATGGACTGGTTACATTAGCTGTTAAATCACGAATGTTTATGCCTGAGTTATGAAGGAAAGATAGATGAATTACACTTCTAAGTAGAGATTTATTTGACAAGAGTTATAGGATATTACTTGAATAGTTAAAAGAAAAATTGGATTTAATATTTGTCGGAAATCCACTAATTTCATAAGATGAATATGTAGCTCTTAGTTTCAGTGTGAAATCATGTCTCATAAAATGAAGTTTGACATAAGATAGTCTACCTTGCATGTAAAGAAATTGTTATTCTATGAGTGAGTTGGAAAATATAGGAAATAATTAGTGGCACAGTTCTTATTTTCAACTTCCTTACTCAGTATAGGTCTGTGTACGATTCTACGAACTGTGCTTATAATGGTTTGGTTGACTGATCAGCTAGATCCAAGTGGATTGACCACTATCTGAACCCCGGAAACCAGTGCCTGATAGTTGAGTGCTCAAGTCAACTAGCCAAAACCACAGAAGGCAAAAAGCTGGGATAGTTAAACACTTAGACTTAAAATAGCAAGCTTCAAAGAAGCCAAAATGATCATCTTTGGCCATAGGAAACCTGATATTAAGTAAACAAACTAGTACCATTTTCATAATTAGATATTTTGGAACTTCCTATTAGCTACATCTCGAAAATGTCACTGCTAATAAGGAACGATCAATGTGCGTAGAAAAGTGAATAACAGAGAATTACATACCCTAAGCAATAACTGACACTCACTGCACAGAAACTGGTTGATATAAAGTGATGGATTAAGTGGCAACATTTTTCCATTTGAAGACGTAGATAATGGGATCTAAGTCGAATGGAAATACTGTTCCAGATGCAGGTAAACACATCTGATGAGTTTTAAGCAGGAGAAAACGTTTTTTATGGATTTCACGACTAGCCACCATCGAACAGATAAGGGTACTAATAAACACTCAGTTACTGGGATCATTTTGGAAAACCATGACTGCTGATCGAACTAATTGCGGGTGGAACAAACGCAGATAAGTTTGTACTTATGTTCATGGATTGCTACATCCAATGCATAACTATGATTAAGCTACTGAAAATAAACTATCGTAGCTGACAATTTGGGTTTCCTGAATAGGCGTGAATTCGTGAACAATAACTTTTAGATTTGACTCTTGATGATCGTCTGATTTTTTCTCAAATACAAAATGCAATAAAACGAATCAAGGTATATTCCATGCTTAAACCATCCACAAAAATTCAATGGTATATATATGTTTGCAGTGGCCTTGATTATTACTTGGCCTTTTTGGAAGATCGTTCCCTTCTGATTTAGGCTTTACAGCTAATTTTATATTTACAGGTATGATCACATGTCTTTCCTCGAAACTTTGGAGTCTATTGGCTGATTGTGAAGGACTTCAAAGATCTTCGGTTTCTTTTATTGATCTGCGAAAACCTTCTAGGACATTGGTCACTCTTTTTTGTAAAAATGGAATGTTTTCAACCTGGATTTATTATCATACATTCTCTGTCTCATCTTATTACTTTATTCTTCTATGCTTGGATACCTAAATATTGAATTGAATATGGCAAGAATCAGTTACTGTATTTTCTCATTCATTTATTACTATTTTTCTGAGAGAACCTAAGATAAAGTAACCATCTAGTATTTCCAGTTTTCCAGTGGTTCTACAGTTGGTGTCAGGTTGTGACAGAAACCACTTTAATATTTTTATGTTAACATGGACAATAATACGTATGAAGAACTATATATATCAAGCAATAGTATGCTCTGCTGTATCATACAGAAAAAACCTGAAACTTTGAGGACGGATAATATGAGTAGTCAACAAGTTCTTGATAACCGACACCCTTTACCTGTTAATGCTGTCTAGCGAGAGTCATAAGTGAGGTTTTGAGTCCTTTGATGATATTTCAAACCTGTAGTAACTAATATGACCAAGATGTTTATTCTACAATCGCGGTCAATCCATGACTCTGTACAGTTTGACACTGAGTGTTTGAGGAAACCAGACTCAAATGATCATACAGTAGAATGAGAAATAAATAATACTACAGTATTATTAGTTAGTTTACATCAAACAGCAAAACTTTACGACTGAATGATAACAAAAAAACCAAAGGTGAGTTGAATGGAGCAATGAAGATTATTCTCTACGAAATCACAAGTGCTGTTAAGACACTTTAAATTCACATAAATAGACATTTTCATTTTTGACATGCCAGTTAGAAATCTTTCCGCCCTCTGTATATGTATTTGCGACTTTGTCTGTTTCGCTCTAAAACGTTTACCAGGTGATCATTATCAATTCTTGTTTTACCCAACACTGTTATATGTACTACTGATTTACATTCGTATGGGTATCATTCAAAGCAAGTTAGTCATTATGTCTTTTCCTAACGCTGTATATTTACTTGGAGATCTTTCGGAGATTTTTTCAGGTATTAGGTCTGTGTCTGATGAGTCTGAATTATAGAACGGATTCTTATTATTTGTATATAGATGACAAATTAGAACATAAAATGTTGGAGTGTGCTTTCTTAGTCAACATCACATGTTTCGACTTTAGATTACAGTGTCAGAAATTGATTACATAAATAAAGCTTTTGAAGTAGCAAATCGTTGGCAGAGTTATATATATATATATATATATATATATATATATATATATATATATATATAACAACTGCTTGCAAGCTACACCTAGGCATCAGCTGTCTATGGATGTCAGGATTTAGGAAGTATATTGATCATGATTTTTGTTTGGTGACATTTTGAGGGTGAAACATGTAAAACGAAATCAACAATGATAGGCATTACAAAACTATTTTTTTAACTTTACACTTTTATGATCATTTAAACAGGGGTACCGTACTTTTTCTGATGTCATTCACGAATATTTATTGAAGGCAAACATTGCCTTTATACGTGCATTCACAGCCTTCTCAAAATTAGTTGTAACTAGAAGATAGGTAGCTAGCTTATTTGATACTAAGGGGTAGTAAAAGATCAGCTGTACGTTCACTAAATTTCTTGTCTATTTTTAAAATAACCTGCTGTGAGAAGTATTTTAAATCTTATTTTGATTTTCAGCCATAAACTTACTCATCATCTTTCCTGGTCATTTAAAAAAATGCTAAATAGTTGATAACTTTTACCTATTTTCAATACCTACTCCATAGATTTTGCTCGTTTCTGATTGCAAGCACTGAGAAAACATCAAATCTACTAACATTTAAGCTTTCGTAAGTGTTGATAATCAGGGGAGATGTGATCACTAAACTTCTGACATCACTTAAGGTTAGACAGTGTCGTATGGGTTACCAGTTAAAAACCAATTAGTTAGGTACCCAGATTTCATGGTGATGACCTGTTGCGTTGCAATATTGTGACAATCCACTGCTAATTTCAACTTAAAAAATAACAAGACACGGAGTCTGTTAAGTACACAGATAAAAAGAATGGACATCTATAAACACAAAATATTTGCTCGTTTCTTTCACTTGAATACCAGCTTGAAATCAAGTCCAGTACTAGATATATAATTGCTTAGATATTTCCCAGCATTATAATTTAGATTAAATGTCAAAATTTGAAGTTTAAATTGTTTTCTTCAATATTGTCTATCCTAGTTTTTAAGTCCTGTTAAAACGCTGAAAGATAGACTTTCGAAGCTCTTAAGAAGCACTAGTTTCTCACAGTTCGAGTGATGATAACCACGAAAGTTATGTCAAGGCACTTCTGTCATGTATCAGCAACCACCTTACATAAGTTCGCATGATTTGAAGAGATGAGATGGTTCTGATGATTATAAGGTTGTGGATGAAATTTGTATTTCAGTAAGTTACTTACCACCTTTCTGTATAAAGTAAACTAGATGAGCAAAATTTTAATTCCTAACTGAAGAAATTGAGTAAGCATTAAAATATTTCCAAAGATGATATACCTTAATATTAGAACGCCTCAGAACATAAGCTACATGGGAACCAGATTGAAAAATCATCCTATAAAGTTTACTATTTGTTCTCCAGTACTTTATCAAGTAATCGCACTGGAAATTGAATAGTATAACTTACCTGGAATTTTCAAATTCAATTCACACTGACTGCCTACATATGTTGCGTCAGCAAGTTCTCTTTGTCGAGTAATTCTTTCCATCATTCTAAGAGATGGTTCTCCACCTATGTGAACAACAAAAGGACTTCCTGGTACCGGCTGTTCAGCATATTTTACATTGATAATATACGTTCCAGGCTCTGTTGGACGATAGGTAACTAAACATGTGCCGTCTTGATTGTCGTGACATTCAATATCTGCCTTACTAGGACCTTCAATTGATAGATTCAAACCACCATAACCTTAAATAGAAATACAGATTTAAAGTGTTAGCTGGCTCTAAAAATTGTAAACAAGTTATCATATTAGAATATAGAAAAATAAGCTAGCCGTTGATAATGCAGCTGTTTAATAAACCTTAAATTCAGTAGATTTGGTTAGTTCAGTGTCAGATAATAAATTCGAGGTCTACTGTATCTACTCAAGTTTTTATAGTCATGTAGTGTCACTAATATATACACACACAAGACGTACACAAGACAGACAGACAGAGAAAATCAACTTGGAATCTGGCACACACGTGTATCGGCTTAAATTGCCACACTTCACAGCAGCGTATAAACAGCAAGTGGATAGGAAAAGCGAGATATCAGAGCAGGCAAAGGTGTATGAAAGGAGAAGGAATTTACAAATGAAGGTTAGCGAAAATATTCAAGCTTTGAAAGACGTCACTGTGGCCTGTTTTTGGGCATATCACCAAGAGTTCTTGACCACTGATTTCTATCGTCTTGGGGGCCCCAACCAGGAAGTTCACATCTCTCAACATAACCCAGACCAACAGTCAGTGACTTTACTGACGGGTACGACGTCTTAGTTTAACCACCCTGAACCCTCTTCCAAGGTAATTCAACTTCTTCTAATGTGGAATGTGGAGATAAGCGGTGACTCGGCATGTGCAACAGGTGTCCACTCCATTTCTTTCGCTGAAGGTTCGCAAGTTCGTCGAGCAAATTACCATACTTGCTTAGTATTCTTCGCCTGTCTTCAACATTGCTCAAATTGTGGTTTCACTATGTTTGAGCAGTGCTACGAATACACATTTGATCAAAAACCTGTAACTGCTTCGCATACTTTTCTTTTACTGCTCATGTTTCACAGCTGTATAACTTGACAGGATAGAGTGCAGCCCAGTATACCCTTCCTTCGATCGGATAAGTATAAACAAACATTTACGCGATTATTGAACTGCACGGAGGTTATATTATTACTCGAGAAAACACTGGTACGTGATTGGTTACCTGTTCCTGAACTTCAGAAAATATACAGTGATATGGTGTAACTGGTGGTAAATTAATCAGCTGAAGAACATCGACAGTTTCTGTATGATGTTAGTAACTTCTGGTTTGAACGTTTCGACAGAAATGTGCTCTCCGAAGTTGTATTATTTATGGACATAGCTATTAGTGGCACTTTATTCATACACAATTTAGAAGTTTGTGAGGATTTACTCATTGATTTCAGGTTGATATTCATCATGGACTGACATCAGTCAGAGAACCACTGAAAACTATGGAGAACTGAACAGCTATTTTGTCCTGGTATTAAACTCCTCATGGGTGTCCACCCATACCACCAACAGGGGTCAAACCCAGGTAAGTAAGCTCTGACTGTGGATAGGGTGACCATTTTATAAAGTACACTGTCCACGGTGACATTTCTTACAGATGGGTCTTTTTCCAACCATGAAACTTTAATGTCAAAGGATTTCAGTCGAAAAATATTCATCTAAAGTCATGAATTAACGAAGTATAGTACTGAACAATCCGGACGGATAGAAACCATTGAAGCTGATCCTTAGGATTGACTAACCAGATCAAAGTGATCTAAACACCAGACTCTTGTTGTTTTTCGTGGACGGTTTCTTACTACTCCTTCTGTTCAGCAGTATATACTGTAGCCAGCTTTCAGATTGCATCAAAGTTTATTAGTATAATGTTATTGAAAATTCTACTCTCAAAACAAAATAAGCGCAGTGAATATTTACGGGAGAGAAGGTGTGACTAAATTAACAAGAATAAGAAAATAAAATTAATCACCAGCATCAGTAGCAATCAAAAAATCGATTTTAAACCGGTTTCTCATCTTATTTCATGCAACGGTAACTAAAGTGGTTGACCTTCATTTTTGGAAAAGGAAATACTATCATTTCCAATCTTCTGATTTACCTTCGACATGTATCTTCACAAGTGTTTTCTACGAACCTCTAAATGTCTTGTTTTAATGACGGGGATCAACTGTGAATCTGCGTAAGTGAAAAGTAGTCAAATCTGCTTAATTTATCTCTCATGTAAAATACCCTTTGATACATGCTCTATCGACAAAGAAGCGACTATTTGAAGTAAATAGCTTGCTGAATGGTGCTATTTTATTGGTTTTAACAGACAGTAGGTTCAAGTTGCGTCAAAAATACATATAATGTAGGCAGTACAAGTTAACAAGACCCAGAAAAACAATATACATCTAAATTCTGTAGTTGAAAAATCATCAACAAGTACTGCTACCAACAGTATAGACAGGTTTTAGGCTCATCATATTTTGTAATTTGATGATCCACTATCCCAACATGACGACCCAGTAGATAAGAATTTATCTCTATCCTAAGAAAGTTATCTGCAACTATAACTCGTCCTGGGGCTGAGGGTAATACTATTATATATTCAAGATTAAACGTGCCAATCAGGGAATATGATACTATAGTGCCGACAAAATCTATTAGTTTAACGTAAATGTATAACTTTGTATTCATCTTGGTGACTCGCAGCGGATTCTAGGGTGCGCATTTCGTCCTATTTGGGAGTCCTCAGCTGGACGTACCTGGATATCAGTGATTGTTGTCCCCACTTCGCTGCAAACGCAAAGTGTTACCCACTAGACTATTAGGGCACAAGACAGACGTTGATTATATTTATTATCGTCAAACTGTCACAGGTAATAAATGTTTGGAGATGTATAAGGATGATGGAGATATAGAGTTTACTGTTAGCTATTTACCACTTGAATAGAGGCTAAATATTTTTTTACAATAAAATGTTTAATTTCAACTTACCTGCATTTCTTGTATCAACAGTAAACTGACAATTTTGATTTGCCATGCCTTCTCGTAAACCAGTACCATAGATTCTAACTTTAGAGGCGTTACCAATCTCACTTTCACCAACATAAATTTTAAATGGACTGTTAGCAATATGTCTACCATTCCGAAACACATTGACAAAATGTTCACCAATCTCATGTGGAGTAAAAGAAATACCTGTTGAACAACAATAAAGGAAACATATTTAAAATGTAGGGATTTAGAGAATGACCAGTAGGGCAAACCTGGTGACTGTGAGGACAAATACTCGACGATGACATTGTCTGATGGTCGCGCTATGTTGTGAGCTGACAGAACCATGAAATACGGACCGCTTGATTCGAACCCAGTGGCTCAATAACAACGTGCTGACCACGGAACCTGAAGGTCACGGGTTCGATCCCTGGTGTCAGAAATCAACAAATTTACTGACATTGACTCAATCCGTCAACCAATAAGAAACAACAAGAAAGTTGAATTTCAGGTCATCAGGATAACCAGACAAAATAAACATGGAAACAATGACAGTACTTTAGAAGGAACTACCAATCACATCCTTGTGTTCTTTCATATTAACAGAGTACCTTTAGTAGTGCGATAACATAAATAGTTTTCAGATTTCTTGATTTCAGGTTGGTATTCATAATGGAATGACATCAGTTAGAGAAACATTGGAAACCAGAGAGCACTGTGTAGCTGTTGTATCTTAGTACAGGACTCCTCATCAGTTCGCACCCATGACCCTACCAAGGATTGAACTCAGGACATTCAGGTTCCAGGGTCAACATGTCACCCTTTAACCACTGAGTTAAAATCCGGTGGTACATATTTCCTACTTCAGACTTTTGTTGAAATAGTATATACCTACAACATTTTATCTACGATCCAAATACAGGTTAGATGATAAGGTATTCTTTTTAACATTACTACTATTTCATATTTGATAACAAGAATGAGTTGAAGTGAAGGAGTGGCAGGAAGAACTGGTCAAAAACAACATCCATCCTTTCATTAAGTCAGTATAAAAATTTTGGAGTGCCTATCTGAGAGAACTGTGTAATTTTATTATTAAAATATAACGTTACATTTACTCTTGTTGCCATAGGATTTTGTTACATCATAGACATTTTCAAGAAATAGTATATTAACTAAAATTTAAACTTGTTTATCTTGTTTTTATTATAATTAGACATAGGAAAAAAGTATGTTGTACTTAATCCAAACTCATTTTTGTTTATCAATTATCTACTGACTACTAGTAAGCTTAGTTCTAGGTGAATAACGGTCACTGGACTTAGAGGCCAACGAAGTTCTCTACGTTGGTTGCAGTACATGCAATATCATTTTGAGTTTAAGCGGATTTGTTTCACAACCTGAAGGTTTTGGTTTCAATCTAGGTTGCAGTCGTTATTGAGTATTGTTCAAGAGATTCAGAGTAAGACGAAATCGCTATTTACTACTCCACGCTTCTCAATAGTTTCCTAAATGATATAAATTCAGCAGTCAAACTATCATGTTGTTAGTAGTTCAGAATCAGTTTGGAAGTAATCTAATCTGTACTAGATTTCGTGCATGCTGGTGCCGGTCATTGAGGTGCACTTGAAACCTTGAGGAAACTGCTCACACTTTGGAGATTTGAATCTACCTCAATCTACACTGAAGTCATAAACTTTATCAAAAGTGTTTTGAAGTCATAAATGAGCCTAAATAGACACAGACGAATTGATGCCGATGACTGAATTGTTCTCATTGAGTGTTTTACTCAAGTCACTCATTGCTATGAAACTGGTGTTTCGTACAAATAAATACAATTACTGTTAATACAGAAATAAGTTAAAACACTGTGGTAGGTTGTAATTCCATTTTACTCTGTTGATTAGAAATGTCAGATAGTGAAACAGTATCATTTACTGAATAACGTTTCGCACACAATTTATCATCCACCTGATATCAGGTAACTCCTTCAGCTTTGAAACGGAGTTTATATAGTCCTAGTTTTCTCTCTTTCTTTGAGACGACAAGGGAAGAAGAACCTTTAATATATCTGAGACAGGTGACGAATTATTTCTATTGCATGTATTTAGTGTTGATTCAATAAAAAAAGATTTGGTTATCGATCTTGCCTTCACTGCACCCAACTAAGGTTTAGAGCTGTCACTCTATCCCACCCCACTGTGATTGTGTATAATTGCATGCAGAGCTATAACCGAGCTTTTTTTTAAATTTCTTGTTTTTCAGCGAGTTTGTTGATTTAAATGCCACTTTAATCCGTGCCTTATTGAGAATTCTTCGTAATGCTTCTGAAGTGTCTTCCTTTTATGGCAATACAGCAGAGGCTTTGAATTTTCTCTTGACCCCGTCACTATTATTACAACTGCTAGTAGAGTCGTTGTTAATAACACCTATTACTATTACTGCTCATATTTTTCTTTATATTTCTTATGAATTCATTCATGAATTCGGGCGGGTAATTGTTGAGAAACAAGGTATTCTTGTCGTAGATTTTCTGGCCTACTAGTAAACTTTTCCGCCCTATCACTTAGGGGTTTAACTAGGTCTTTTTAACTGAGATTAGGTTAGACGATTCGAATGGGAAGGTTTCCTGTAGATGCCGGTCTCTAGACTTCCATCTTATGTTCATTTAATCTTGTAACCCAACATTACTAGGTCACCTTCATGTGTAGCAAGTACCTATTGATGTGTTCCAGTTTCAGTACAGTAAACTTATCATCTATATAACGCAACCATATCTTTTAAGTTGGACTAAATGTGTGAAGTGCTGTTCGTTCCCAATTATCCATATATATGTCTGCAAAGATAGGGGATGTTGCTGATCCCATGGAAACCTCTTTATTTTGTTTATATGTTATATTTTGAAACTGTAGACGTCAGGTATAACCGTAGTCTTAGCATGATTTCCTTAAGCCCATTTCTAACTGCGTCTAGAGCCATGTCGATCGGTATACTTATGTAAGGGGTGGTTATATCGAAACCAACTATTTTTCCACTGTTATCGACTCGTATATCATCTACTCTATGCTTTAAGTCATAAGAGTCAGTAAGTTTGGATTTTGAGTGATTTCATATTCGGCCTGACATCATTGCTAAATATTTAGACAACGCCTAAGTTGGAGTGTTTCTAAAATCTACTTTAGGCTTGATGGGATAACTATCTCCATCTTTCTTCTGTGGTCTCCAGTTTATGGGTTCTCGTCAATGCTAAGTGCAAATACCAGCTCATAATTGCATTCGAAAAAAAACAGAATATATATGTGACAGGGAACTACATAGGATAGACTTAATTCTTCACACTAGCATATACAATAGACAATCCTCTCATACTAATTATTAGTTATTATTCTGAAAATATGCTATACTTTTAGATCATACATTTGGTAAGAAGTACGAGTGGTTACCTATTTCGATTTGTCATTTAGCCATACGTAAGTCTCAGTGACTGATTGTATTCCTCCTGGTACCACAACTTAGAATTCATTGTGTTAAGCGTTAAAGAGTTACAAGTTACATTTTGTTCAACAGGTGTCTGTTGGGTACTTTGATTGTTGATATACAGGACCGAATCAACCAGTCTCAACTGGTACAAGGGCTTCTTGTTGGAGACTATTCACTATTGCCGTTAGATCTCTGTTAAACATATTTTCTACAATATTAGTGACATTTTTCAGTACCCGTTATTCAGCAGCTTTGTGGACGTTTATCTAAAGTCTCAAAACCAACCTAAAATAGCTGAATCCTAGTTTGTTCATTGTGATTTCCGTTATACCTGAACTTAAACTCAACCATCTGACAGTCTTTGACCTTTGACATGCAATAAAACTTGGTTGTCATCTTATAATATTTATGAACATACACAAGACTTAATTTGTTTTTCTTCATGTCCTTGTCAGAAGTGATGATGCAGTTTGGGTTATATATTCAGCTCAATTTTCATAGTTTCACATATTTATTGATATAGCTAAAATAAGACAGCTCATAAAAAGCTTTTACTCAGTACGAAGTTTACTAAAATCCTAATCCATTTACTTAACACTTTCATGATAATTTAAAATAACTTTAAGTAGTAAAAACTCTTCACATACCCAAGTGTCCATTTGGCAATCTCTTAAGTGTAGATGGTTGTTCAAGACCTGATGGACTGCGAACAGTTGCGACCAAATTATAAATGTCTGTTTCTGTGATACGTAACGGCATTTCACTTGTAGTTCCCACACAGACTTGATTAAATCTTTTAGACTCACCTGTTAATCAAGAGAAATCGGAAAGTTTATATCACAATAGTTGTTGAATGAGGTATCTTTGTTATAAAGAACTAATGACAAACAGTAGGAAGCATAAATGCATTAAGTTTGATAAATTAATGGTTTTAAAATACATTTTGCTATGAAGGTACTCTACGGCATTATTATATGGCCATGTTTGCTTACTGTTTACTCATTACTTGTTACTGTATCATTTGATATTTAGATATAATTGTTTGTTGATTTAAAGTACTGCTATGGAAGGTAAAACGGCCTAACACTCTACGAGCGATGCCTGCCTAGCACACTAAGAATCTAACGCGCAACGAATTGATTCTAACGCAAACTAGAAGGTCAACCACCACAACAATAATAACACAGACGCGCGAAGACAAGAAGGCAGACAGTTGACAGGGAGCTTCCTACCGTCTCAACAACAGTCAATAGAGTTGACAGCTATGCTGAATATTTACATTTCTAAATGACCTTTAAAACAGAAAGCAGAAGAAAAAAGACCAGTAACCGTATGAAAACAGCCAAACAGGTTATTTTAAGATCATAGGAAGACAGCAGGTTAAGCTTCAGATAATTAGGAGTATACAGCAAGTACCTTCACTCATTTTATCAAGGAAAGAATGATTTGAGGCTTGTAAGCTAGTTGGTAATTGTTTGCTTGAGCTAGACTTTTCAACATACCCAAAGATAGAGATCTTCTATCTTATTTTTCACAAAACGGTAGTCGAGGCGAAAACTTAAAGACCACCCTTACAACTGTTAATATAACCAGTTAGGTTTTCGCATTGTATGATGAATCTTCCTGTTTAGTTGAAATCAAGGAACTTGGTTATTTCAGTAGTTTTTAGGACCGCTGTTAAATTAACTGAGGTATAATGACGTAAATGTGCAGAAAGGATTATATTCGAATTAAATTACTTGATATTAAGTATGATTCCCTAGATGACTACAGTGATATCAGCCAGGATTGGTCTTTTTGTACATATTCGATACACATTGCATCTGGAGTATCTTTAAGCTTAAGAATAGCATAGGATAGAAAATAAAAATACTTCAGAGAAGAATATTATTTTCTTTAAGTTCTCGTCAGGTTCTACAACTATGAAATCCAGTTGCACAGAGTAGATAAAACAAGTCAAGTTTGAGGTGAATGCGTTTTCTGAAAGAAATTTGAGTTACGGTCTTTAAGGAAATCGATTTTCTTTCCTAAATCTATCAGTAATAAGATGGTATATATGCAGATGAAGAGAGATTGTTATGGTAGAAGAAAAGACAACGAATAAAAAAGACACGAGTAGCCTTTAGTTTACTGAAGGTTAATGAAGGAATAGCATTTCAACATGTTCATACCGAATGCACAGTTCAGATTTGATTCGTCATATTGAGACAGAATTAACTTCAAACTTCATTCCCTCCTTGATCTTCAATAAACTAAAGACCACTCCTATATTGCTTATTCAATGTCTAATCTTCGATCATGACATTCTTCATCTGCATGTGTATCATCTTAATAATGACTAATTTAAAACGAAAAACTGATTTCCTTACAAACCCTAACTAACATCTTCTTCTGAATATGTGTTCGCTTTAACCATGGCTTGTATTACTCTGTACAATAGCATTACACAATTGTAGGACCTGAGGAAAACTTATTCAAAAGAATATTTTTCTTTCAGACTGTTTCTAATTCATACTATGGAAATCTGTAAATTTTTAAATAATGTTTGAGCTGCCACCTTTCTACTGTGTTCACTATTTGTCTTAAACCATATAGCGCACAAGGTCACTTCACTACACCTTAGAAGCAAATCGTTTATTGATTTTTATTTCTTTTGCTATAAGCTTCATACAGCATCATTAACCACATAACTTCTTGGGCACAATTTATCACTCATAATAGTTTAAAAGTGATATGACCAAGATATGATTATGAGCAATGAGGCGTGCTCAGAATTTCATCTAATAAATAAGACGGTTTCATTCTGTGATATATATGATATAAAGACTCAGGTTAAATTTTGTCCTACCAAAGTGCCCAAATTCATCTTATCTAAGCAGACCATCTATTCCTTTCTATTTAGGTGATCTTTCTGAGTACTTTAAGAGGTTTTTCTCCTTCGGTGTCTTCCTTCACTTTCAGATTACTGGTTCATGCATATTTTACCTTCACCACTGCAATTGACTGATCTTCACGGTTTAAAAATGATTGTCCTATAAAGAAGTACTCTATACTATCTCACCTGTGCAGCTATAGCTCAGTGATTTAGGGGTATGACTATCAGGTAGCTGGTCAGGTTTTGGCAACCAGATAGTATCATTAGCTTAAACACAATGAGTGTAGTTTATTGCCTACTGCACAGATGTGCACAGTGTGGCCAAGTATGCGCAGTTCCGTTCCACCAGTGACGTCTAGTCGTCTTTGTAGTTTCACACAGTACTAGATTTTCTTAAGAGTCAACCAATTATCGTCATTAAACCTGTAAGGTACATATAAATTTGAATTTCCCTGCTATCAGTACAAACTAGTAAATTTCAACTGGACTTGATAGTCAGCTAATTGCACGTAATTTTTCTCATACACTGTTTCACAAATGAATAGACTATTTCAGTGAACTATGAAACGGAAGTCAGGCTATACTATTCAACTACTAACCGCGTTTTTATTTGAATTCAGTCATCAAATATCTTCTTAACTTTCATACGAATCATGAATGATACTTATTCGTTATTTAAAACACTCGCTGGATATTGTGTTCATACCTCACTATTAGTTAGAATTTAAAGTTATTTTTCTCACACAGTCACAAAATTTGAAGAAAACATGAAAATCTGAAAGCATTGAACACATTTTTCGCCTCCGTTTCGGATTTGTAAGAATACACACCAACGACTGTGTGAAGGGTTAAGTCACATACCAGCAAGTCTTGTGGTATGTTACCATTCAACCAACAGACCGGAACTCATGGTCCATAGTCTATCACCTTTTGGGTGTAAGAACGAATACTCACAAGTGGTATTCAATGATAGTTGCACTATGTTACAGATCGAACAAAGTGGAAAAATATGGACCACGGGCTTTCAACTAGATGACTAGGTGATCAAATGCTCACCGTCAGATAAGAAAGTTCTGGTCTTGATCTCACATACAGCAATAAGTTTATGCCGCTGTGGAGAATTTAAATGTAATAAAAAAGCTGTCCATTGCCACCTGAATTGGAATACTTCTCCAGCTGGTGTTTTTCTGTGACAAAGACTACCTTGAACAGCACCATAACTGAAGCATCGATAGCTGTTTATTAAAATGTTTTCATTATGCAGTGGTTAAAGTAAGGATAGACACATTTCAGCTTACCTGCAATATGTGCAGTAAATGGTGATCCAGGTATATGGTTTTCCATGAATTTTATCGATATAGTATATTCTCCAGGTACCAAAGGTAAATAGCTTACGCTGCAAGTACCATTTTTGTTATCATCGCATTGTATGTCAGCTTTAGATGGTCCTTCAACTGAAAGCGATAATCCACCTGGTAAAATAAAGATTTAAGAAAATGAACAATTTATGCGTAACACTTTTATCAGTAACTAGTGAAAATAGTTGACATTTATTATCAACTGAATTTAAAATGAAGAAAATGTAGCAGTTGTGCAACCAAGACAATATTTTTCAAGTTGGTATGAATCATGGACCCACAACATTTGGAAGAAAATTGGAAACCTGTGAGCATTGGACAGCTACTTCGTCCTAGTATGGGACTCCTCAGCAGTGTGCACTCATGACTGACAGGGACAATATTTCACTAAATTCACAGTTCAAAGTAAAAATGATTATTGAAGACAACCGAATGTTTCAAACTTAAAAGTAAATAAGGAACGGCATTGTGTAAGGGTTATTTATATGGTTATTAGTTGATGTAAGTGACTTTCAACCAGTTAGTAACACAAGTCAAAACAAATTACACCCTGATAACGTGTAACTCAGACTGAAAAGGATAAGTTTAACATGTAACCACTCTATAATATTCATAGAAAATTATCGGTTACATTAAATCTTGTAATAATCGACAAGTACAATAGACAATCTCTTAACAAAATTCAATTTTCCATGTGTAAATGATTACAAGACATCCTTAAGTCATGATATATTTTACCTACACGTTTTGATTATAAATTGATCATATGTTTGAAACCTTATACACTGATTGGTCGCGGGAGACCAACCGATTTCATGTTGTCTAGTCCTGTGTACTAATGGTATTTTATCGATCATTCTTGCAGTGTGATCACCAGGCTAGGAGGGGCAGCGTCTTGGTGGGACTCCTAGCTTATTGACCACAATCCAAAAATGGTCGATACAACTCGGTCAGCCCTCAACCAATGTATGCAACTCGGTCCTATAGGAAGTTAGTCGTGTCACAAATAGCTCAGTAGTAACGTCGCTGACTATAGTACTGGGTAACGCCAGTTCGAATCCCAGAAAGAATATCAGTTCCCTGAAGTTCGAATATTCGTCTTGCTGCATAAAAGATTTTTAACAGTTCTCACGAAGTTGAATTGAGCTCAGTATGTATTGTTGATCATAAAAAAGTAACAAGCTGCATAAGAACAACAAAAATAAACAAATGGATGGCGAGCATAAGCCAAACATATTTTCAAGTATTATCTAGTCAGATACGCGGATGATCAATGTTTAATGGGTATTGCGTAGTCCCCGATGATAATAGTTCCCTAAAAATGTCACTCCATTTGTAAATGATTCACTAAATGAGGATGTTAGATGTACGGTAGTAAGCCAAGGAGGTTTTAGAACGTTTTCGCTCAATGGCTCTTCGAAAATGTGTTATACAAATGTGGAAACCTCTAGCACTGGCCTGATGTGTAAACTGGAATAAAAGAAGGATCGTATTGATAAAAGAAAGAACTGTAAGTTGCGGCAGTAACAGATGCTTCTGTTTCATTCCTTTCTTTACTTTTTAATTCAACTAGTTCATTTTAGCATGCTCCATGTCCTGAATATTTCTTGTTCTTACTAATCATTTATAGTCTCACTTCTGTATAGGTTACGTAACATCATTTCTGGAGAAAATGACAGTGATTTAGTGATTGTTACAACTTGCTGCAAACACGAGTGTAAATATACAGAAACAAAAATGGTCATCTGATGTTTACATTCTTTTAGTTAGAAGTGCTTATTGGTCGAAGTGGATTGTATATACTCATGTCAACCAATAGTAATTATCTTACATACTTCTGGTTGCTATCTAAACTTCATTTTTGGTGTCCAGTAGACTACAGTCTTTGGTCTGCATATTTTAATCTCCAAAGAAACTTCCAAAAAAAATTTGTTTTAGGGTTATTTCTAATTCTTATGCCGCTAAAATTCAGGGACCTTAGATGAGCTCAGCATGGAAATGATTTTTCTGTTAGGAAAAGCTGTAAACGTAGAAGATATAGTTTACGTTTGACCTATGAAAGATGCCCTAAGAAAACGGTTATTTTGCACTATTATTCTGTGGATAGTTTTGTGTCCTCTCTTATCAGTGATTAATTCTTTTAATGTTTTATTATTACGACATAATCACCACGTAAATTATGTTACAGAGACTCTAACTTGATGGCCTCGCTGATGTTTGGTCAGCAGGTCTCTGTCTTAATCGTGTTATTCACATTTAACTTGTTTAAAAGTGAAAGATGAGGCTTGCGACTACAATGACTGCTAGTATCTCATCTTTTCTCATTCTAGTCGGTGAATCATTGTGTAATTTCAGAAACAAGCGTAGAAGTCACTTGTTTTTGTAAGGTATGACAAAATCCTGCCAAGTGTTATCTACATAGTTATGAAGAGATGCGTCATATGGCAAAGGAGAAAACATATTTGACGGGTGGAACATAGTAAATTCAGAAAGCATTCTTCAGATTTTCCAAGTCACTTAATTTTCCACTTCTCTTTTTATATTTTTTGTGCGCATAAATTGGTCACTAATGGTTAACCAATGTAACTGTCCCTTTCTTTGTGCTAACCAGTGATCTTGGTCTATCGATCGAATTTTGCAGTGTGTTCACTAATCAAAGTGAGACGACACTACTGTTTATTGTATTGTAGTGTTAAATGGCGGAAGTCAGTCTGCAGAAAACTCTGGATTCGGATTTTGGAGTTGTCGGTAATCATTAGCAACATAAATCTTAGCGGTTAAGTCTCTGTCTCCGGTGCTGAGTGGTGCAGATTCTCCAAGGGAACACAAAATTTATCGCGGTTAAAAATATGCCCTACTAATGGGTGCCAACAGGGACGACTGCCTCCTACCATCTAACAACGAAATATAGTTTTCGAAGTTTTCAAATCTTGCAATCCCGCATATATATATATATATATATATATATCAAATTTTCGATAGACATTATTTTGATGAATAAACTATAAAGTTGTGGATTTTAAGAGATGGTTAGTTGAAAGATGGTTATCTTCAGCCGATATTATTCGGAGAAAAATTAGAATAACAAGTAGGAATGGACAGTTGATCTGTCGTAGTTCCGTATTTCCCAAACAGTTACGACTTATGTTCTTGAAGAATTGGCGATTATCTAGCCGTAGAATGTCCTTAAAACCAGTAGAATTTTATAGAGTCTTGAAGTGACGAACATTTATAAGGAACAAATTTCAAGTAATCCATCTGTTTTAGGAATGAGAGCATGAAGGAGATTTTTATGTATGGTTTCCAATTTATGGAAATGAGATTTGTTTACATCAAAGGAAAGGAATATGTGCATCAAAAGAGGTAGTGAACAAAACAGTGCATTACACTGGAGAAAAAATATAATGAAGGATAGTGATGTTTTGTGACAACGAAAGCAAAACATAAACCATCTACCAATCATGAAGCTTACACACAGCACTAACTATCATCTGATGAATTGTTTCTTCCTTTATAAAAGGGTGGATATAAGTAAATATCCAACTGGAATTCAGTTATGTACGGAAATGCACCAATCGCTTCAATTTCATTGAAATCTATAATGACAATACATTTTAGTTAGCAATAAATTTCCAATTAAATTAATTGGTCTAATGTTTACGTCTTCTTTTTATTAAGTATTCTACTTACCTGCACCGGCATCTCGTGTTATCAAAGTGAAATTAGCTGGTTCTCCAGCCCTTCCGTAAGATAATCCTGGCCCATAGGCGGTTACAATTCCAGATCCAACAGCTTCAACATAAAATCTGAATGGACTTCCTGGTATTGGCTGACCATTGTAGGTGATTTCTAGTTCATGCAAACCAGGTTCAGTTGGCTGAAATTGTGCTGTAACCGTTCCGTCTCCATTGTCAATTAAACTTGGACGTAGAACACGACCACTTGGTGTACGAACCAGACCTTAAATTTGAATAAACATTATAACATTTTGAAGTTATCTTGGTTAAAGATGTTGGTAGGGTTACATTAAATCTTACAGGTACACTACAAGTGATGACAAACATATTTTATAGCAAAACTCAATTTAAGAGGCAACTAGTGTAAAGTTACTCTGATGGCCAGACTGGCAAAATACTGAACTAACCCTCCAGTTTTCTCCATTTTCTGAACTGAAGTGTCTTTTCAGCCAAAGTGAAGAAACGTGATTCTTTTTCATCACGATAGTAAAAGTGATAGAAGAATGACTTTCACTGAATTTAAAAAGAGTAGCGTCAAGATCAATTTTCACATCGCAGACGATAAAGGTATCATCTATATATCTTCTACATAGATGGAACTGATCGGTAACTGGATGTAGTACAGGATTTTTTAAGTTAGCCAAAAATCAGTCAGCTAGAAGGGGATCCAAAGGGTGGCGTTATGGGTACTTCATCGTTTTTTCGATAAAATTCATTGCTGAACTTGAGTTGCATAATAAAAGTGCGTCGTAGAAGTGATTCCTTTCCATAATGAATACGTAAACCTATGTAACTACATCGGAAACAACATGTATCGGCAAGTGGAACATTTGGGAAGGGCGAAATGAGATTCAAAGACAGCATTCATTTTCCACGTACAATGAGGCTGCTTATTGAGTTGACGAAGTTTAATTCGAGAAATTTAGTCAGTCAGTTAGCAACCTCATGATGTGGAGAGTAACCTCGCCTGGTTAACTAGTTCACTAGTTACTAGCCGGTCCTAAGCCTGGAATAAGAGGGAAGGTTGGGAATAAGGCTAGCAACCCTACCCAGTAAAACCAATCCAACCGCTACAGAAACTTCAAAGCACAAACAAAATATAAAAAATAAAATAAACCTCGTTCAACAACTATATGAAGACTACATATGCCAAGTAATTCACAATGGGAGGCTCAGTGATGCTTTTGAAGTGAATACAGAAGTAAGACAAGGCTGTCAACTATCACCCATGATATTTGTGGTTGTGGCTGACTGGACTGAATCATGCAGCAAACTGTGAGGAGCGAGAAGAGGGGGATACGCTGGAAAGAGGAAAAGAACCTAGAAGATTTAGATTTCGCCAATGACTTGTGCTTAATGTCGCACAAACTTGAAGATCTACAGGCGGAAACTAACAAGTTGACAGAAGAGGCAGGGCAGAGAAGAATGGACTTCAAGTGAACGTAGAGAAGACAGAGGTGATGAAGATACCGCACCACCACCAACAAGCTCCAATCACCATCAATGGGAGAAACTTTAAGGAAGTAGCCTCTTTCACTTATCTAGGCAGCAACGTTTCAACTGCAGGCCGTGGTGGCACAGACCAGTACCTCAAAGCCAGCCAGGATCGGAAAGACAGCAAGACAGGCGTTCATTGGCCTGAAATCAGTGTGGAGATCCTATGCACTGCACTCAGCATAAAGCGTGAACAACGTCCATATTTTCAACACCAACGTCAAGTCGGTGCTTCTATGTGATGCTTCAGAACTTGGCGCATCACCAAAAGCACTTCCAACAAACTACAGATATTCATCAACAGCTGCTGCCTACGCTCGATACTGACACTGAAGCTCAGATGGCCAGAAAGAATAAGAAACAAGGAACTCTGGCTGTCAACGAATCAACCAGGAATCTATCGCTCAACAAATATGCAGAAGAAAGTGGAGATTGATTGGGCATGCACTGAGAAGACCATTCGGGGACATCACGCACCAGGCCAGGTCGTTGAGTGAAACCCAGACGGGAAACGGCGAGTTGGGCGTCCGGGGGTGACATGGAGGAAGAAATGAGAGCTTCTGGGCAGTCTTGGAGTGATGTTCAAAAGATTGCAGAGAAGGGAGTGCACTGGAGACGTGCAACTGAAGCACTATGTTCGACTAGGGACCCAAGGGATAAATAATGATAATATAATAATAATGTTGTGGGGAGTCATTCATAACCATATTAGACGGCGAGGAGCATCCTTGTTGTGTACCTTCAGTTCCATCGATATACAAGACATACGGATGATACTTCCATCATCTGCAATGGGAAAATTGATCTAGGCGTTTTTCATTAGTTGCTACGGTAACATTTAGAACCCAGTGTTCCCAAGATCCACCTCAACAGCCAATAAGTTTCTTCATTTTGACTGGACAGGTATTTTTGCTACAAAATAGTGAAACTTAATTCCACATTAGATTGTTTATGTGATGTGACATACAGTGAACACAGTGATGCCATATGAAATAAACAATCTAGTATGGAGTTATACTTTGCCACAGTGCTCAAGTTTCACTCTTACAATAGTGAGAAGAAATTCGTTACATCAGTGGTTGTTTAGAGGACATAAGTGTCACCTCGTTGTGACAGTCACTTGGCCTTTTATTTTAATATATATATCTGATAGTAAAAATTCTTGTGTAATGTGGACATTAGTTAAATTCTGAGTGGCTAAGATTAGCTTCTTGACCTCTCCCCTCAGACACATTCTACTTGTATTGAACAAGGAAATTAATTATTTGGAACTTAAAGATGAACCCTTAATCATCATACTAGATGATGTTACCAACATAATTTGCATATTGAAACGGTTCAGTTACAACAAGAACAACACAGCTCAAGAATTCTCAGTGACCCACCACTTTCTTCAAAATGCGTCTCGTTGATTGATATTAATTGATGCATGATCTAGACTTGATCTAAAGGAAATCTTTGCATTTCTCAGAAGATAATGAGATCAGACTATGATGCATTCACAAGATTACTAGGCAAAATATGGTTCGCTTGTTCGTATATGTGGCCGTTTGAATGCCATAATACGACCAAAGGTTAGATACCAACGATCACTCTCTCAAAATCCTCGATTAGGTTCAAACATTAATAGGTTTCTCCAGAGAAGTCATGCTGACTGCCTTCATGTGACGGAGAGGGGTTCCTAAAAAGTGAGAGGTCTAAATAGAATGTGTAGATCTGTCTGTGTAATGGTACACACAGAGGATGCACCATGAGAATCATGAAAACGCTAATCTTTGACAAGTGGCGGACATGGGCTCCACCATGTAGGACGAATGGCTGGTCTAATACTAAGGACTGTTTTCTGCAGCTTTATTGATATCACAACCTACTTCTAGCCAGTAGCAATTTATGCTGCAGCCATTATCGTTGTGGTACTTAATTTTTTCCCTCTACTACTCAAGCATGGACTCAAATTAATCGTACTCAGACCAGATGCCGAAGAAAGTTATTGTGGTTAGAAAAAACATCTAGTAATATTAAAGTATAAGATTACGTCTCTGTATATCAAACTAGTGTGTTTAAATGCGTACGTGTAATGCGGAGATACTAAACAAGCATTAATTTATAATTCATATTTGTCGGTCATTGTACTACAATAGTGAAGAAAGTTAACATACTAAAATTCTAAATGATCCCTTTAGTTTACAGTTGGGTTTGATTGTATGATTTGTGCCACAGAATGGAATAAGTAATTTAAAGCATAGAGTAAAATAGCAGATGGAAAATGCAGAAAAATAAATACAACATCAGATGGCTGAGGCATAATGCCATCTCTATGATATCATGTCATTCGTTTTCTTATCCATTTATAAGCATTTATCTTTCAGTTTAGTTACAGTATTATAAATGAAAGCATTTTCACACCAGGTCGCTTAGCTCTTGTTTTCATATTTTAGGGAAGAAAACCTTACAGATGTTTTGAGTATCTGTTATAGTATTACCTTTTAAAAATGCTAATCATATCCTTAATTCTTGTGAATTTAGTGACTAGACTACAATGTGTACTCTAGTAAAACAGGTTATTCTTCGCGCAAAATACCAAACTAAACTTTGTCAGCATTATAGTTGATTAATTGGAAAAATCCCTTAAAACTGTAACAAGTACCACTGGGAAGCTCATATTTCTGTGAAGAGTTTTTAAGTTTTTCATCCAATGTATGACATACCAGATCGTACATATCAGATTCAACTGATATAGGAAATCCAGTTAGGCATGCTTATTTAATTTATTCAGCAACTTGTCTGACTAACTAGTTTGTGGATAGGTAGTACAGCTGTGTGATGCAAGAGATCTTCAAAGACTAGTGTAACTAGTTTCTAACTGTCTGCTGTGTTTACCATTGGACTTTATTGGCAGTTCAACTACTTCATGAAACTGATAATAGGTAGAGTGACAGTTTAACTAACAGCTTTTTTTATAAGTACAATATACACGTTAATATATCAAGATGTGTGTTACAAATATTGTCTAGGAGTTGCTGATTTTGGAATAATGACAAACATTTGTATCTCAGGATGAACGTGATACGGGTTACTGCTTAGGATATCAATCAGCCTGATGGTGAAACGTCCAGAAAAAAATAACAAATCTCAGGTAACACCAAACCAACATCATTTGGTGATTCCAATCGACTTTCTGAGTTAAAGAATATTACATCTATTTCAGTTCAGAGCCTATTAATTAAACATAAGTTGCATGGATCGTAGGTGAATCATAAAGCTATATACACCATCAACGTAAAAGAAGCTCAGGAGAAAAGTTTGACATGAAATTTTCTCTCTACTTACCTTCTACATGACTGAATGTTGGACCAACAGGCAATTTGAAATCAACTGGATGATATCCTGTTGTAATTGTAGATGAGTGAACTGATTGTACAGAGTGTACATTAACATGTTGTGCTCTTTGTTCCTGTGAAAAATGTTTAAAAAAGGTCATAAACGTCCAGTCAGATAATATCAAATCGATGCCCCTAGTAGTACGATATTTTATTTATTTACCTAACTAATCATTCGCGCGCACACAAAAGAAACTTCAAACATTACAGTGCATAAATCAGATGCCTTTTTCAACAGTGCTTACATTAAAGTAATTTACTTGGTTGTGGCTAGAAAACGAATCTGGGATGCGCGTTTCATCCTGTTTGGGATTCGTCAGCTGATATACCTATATCCCAATGAGTGATTTTGTTCCCACTGAGGCTCTAACCTCGTACCCATCGTTTCAAAGGCCAGGGAAGCACAATAACCACCTAATAAGCTGACGAATCCCAGGTAACACGGAAAGAGCGTCCTGGATCCCTATGCTGGCCACAACCAAGTAAATCACCATAATTAGCATTCAGATAATATCAAGGCTTCCACATAGGAGCCCAAATGCCAATGGAGGTGGAACAATTCGATCCGGTAAAACACCGGAGAATAACAAGTAGAGCAATAAATAGTAATAATGCTTATATTGTTGACAATAATCTTGGTTAGCATACTAGAATACGGGTGAAAATTATTGCATGATGGCTAGTTACAATAGCTACTTAGATGAACAGTAACAGTTAGAAAGCAATTCAAACATGTAAGGCAACAGCTAACTGCACCTGCTTGTTAGTCACTCTAATAATCTTACGGATTCATCAGCCGTTTAACTAGAAAGACGGAACTCGCTTTGTTTAGTTAGGAAGCTCATATTTCATTCATCTCAAACAACCTGTTGGATGACGACTTCAAGTTAATCTCCACAAAAGTGATGAATGCTTACTGACTAAAAATTGTGGAATGGAATGAGGTCACTGTCTAATGCTTCTTTGACTTTAACTGCTCCTTCACCTAATACTAACTTTGGAACTTCATGATAACTACCTTAAGACTTACCATGACATCGGCTACGTGTAAGTTTCTCCTTTTAATCTTGATCCGAACAAAAACTGATGGTGAATTAAGCGAGAAAGCTTTGATGGTACAATGCTAACATTCTTCTTTTTTACCAAACCTGAACACACATATATATATAATCAGAAGTATGCTACAAAATTGTGGAGAAATACAAGTCTCGCTTCCAATAGCATTATGATGAGTAGGTTATACACAGACTTAGTCTAAGTTGCATGTTCACCGATAGCTCACAGAATGGCAAATAACATGAAGCATATTGCAATCTGAATTAGGCTTCTAAGATGGCCACTGATAACTGGCCAAATAACTTAAAAATTGGAATAACCTAAGAACAACAAAAGTCTGAAATACATGGTACTGATAAAACTTCTGAGAACAACGCTTGAGTAAGTGATTTGAACAACCAAGTTACTAGTAAGCTGATGTCCTAGTACTACGAATAACTATACTTATTGAGCAAAGACTGACAATTCTATATAGGGTTAAATGTAAGACTTCTGCTGACAGTAAGTCGGGTTTATAAAATTAGACGCTGAGTGGTACGCGTTCACTCCAGAAATACCTATCAGTGATGAGGGATAAGAAACGCCATATCTAGATCACGTAAGGGTAACTTTGGAAATCTAACACAAGAGGGATTGCACATCGGGATTATACCATTTAGCACAATGGTTACACTGAAGATACATTTCTATCAACACTTCAAACAGTTACACTGGTTGCCATCCGATGACTAGTCCTGCTTTCGATGCCCATACTGATAATCCTTGGTAAGTGATGAAACGCCAATTCAGTGATTTACTTCTTCTGAAAATATACTTCAGCTGATATCAAGTTGTTGCTGAATCTGTATACTAATCAACCTAATGCAGATTCATAATTTGATAAGTAGATTGAGCAGTCATTGTGGCCAAACTGGGAAGGTGTTCAACTCAAATTATCCTTTGATTTTCCTTGGTAGGAAGTCTTGTCTGACTTACTTAACTTTAATGAGACAACAGTTCTTTCATCTTCAGTATACTGTGTTTTCCATTTGGATTTGGACTTTATTTGTGAAGTGCTTAGGTTGAAAGTTAACTGCTATGCTATTCAAACTACGGGGAACTCCCTGTAGGACTGAAGTATCCACACAAATTGGTCACCGTTTAGTCATCGAGGTAGCGGTAAAGATATTGAGGCCGAATGATATATTTCGATATGGTTTATTGGCAAACCACTGAATATTTGGTACAACGGTGTGGTGCGCTAAGTTTTTGTGTTATACGTAGTGCCTTATAGAGTGGACAAGTGGTCGAAAGGTTTTTGTTCTTTGTACACGTTTAGAGTTATAACACAACAAATTAGAACAATCGTATACCCTGTAATCAAATAAGCAGTAGAAAAAGCTTGCAAAAACTTGCTGGGTAATTTCACAGACCATCCATCATATATATAGTGAATTATTTATGAACTCGTAAGATCTAAATGCGTGTTATAACTCCGTCTCTTGGCAACGATAACTTTTTTGATGTCATGAATAAACATCGGAAAATAAGCTTTTTTTCTACGTGAGTATATCAGTATATGTAAGTAAGGGTATATGTAGTACTAATAGTTTGAAGTGATTCACTTTTGCTGAAATTTAGAAATTATACTGGCATATCCATATCCAAGGAACTGCTTGAAATCAGTAAACCTGGCAAAAGTCTAGTTTTAGTGGTATTGAAGAATTAGGTTTCAAAAAAAACTATAATTTCTTACTGACTAATTTGATAAAGAAAAGGTAATTTTTCAACATTTAATATTTGTGGATATAAGTTGGGCGAAGGTGAGCTGGCTTTTTGATATGGTTGTATTCTTGCCTTTAAGTTTCACCTCTGAGTTTAATTTTGAGAAGCTATAGTTTTAGCAAGAACAAGGGTTACATTGCTAAAGTGAAACCCCTAATAAAAACAAAATCAGGTGCACACTTGATTTGTTTTTCGTAGTAAATTGCATTATAGAACAAGACTAGTTAAAAGAACCCCCATTATCAGTCAGAGAAGTTGGTCTGCATACGTTTTTATCATTTGTTTTACAATTAAAAGTTCATTCAATCGTTTTATGTGTCTTTGACAATAACTAAGCATTTCGACTTCAGTTTCACTATTCTTAATGAAGTCCCACAGGATCAAACATATGTGATTGATCAACTGTTTATGAAGCAGAATAAAGTAGATTATTAAATACAGTAGAAGTCAAGGTTGACTACAAATTCCCGTAGTTGCAACACACACCTTTTAATAGAGACTTTCCACGGGCATCATATAAGTCTTTCCTTAAATAGTTTACACTGACGTATATGGCTCAACGTTAAGTTTACCAGTCTGACTATTGAAATCGTACATCATTTTAGCAGAGAATTTGAATTTCACTATTTACACAACCGTGGCCTGAAGAACAACTCGTTTTAAAAAGTGTTTACTGTTCTATACAACAGCTGACTCTTCACTTGGTTTACATGCCTAAATTATTTGAAGCACTGAGAGATTTACTTGGTAATATACTTAGACGTACTCAGTGATGCTATCGTAAGCATCAAAGTGCTTTTAGACCTTCCATTACATGATCATACTTATTAATATGAGGATGATAACGAATTACGTTAATAGGATTTTTTTTCAACCCTTTTTTTTCTTAAAACTTACCGTTACTTCGGTGATTAGGTCCTCTGGATTGACAGCCTGAAATTTAAAATGAGAGAATATGATGGAGTTTACAGTTTACTTCAAATGGATTCAAAATGCAAGACTATTTATGATAATTTTCTATAATTCATTCAAAGTTATATGGGCTATAAGATTGAAAAAAATTCTGAGGATAGTTGTTCTTTCTCCATGAGTGTCTACTTCAACATGCTCTGCAGAAGAGTGTCAGACACAGACCACCGATTGACTGTCCAGTGGGATAGAAAATAGCTTAACAAAGTGGAAGACAAAGAGTACAATTGATGATTTTCGATGCACATCATCAGATCCGGAAATACTAATTAGCGACTATCGATCAAAAGAGAAAACTAAGAAGCATACTCACGATACAACACATGATAACGTTAACGACAGCAATTGAAAAATCAAGCAAGTGATATAAAGAACAACGAAGAAACATCTTCAGGAAAAAGCTGCTTTACACTTCAGAAGCACCTACAATTGAGGGAACAAACGACTTTGTTGCTAACTCATCAAAACAATTACTATCAGAAATGGAAGGACTTAAGAAAGAATTGAACTGAAACACAAGAGATACCTACAAACCAGAATTCTTCACTGCATCCGAAACGCCACTTAAAACATCAAGATTATATGAGGTCACTCAACGAGAAATACGGCAAACAATCGTACCACTAACCAGGCAGAGGACATATCACGCTCAATGGACACTTAAGAGCAGAAAACATTAAAAAGAATGAAAAATAGGAAGGATATCATTACACTTCCGGTAGACAAAGAATGCACCACGATAGTCATGGACAAAGAAGACTGCATCAAAAAGACAGAGGATTCACTCAAAAACGAAAATGTATATCAACCACTTGAAACCAAAGCCTGAGGATCTGTGCATGGTAAATGAATCAAGCTAAAGAAGGGAAGATTTGAAAAGGTCACCTTACTCAATGTATCCTAGGTGTTTGATCCGATGGGTTACTCTTAAGGTCACCGCAGTAAGTGATAAAATAATCTGTTATTTTACCTCATTTTATGAAAAACTACCCACACGAGGGAGCCTGACTAGTTATCTTGTTTGATGTTAAATTAACCTGTAGAATTACACCTTTTACATCAAACTATAGTTTAATTCAGCTAGTAGATAATTTCTCCTAGTTGTTATTTGAATAAGAAACGTATTACTCTATCCAGTAGCTTGCATATCAAGTTGAAATGCAAAAAATTAATTACTATTCCGAATCGATTAAGTCTATCCGTTAGAAACGTTGACAAAAATATTGATGTTTTTTTCGAATATGGTTGTCCAAATGTAAGAAATATCACTTTCCAAAATGGTAATCGATTTCAGCGTCACATTCTTACTGCTGATCTAGGCCTGTAAAGAAAGCCATTTCGGTTTTAGAATTGAGTGATCAATGAATGTTGCCAGTCCAGTCTTATAAGGAGTTAGTCACAACTTTAATAGCCTACTGAAATATTGATGGGGTGACTAGTTTTCAAATTCTCTAGACAGTATCAGTTTTCTTTAGGTTACAGATACAACTTTATGATGACTGTTTACAATCATGAAACCTGCGGTAGCCAAGGTGCCCCGGATACTGATCTCAAATATTTAAAACTAAACGTCAAAAATGCTGGTAATTTAATTCAAGAGATGGTTTTTCTAGGTTAGAGGTAAATATATCTTAACAGTAGTTATCTAATAGTCTAGTGCTTCTTAGATTTATGCCCTAATATGAGCTGAAATATATAGAAAGAGGCATTTTCATCAAAGGGGATTACATTCATATATTCGAAATCTAGTCTCATGAATCACGTTAGACTTGTTAAAACATAAACTTATTTCGCCTCATGATAATGTGCAAATAAAACTCATCGTCTTGGGAAAAAAATTGTTTGGAAGAAGGCGAATCGATTGTTTGTGACCTAAGATTCCATTATAAAGTCGTCGACAGTCATTTGGGTAAGTAGTTCAGATGAAATAACTGGTATCACAGTAGCTACAAGTCAAATGCTTCAGATTTGTGGCTTTAAATCCTAGCGGAAACATAAGCATATTGGGATCTGCATTCATTTGTTTGATGAGTTTCAAGTGTAATGAAACGGATGTCTAGGATTCAAATGCTGACCACTACTAAATGTAGTAAGAATATGATCATGTACGGTATCGGTGTCTAAGCGCAGAGAACAGATATAACAGACAGAAAAGCTTGGTCAACAAAAGATTACGTTTTGCTTTTCCATAGATTCATCTTCACCATATTAAACAGTTTCTCAGACTATATGTAGCTAGTTTGTGTGGTATGCGATAGTTAATGTTGTAGAATCTAAGGATTAAAACTATTTTTAGACGATGCCATGTCTATTTATTTTTCAGTATTTCAAAGCGTCATTTTCTCACAGAGAAACTTCAAGTTCCATTCAAGTGAAAGTGCTTTATTTTTATGCTGCAGTCAGTCGGTCAATCAGTATCAACATGAGACCTGGAACTTTACTTCACATCACTGCGTCATGCTACACTGCAACAAAATGATGAAATAAACCAATATAGTCAAAAGTTGTAAAAATCCATAATTCCAAGAAAAAGGGGTCAATTAAATAACAAAATTAGATACAGTGGTTAAGGTAAGGATGTAGTATGGATAAATTTGCACCTCTTTCATTGATCCTGAATCATTTAACAAGGGGGTTGTTAACCGATAACTTCCATTATCAGATGAACCCCGAGTCGAAAGTTTCGACTTACTTACACTCCTCAAACTAAAGGTCATGGAATTCATTCACTGTTACTATGTTGTAGTCTGGCCATCTTTAACCATAATTTTAGCCATTGTAGCGTCGTCAAGATGTTGTCAACGGTGATCACGCATGCCTGGCAAATGTCCTAATCACCTGAGTCCATGAAAGTTTGACAACGTCATCAACTGATTTATCTCGTTGGCCTAAATGTCTGCGCCTGACTTCGTTATTTCAGTGGTACTTTTACGACATGCTGCCAATACAACGTAGGTAACGCCGGTCGTATACCTGTAGCTCTTTCATATCCCCTGACTTTATCTTTCATGTATTCACAAATATAAAGTAGTATAGAGTGAGCTACTGCTTAAGTTGATTGGTCACTGGAAGGTAACCAACTTCATGCTGTTTAGTGCTTAGCGCTGATCAAATTCTATCTATCATCTTGCAGTATGGCCAACAGACTAGGTAGCTCACTAAGGACCAGACAATACGAAGTTAGCTACCCTCCAGTGACCAGTCAGCTTATCTAATCCAGTCCTACGGAAGTCTGGTGGCGTCTTGGGTAGTCTAGTGGTGACGTCACTGACTAAAACACTAGGTGATGCGTGTTCGAACCTCCGACGGGAAATCATTTCGGGCGAGGTTGCGGGTACGTCTTGCTGATGACTGCTAACAAGCAAGAAACCTGGGTCTAAGGCTTTCTACCGACTGCCCTCATTCAATGAACCACTGTGGGTTGTGTCTATTCACGGCAGTAATTTCCTAAACCAGCAGCTTTTTTCAATTCCTCTCTAACCCTGTACTTACACGTGCTTGATCTCACGTAGATTTGCCATGAAAGTTATAAACAATCTACTCACGTGATTAATTGCATAATTTGTACCACCACTCAACCTGTTAGAATGCAGTACAAGTTCTTATGCTTACTGTCCTTATATTTCCAAAATCCGAATCATCTGCATCTACAGGTGAAATATCTATGACGCAACAACATCCATGCAAATGACGCAACTAATTTTAGGCATAAAATATGGGAGAGTACATGGTGATTGGTTTCACTTAAAATGTAATTATTTCAGAACCACAATTTACACAGAAAAGCCCTGAAGCTTATCCATTTAATGATGTTATAGAATGAGTATTAAGTAGGCTAGACTTTGAAATAAATAATGTGAATGGCCATGGTTATCTGAGATTCATGTTTTTCCATCTTCGGCCGACATAACACAGTGAGGCATATTTATCTCTTAGTAAACAATCGGATAACTCATTGGAGTCAATGTACACATGCCGATAGTTACAGTCAGATATTGACTGAAATGTTTCTAATGAAAAATTGACTTCTGTCTTCTGCGTCTCAGTGTGAAATATTGTATGGCATCAAAACTATATAAAAAATTAGGTAGATTATCATTTTGATAGACAACAGTGTAGGGGTATTAATTAAAGAATGTGTATTATGCTAGATAGCTTCATATTTTCCAATACTGCACAGCTTGCAGTGGTGTAACAACATCTAGTTTTGAGGAGATAATACAAGGAATATTGGTTCTAATTAGGATCATGAACCACAGAAGCTTTCACCCACGTTTCTTGCAGATTCGCGCATTGCTTTCAACCCTTGAATCCTCAAGGTGTTTATTGTCTGCTAAGAGATCATTTATGTGATTTACACTGGACAGAATATATTGGATAAATAAAATAAAAGTTATATAAGTAGCAGAATTCCGCTCACATTAAGAATGCTTAGCGTGTTTCATACTCATGAAATACAAGAAGATAATTTAGAACTGGTTTATACTGACTTTTGTTTTAATGACAGACAGTGTATTTACTGAGGGAGTCGGTTACTTCTGAGAGTTTTGTCATCTCTGATATGTTGGTGGTAAATAAAATCTTATTCATGATACGAAAGGGTTGGTTGTTGCTTCTTTGTCTTCACTAAATATGCCAATAGTGAAATGATTATGAAAAGAAAACCTGCTGTACTTTACTATTTGGGTTGAAAGTGACCTTTGAAACTCGACTAAATCAATAAGTCGAAACATTTTTCGACTTTGACTGTCTCTTCCTTAAACTAAGTAGTAAAAATAAGTAAGCTGATGGGTTTATAGAGAGTTGGACCAAAGAAATTCGATTCATATATATGACCAGTACTTAGCTAATGTATACCCCCACTTTCAATTTTGGTTCAACTGAAAGTTGACTGAATAAATTAGAAAATGGTTAGCGCACGGCATAATACCGATCTAAGACTTGTCATAAAGCTCCACTCAATAAATAGTACTACAACTTACAAATACTACGTTTCCGTTACAAAAATAACTGTTATTAAGTAAGGGTTCTCAAACACATTACCCAATTCTCTACTTTCAGTCAGTTGACTTAATGCTTATTTCAACTGTTATTTTCACTGTATACAGAATCTTGATCAAAAATTCCTTTACTCTCTGTGCTATCCAAATTTGATGAACCTATTTCTTTTTGCATGTGCGTAGCATTTTACTTCGATCTCTCCAACTAAAATGTCCAAACAAGTTTGTAGATATCTATGATAATTATACCCAATATGTTTCCTTTCAGTTAATTTACGCTTAAGATTCTCATGTTTGAATTATGTTTGTACTGCATGAGCTACTATCTCTTAGCCGTAAACAAACGCGACAGAATTATAGTAAATATCAGATGAGGATAAGAATGTTGAGCAATGTTGAGGTCAGGCAAAGAGCACAAGATTAGACAGGCAAGTTGATTGATGAGGTTGTAAACCTTAGTCAGCTGAAATGGCTTGGACATGTTCTGCGCATGCCAAGCCACCGCCTACTTTGGTGCTTCATTCTGTCGGAGGTTGCATTAAATTGAAAGATGGTTCAGGGTGATTAGACTAAGACATGTCACCAGTCGATGGAGTCTCTAATTGTTGGTCTTATCTTTGTGAGCAGATGTAGACTGACTGGTTAGGATTCTGAAGACGAAGGACTCTTGGTGATTTGGCTGCAAATCGGTCACCATGACGCGGATAAATTCATCCCATGACATCTACTACAGCTTGAATATTCGCACTAACCGTTATCTTCAGATTGTTTGTTCTGTCATACAATTTTGTCTACGCTGATATCACTCTTTTTCTATCCAACTGTTCTTTATGTATTACTGCAAAGTGTGCCAACTTCAGCCGAAGCACCAGTGTGCAAGGTTTGACGTTAATTTGTCAGTGTGTCAGAAAGTGATTAATCTGTTTTTGATACGGTTCAACTTAATTGTCTTCTAGAGAAGGTATCATAGGTAAAATTGATTTGGTTGAAAATGCGTAAGTAATAGTTGATAAAAAAGTCCTCAGTCTTACTTATGTGAAATCAAGCCTATCACATGATGATATGTGGTAGTCAATGAATGAACTGCTTACTTCTCTTCATTCGTTATCTACATTTATGTACGTTCAACAAGCTACAACTGCACAAACTAACAGTTTCAAAGCTAGAGTTCAGTGACTAGTCACACTTCCTGCCTTCTGTATGACGCTTGTCTATGGACAGAAGTGAGAAATATGGACCATTGGATACCTACCCAGTGGCTCGATGGTAATATGCTGGCCTTGGAACCCGAAGGTCCTTGGTTCGATCGTTGGTGGGGCGGAGTCATCAGTGTGCACTGTTGAGGCATCCTATACTGGACAGAGATGTGGATTAAGTTCGTCTACATGTTAGCTGGCTAAGAATGATCGGTAGGAAGCCTTAGACATAGGTTTTCTACTTGGTGGCACTCGCCTTCCAAGTACATATGCAATCAATAAAACTATTCCAATTCTACAGGAGATCAATCTTGACCCTGATAGCTCTCTGGCAACGTAACCTACTGCAGCAGTAGGTGATGCGAGCTCGAATCCTAAAATTACACCTCACTGCTAAGTGCTAGTAAGCATGAAAACTAATTCCTGCTAACTGTCTCTCTCCAACTAACATCCAAGTTCAGTGTGACACTGAGCATCCTAGTTCGGTGACCATGTTGAAAAATAACCTATGGATTTCGGTCAGTACTTAGAATTAGATAACATGAAACTGGCAACTCTCCAGCAACCAATCAATGTATTAAGATCCCCCATTTGGTATCATAGAATCTCATTTTAGATATTACCCCGCTTTAGAAAGATAATTTGGCAGTTATCAATCAGAGAAAATCCATTCAAAAATATGTTCCCTCTGCATTTTGCTGGTTCAAATAAATGTAAATGGTTTGTTAGTAAAGACTCCCAGATGCTTCATTAACTTCAGCTTCTGTGTACTAAGCGTTCTTGGTTACATGGTCTAATGAAAATAAGGGAATTCAAGTAAGTTAAAGCCTTGATCTTATAAATTTTAAACATTCTCAAAAAACTTACTTTTTGATTGAATCTACCATTCGGTATAAGTTCACCGCCGAAACGTATTTCTACTAAGTAATCTCCACGAATTGGTGGTGTATAGAAAATGTTCACACGACCGTTTGGCGCTTCATGAATTTCTACGTCAGCAGTTGCTCCAGATGGTGTAATAATACGACATGTTAGCTGACCTACACCAGCTTGAGATGTATTCACACTGATCACGCACTCTTGACCAACAGGTATTCGACTATCGTTTCCATCTATAATATTAATTGTAATAATGGTGGAAAAGTTTGAATATGAATTAAAAATGTCTATTAATATTCACGAAGCTAGTTCTTTAAATAAAAGAATCATACTCTTGAAGAGAATCTAAACTCTCCAAGTTAAACAACCTCGGGGCTTACCGATGAACTTGAGATTAATCAACAGAAAGGTTCGTCTGATATTTAAACTACTTCTGTTTATTTGGTTGGTTCTGGCTAGCAGGAGAATCCAAGACTAGGGTTTCGTCCTATATGAGACTCGTCATCTGGACGTACCTGCGCCTTAGGGAGTTATGTTGTCTCCACTAAGACTTGGACCTCGCACCCATCGCTTCAAACAGCAAGGCGTTATCCACTATGCCACGGAGGCACAATAGCCATTTCTCGTATAACGGGTAGTAGTTATTACTATTTATTGATATACTTGTAATTCTCCGTTGTTTTTATTGGATCGAATTGTTTGACCTCCATTGGCACTTGGGCTCCTATGCGTATGCCTCCATATTGCCTGAATGTTAATTTATGATAATTTGGTTGGTTGTAGCTAGCAGGAGAATCCAGGATGCATTAGCCACAACCAACCAAAATACCATAATTAACATTCAGGCAATATGGAGGCATCCGCACAGGAGCCCAAATGCCAATGGAGGTCGAACAGTTTGATCTAATAAAAACAACAGAGAATTACAAGTATATCAATGAACAGTAATACTTCACTTTAGTTGCTGAGATTTTCTGATTGGACTAAAAGCCATACAGCTACTTATTCACGTTTTGAGTAGTGCTTATTGTATGGTTCTCAAATTTGTAGTGTTCAGGTCATTCTCACTTAACGGAGAGTATCTTTTTCGATAACTTTCCCGTCATACTTTGCACTTGTATATCCATATATGCAAATAAAAGAAGAGATACATGTTAACAATGAAGAGACCCTACACAGCGATCAGTCAATTTTCTCAAGCGATTGGGAAACTATCTTCAGAAAAGACTTATTTGAAAGATAATATCGGAGTCAAATATTACTAAAATTCAATTGAAACCAGTTATGTAGACGATAATGTTTTTCATGTTATATTAAACAACTAAAATTATTTATATAACAGCAAGTGATTATGAATGACAGTGAATTTCATATCAAAAATTGGTTTTTAATACAGCGCAGAATTATTTTATTCACTCCCATAATGGCCTTCATTGGTTGAGTGTGCATCCTGCCTCCCAGTGCTAGCCACCAATCAGGTCGTATCACAGTTAACCTTCAGGCAGTATCAGGGTATCCGTACAGAGATCATATATTCAAAACAGACCGACCATTTTCATCCAGCATAACAGTTAATTGAAAAGTACGAGTACCGATAAATAATAACTGATACCAGTAGCGGAGCAAGTGTCTGTTGCTGCTTACAATCCTAGTGGATAACGCTGTGATGTTTAAGCCAATAATTGCTTGGTTTAAGTACCAGTTTAGAAAATCATTGGGATTCAGGTGTAGCTAGCTGATATGTCTTAATAGGATAAGATGTTTATCCTGTATTCTAATGATAGCCATCACTAATCAAATTACGTTGTGAAAATACTAAAGGAAATGAAATGTAGTAGGGGATTAGTGTTTTTATAAACGCCAAGTCGGGAAAACAATATTCATATGAGAAACGCAATACACAGACGAAAATGATTGAATCTGACAAGTTTTAAGAATATGAGAAGTAAGAGGATGCAGACAGGTAACGTGTATTTCACAGTTCAATTCAGTGATGCTACAGAGTCCATAAAGGTTTCATAATTCTTGAAACTAGCCTTTGTGGTAATTGCGGCAGTACATATTTCAGCTATACACAAATTCAAGCCATTTAGGTCGAATGGTTACACCTTCCGTAGTTTGAAATGTGTAATATGTTAAAATAACAGAAGCGAACATTCCATAGTTATCACAGCTGATATGTCCAGCTTGTCTTCACAAGATATAAGTATTCTAGATTTCTGATTGTCATTTTCCACTCCATTTTCATGCACTGAGTGTATTCTTCCGAAGAGATTATATTTTAAGGAATTATTCAATGAACTCGAAGGTCCTATATTAAGCCTTTGAATAAAGACGGGGAAAAGCAATTTCTTTTCGACTATCTCATTTACTAAAGGTGTACAATTGTATTGATCAGTGTTGGAAGTAAGTAACAGTCTTTTGCTAATCAGTAGGTTAATGTGAAAACCATAATATTCAGAACAAAGGTTCCTTTTAAAAACTGATAATGGTAAGGTTAGTGAATACACGCATTGGTTATCACCACAATGACCTACGCTGAAGATACACTTTACAGTGAGTTTAAATTCCTACATAAAATCCCACTGAAAATAGTTATTCACTTAGATTTATTGACTTTTGTATCGAAGAAAAAATAAACGTACAAAGTTTACCCACTGTCTTAGAGAAACCTTTTATATGAAGCTGAAATTCTCAAACATTGCACTTCACTATCTTCGAAGAAGAAATTCCACTCAGCCACGAATAATCCATCGGTGGGTCAACAATAGAATACTCAGTTTTGCCACCTATGTGTATCCATCAGTGTTTACTTGCTGCTACAGAGCAATGTACATTGACCATATGCTCCGTAAAGTCAGCAACCATGTTCTGGAACATTTCGAAATACAGCTTAGTCGACAAGAGAAGAGAGATAAGGAATATCAGTAGTTCTATTCTTGAACAATGCTTTCACTGGATATCTGGTCCCTGTCATTAGCTCCTTCAAAGTAATTCTCAGTGTCTCCTTACAACTTCAAAGGACTTTGTCACTAATGCATAGCCAAATTGTTGCCAATTCACATCCTGGAACCTCATTTTTATGTTCAAAAAAATCAGGTGCATTATTGAAGCTGGGCATGATCAGAGTAGTGATTTGCATCTGCCCTCTCTAGAACATAATTTTAATCTCATGATCTTATTGATTAGTGATAGAATGTTATTTTCCTTATACATATTAGTCCGGTCTTACATTCATAGTAAATAACATAGTCAAATAAAAGACTTTCCTTGGTGTTAGTTTTGTGGTTCAAGTAATTCACTCATTTCAGCAAAATTCCTTGGTTGAAGACTGTATATAAATGATTATATGTATCAAGATGCAATACTGGAACACATACATCCATAATACAAACTTTGATTCCTGTTGAGGTGTGGCACAGTAAGAAGTCTAGTATTGGTTGTTTTGCTTTCTCTAAGCTATATGGTATAATCGTCAGACTTCTATTATTTTTGATACAGCCTAGTTATATAAATGATTTTGGACACTTGAAAGATTCCACCCATGATGGTTAGTCAGCTCCTCGGAAAGTGGAAAAGCTGTTAAGATAACAAACGATGTGATGCAACGTCAATTTAGGCATATGATTTTTATATGTATACTAACAATGGTTTTGGTTATTTCTGTACCGTTCTGAAGAGCTATGCATTATTGATTCGCCTCGTTAACCAATATTATATTTACACATATGATCATGTCTTTGTTAAAACTTCAAGACCGAACTATTGATTGTTAAACTTCAAGGAACTTAGAGCTTCTTAGAAGGATATGAGCAATTTTATTGCACACTGTAGCATTATCTGGTTTTTTTTTACCTCTCCCACTCAAGATTTCCACAGTATCGGATTCCAATTCGCGTTCATAGTTGTCCACATAAAATGCTATAGGAAATAAAATGTCACAATCAGTATCCAGCTGATATTCACATAGATGAAGATGAAGACAAAGAACACTTTGTCAAATTTAGTGTTTATCTCAGTTGTTCCAGTTGATTTTGTGAATGCTATTCAGTCTATTTTCTTTGACCGTTTCTTCCTCTGGTCTGAGCAATGTGACTTGAATTAGTTTATGAGCTATACTAATATGAAATGGCCTCAGCGATCTTGTCATGCATGGTCTTTGATGAGACAGGATGATCCGTTTGTACGTTTTCATGAATAACTTAGAAGTTATTGGATCGAATAGCCATCTACCGACAAAGCTACTTAGGTAACCATTCTTCCTTAGAGCAGTTATCAAGTAATTTTCTTCATTGTCTCGTGAAGTTTTAATGCACTGTTGGCTTGATATCTTGGATAAAGTCTCTACTGAATCAGTTTTGTACACTGTTGGGTTTTTTTTTACTGCAACATTGATTCCACTGACTAAAAGATACATAAATGGCGGTTATTGTTTGATTCCTCCTCTATTTTGAATTCTGTGTCATTGAAAATGTTATTGATGAAGTTATGAGTGTTTTCTTAATTTAGAAGTAGTATTCATCATGGACTGACATCAGTTGTGGAACCATTGAAAACCCGAGAGCACTGGACAGCTGTTTCGTCCTAGCATGGGACTCCTCAGCCTTACCGACCACGACCCGGTTAGGGATCGAACTAAGGACCTTCAGGTTTCACGGCGGACGCGTTAATCATTCAGCCATTGGGTCGGTTTCCAGTGGTTCACAATTTCCAACTTCTGTCAATTCACGACATAGCGAGACTATCACCCAAGGTCTTCATTTAGCATCCACTTCATTTCCGACTGGTTAACCCCACAGGTCACGGCTTCTCATTAGTGTTTCGTGATATCCATCTGGAAGCAAGTCACTAATGAGCACTATACATTAATGTATGGAGGTCATTACATCTGCTTGTATATTTTATTATTTAACTATGTAACATCAATTTGAAACAGTGGTGTTTAATGAGTTTCATTAGCTTTGTGTTTTAAATATGAGACAAATGGTATCCTTAGCCTGTTTTGGTTCAATTATTGTGTATACTGTGACGACATCAAAGGACATCATTAACTTCTTATTGTATGTGTAGACGTTTTTAATACTTTTCACAAATTCTGTCGGTGGTTGGACAGAATAGATGCATGACTCGACAAAATATTTCAGTTCCCATGAAATCTCTCTGAAGAGATTTTAGCCTGAGGTTCCTGTAAATGAGACTGTTGGTCATCTAGGAGTGTTTGGTTTGTGTAGTTTTGGTCGACTGCAGAAACATCGAGGAAGAGGTTTGTTCAACTTCATTGACAACTAGTCTTGTTTTATAATAATGCAGAGCTAAGTTATGATGGCATCGAGGGTAACAGAAATAAAGTTTATCAACCGATGTAAGATGAGGGTGAAAACAAGTAACAAGTGAAGGTGATTACCGATAGGTAGGAATAATTATCAATAAGCAACTTTGTAATCAACATTATAACAGATATAAGTTAAAAACCATTTTCTTCTGTGAGCAGAAGTTTGTGCGGACAACTTGAACCGAGTTAGCCGTTTACTGTTTCACTGTCTGCTAACAACCAAGTGCATAATCCACTCAATACTTAACTATTCAGCTTTATGGAATTTTCGTATCTATCTAGGTAGATAGCCAACAGTCCAAGAGGGTAGACACCTCCCCACATGATATCTGCATTTTCTGTCACATACACATTTGAACTGTTACACACAATTCAAAGTCATTTGGAAAAGAAGAAATAATTCAGTAATGAAAATTCTCTTTTTTGAAGTCATTTTCTAAGGGTCTAAAATCGGGCTTACAAATTCACCACAAACACTCAACAGTCTTTTATTGAACATCGGAGTATGATCGCTAGTTCCATTTTAGTCTGTTTATTAGAAATATCACACGGTGAAACAGCAGCATTTACTGGATAACGTTTCGGACTCAATTTATTATCCATATTCATATGGACAGACTAAAATGGAATTGCAATCGACCACAGTACCCAAGTTTTACTCTTATATTGAGGTATGATCGCGTCATCAGAGTTTTCTTAAAAAAGGAGACAGTGAGCGAAAAAGAGGTGCATAATAATCTGTAAAACAATCCAATTAACGGGAAGGGTAAATAATTTGGTGCGGTGAGAATTGTTAGTAGATGTGAATATCTACTTGGTAAATTTACAGAAAGTGAAGAAGGTAACAAGGGTCACAATGAAGGTATCAATCATAAACTGATTAACTATGACGAAATCGAAAATATATTGAGAGTGGTAATGACCATGGCAAGACAAGCGATTGAATATACTTCTTGCATGCTCAAAGATTAGGTTTAAATGAGAGAACTACTGGTAGTTCTACTCTGTTCAGGTTTAAAAGCAAACTCCTTTTAAACTGTTCCTTATGATTTTGTGGTTGACGTTAATAGAGTACTATAATCCACCTATATGACCAGAGTTATCTAAATGTTCAAGAATTGAACTAGTCATTGATTCGAAGTCTCCTCTTGACAAAGTGTTAGACGTTGGAATCCTTTCTTTTCCTGGTTGTTGCAGTAACCGTTTGTTATTGTCTTGAAACTGGAGTTTAGAAACACAATGTATTTTATTGATGAAATTTTATTACTTTCGCTGAACTACTTCCAGATCACCATCATTATAATCTGTGAATGGCGGGCTGATTTACGCTGACATTTTCTATACCGCATTTATTTCTTATTAGGTATATCAGTGTGTCTTTCTGTATATCCATTCTTAGTTAGGATCCTCTTATTCAGCAACTTTATTTTGTAATACATTTTTTTGTCGGGACATACTTTCTAGGTTCTTTTGGATAGTGATATCGCGTACATGGTTGTTTTCTATGAATAAATCTCGCGATAGATTCAATAATCCTTTGCTTTAATGAAATGTCGCCTAATAATCTATCTTCATCACTTTCTGTATAATCTACCGCACAAAAGAGACCTAGATGGAATAAGTTAAAACGCTTGATTAGTGTTTCCGCCCAAATTTTGTCTTTTTTATACAATCAAAAGTGTCTTTTGTATAATACTGGCATACCTATGTTTCGTTTATAAAGTACTTTGAGAAGCTAGTCGCCAGATATGAAAGAAAAAACAGTAAAAATGTAGTATAAAGTGCCTACTATCGCTACATCTCAATAAATGTCTGAGCATGAATGACGGGTGAATATATTCATGAACCATGGCAAGGTGTACGTAAAATCAAGTATGTAGAGTATGTAAATTATGCATTTTACCAAAATTAATGAATTCACTAAATCCCGATTTCTTCTTACATTTATTGTCTACTTCAAATACCTAAATTGTTGAAGCTAGATCCATAGTTTTGCGTTCGATTAGCGTTCGACTGAAATAAAACAACAGTTTGATTTCAGTTTCTGAACTGATTGCGAACTACTTCCACTAGCTATCTATTCATGGTTAACACGGGGACACATTTAATTTCATAGTTTTCGTTCATGGTCAAAGGAGGAGTGTGGAATACTGACTACTAACTCGTTAGTAGAAAAACGTGTTCCCCACAACTTTAGAATTCCCCTTTTTATCCGAGAAGACAAGGTTATGAATGGCTGACAAGTCTCAGACTACTCTGAAGAAAACCGTTCATACTTTTTTATTTCTTAGCATTACATATGGCTTACATTTGTGTTTGGAATGACCATACAGGTCATTGAATTCATTTATATAACTTCATTGTTTCAAGTTGGTATTCATCATGAGCTGACATTAGCCGGAGGAACATTGGAAACTTGGGGACGTCCGACAGTTGTTTTGCCCTGGTATGGGACTCTTCAACGGTGAGCACCTATGACCTTGTCCCACTAGCGACCGAATCCAGAACCTAAAGGTTCACCTGCCAGCAAGCTACCACTGAGTCACTGGGTCGGAATCCAGTGGTCCATGTTTCCAACTTCTATCAGTTCACGACATACAGCGAGCATCACACAATGTCATCGTTGAGTAGTTGTCCTCACAGCCACCAGGTTTGCCCCACCGGTCACAATTTCTCACAGGAACTTCAGGAATCACCTCTCGATGCTACTCATCAATGATTTCAGTTCTTGATGAATACCAACAAACCCCCAATTTTGGTCTATTGTTTTAGTTTTCGATTATTTCCCTGAAGAAGCTGGGACCAGACTTCCATGAGAAACGTTGGAATAATTTTATTCTAAATAATGTAGTTTTCATAAATATAAACCATATCTAATGCCAACATTTTAATCACCGCTAAATATCTGTAATACTATCCAGTCAACTAGTGTTCATAGTTCATACAAATTTCTTATTTCTTACTGGGTATGTGGCGTGGGCGAACCCTTAAAAGCATCGCTTTATATAACTTATATATTGGCTAATAAAACCAGCTTTCATTCGACATTCATTCAATGAAATACAAACATTGTAATATAGTTATTTGTAAAAATATTAAAATAAACAACATACTGCAAAAATTAGAATGGTCAGAATATTTCCTACTTGCTTTACATTTTTCGGCGCATAACTCTAAAATGAATTATTTAACCCACTATATTTTCATCACTAAGTTTAGTAAATAGCTTTATTCATTTGAGAAAATAACTTGTTTTAGATTTGTCAAATACCTTACCTTCTTAGCCCAACTTCAAATCAATATACACCCACATATATATAAATAAAACTGACAGAAGTTTTACACTAAGCGTGTATACACAAACGTCAATAGGTGTGAAGCCTGGCTTAAGAGTAAATCATTTGACAACTGACTAATCAATTCATTGCACAACATTCACAACAGACAAAAAATATGGACAGAAAGGGGATAGTGACTAGATGAATAGTTACAGACTTGGCTGTGGATGCAACAATAATGTTAATCACAAGTATACCATACGATCTGTGTAGATTCTTATACTATGAAGTTTACATAAACTGTCTTTTGCTAAAAAAAACATCAAGCTAAAAGAGTCATGAACAAGAAAAGTATATAAGTTAAAAAAAAAACATGCACTTATTTATTTCCCCTGTTTGTTTTATTGCTACCGGGAGAAGAGAGTATGTTTTTAAAAAATCTGTTTGTAAACTAGCAAATTATTGCTTTTGAGAAAAAGAAATTTACTTCGAGAAGTAATATCCTGTTGAAAAGCCGTCGCAATTATATTGACCACAAGTACAACATGAATATTTCTTCAGAAGTTGATATACGACAAATACATTATTTGATAATTGAATGACACAAACAATCATCAGTTATGAAACGCTTTGAAATTAAGAAGTACTGAAAAATCTTGATGTGTTTTCCTAACTGGAATTACAGTGAGATATATACCTCATTGATTATTTATTAATCCTCATTTAATTGTGACAAAGGAATCGTTCTGTGAGGAAGGAATACCATCGTACTTTCTTTTTACTTTGTTCATAACTATGAATTTTATTATGAATAAAATATATTTGTAAAATTCCAATGAAGTAGAAAAATAGATTTTTGACGTTTCATGATTTTGTAGAAATTGTTTCGTCAGAAAATAAAATCTGTACAAGTTATTGACTGTTTAAATAGTCCATAACTTATACAGATTTGATGCATGATTCATCATTAAAAACGTTCATCAGAAAAAATGACTGACCAATTACTTTTTATTTGAACTGTATAGTCACCGTATGACATACAATAACGTCGAATCAGTGACGAAATAATACAAATCCGTTGTACAAGAAGTGACTATCATGACACCATGACCTAGTGGATATTGATTTGGCGTTTGAAGCTACTAATCCTGGGTTTGAGTCTTCGTGAGAACAACATTGGTCATAGGGAGGCGGGTACATTCAGCTGAGGAGTCTCAAGCAGGATGAAACGCGCCTCCTGAATTCAACTGTTAGCCACTACCCATCATTAATATCAGTATTAGTGTGATCATTGGCAGTTATTTTCCTCATAATATTACTAATATCAGAAAATCTGATTATGATGTATAAACACTGATTAAAAATTTATATATGATAAATTGATTTATTTCCTAATTCACTAACTATCCCTGAACTTAGGTATAGGATTTTTTGATTATGTAGGATAATAACACATGTTTCTGAATACTTCTCTTACTTTCAATGCGGCACATATTGGCTCGTCCGGACGGTGCAACTGGAACTAAAAATGGACTTTCGGGAATTTCTTGTCCACCATATTTAACACGCACAGTATGACGTCCAACAATCATTGGTGTATAGTGGCAGATATATGTTCCATCTCCAACATCAACTACCTCCAATTGTAGTGGTTGAGCTTCAGAATCCTGAAATTTTAAAGCAAATTTATTACCACTTATATTGGTTGACATAAGTGTTCTATAATCAAGCATGCATGGATATAAATGAACAACAATAAAGACAACAACGACGACAACGATATCACAGGTGCATCAATTAATCGACAGATATGTATACAAGCAGATGATTACGAAGATTTTATCAACTTGACGATTGTCCCAATCAAGAAAGAAAATTTGCAGAAGAATTTCCAAAACAAAAGAGGATAATCAATACCCATCTTGGCATAATTTGATACTTATTATCAACTCACACGCTTAACGCTTTTCCATCCTTGGATCAAGTACTTTCAGGTGAATTATTGAATATATTCAAATCAATATCTTGATTTCAACTGACTGTATTCACTGAATGCCGAAATTTTGCTTGCTATAAACTTATACAATACCAAAGAATATAATGTGTTTCATATTACACTAACAGTCCCATTACATTGTTAAGGGGTCATAAAGAGATAATATCTGGATCCAAAATAAAAATCAAGTAGTAACTAACTTTCCATCTACGTACAACTGAAATATTATGAAGGTTTGAAGAAGACATGGAATTAGAGATTTGTGAGAAACACAAAACATGGGATACCTTTTAATGTAAGGAAAAAACTTGGGCACTGTGGTAGAGTATAATTCCATAGTAGATTGTGTAACTGTGCACTATATCAAATAAAAGATGTAATATAGAATACCTTTTACATCTGCACCGGATTGTGTCTAGAGGTTAGGCTGTGTGAACTATGATGTCCATTGTATAATGAAATCGCTGTGTTAGATCCTCATTCTTGCTAAAGATCATGAATCTACACGAAACAACCTCTCCTAAATAGTTTTGTGAAACTGCATAATTCATTAATAAAACCTGCACCATAAGTCTATACTACCTTCAACAACCACAAAACTAACATACAAAACATTAATTTCTTTCGGTATACATTCTTCAACTATGAAGAATGCTGGAATATTGAAGTATTTCATAATATGCTTAATTCTATTTTGCCTAGTTCAAGTAGTTTATCAACTTGGTTATCATATCTGGAAATAACTGAATTCCTTTCAAAAGAGCATATTTACATGCTAAATAAATTTCCTACTCATGTTACACTGGGAAGGCACTCAGACTCAACTACACGTGGAGTCACTCTGAAAGTCATCCGAACAACGTCTGAGATAGCCCATTACTTTTTCTTTATTTTATCAAAAACTACCATCCTAGCCAAAATTGCCGAAACTTGATTGATTATTTCAACAGTTATTAGGATGGTTTTTGAAGTTAATCTCAGAATCACTCCACTCATAAATAATAATTCATACTTTCACCTTGATCTCATGGATTGATGGTTGACAAGGTTAACTTTAAAGTCTCCGTATTTATTGTGTGTTCTTTGCACCACTAAATATAAAAGAACTGAAGGATTGGCAACAACCTTTTTCGATACTAATTTTTAGTTATGAACTGCGTGAAGAATTTGAGTAATGTTCTAGGTGTAAATGATGAGATTTCTAATTGCGTATCGAAAATCAGAGTGGTGAACACCAGTCTCAATCGAGTATAGCATTATCATGACGTTAGTCTTGTTGTATAAGTTGTATGGGCATTACTTCGTTCCTGACAGTTTTATTGTATGCACATGAAACCTGATCACTCTGTTATGGAGATATCCTACAACTCTTGGTTGTTTCCATACTGTCTTCGTACGACTGTCCGTATTTAGTGTAAGTAAATCTGATACTCAGCTGTTAAAGTACAAATACCATGGCGTTCATCACTCAGAGAGTTAAGCCGTCGCGAAACACCGATTTTAGTAGTTCGTAGATGCTACGTACACCATCCTAACAGCTTTCATAACATTTACTATCTGTTAGTTTTTGAACTAGATGTGTAAATTAAAGAAGCAGTCAGCGTATCATTGGGTAATGTGCGATGAAACAGCTACTTCAGGTTAACATCTAAGCATGTCTCAAGACTCCCTGATCATATTACAAAAGATTTTGTGACTCATAGGCTTCATAGAGTATGAAATATACTTCAGAATGTTGTTATACAATATCACGTAAGCCATTTCTTTGCATCCATTTTATAATGACTTTGTGTTTATTGAGTACCAAACTTTTTAGGATTAGTCTAGAAACCTTCGACTTTATCGGCAGGAACTGACTTAGGTAGAAGTCACCATTCCACTCTATTAATTATCTGTCAAGGTTTTACATACAAAGGTAGCAATCGCGACTGAGTTCGATAGTTATCCATGAGTTTACTTGACTACTTTAGTAATAGAGACACTTTTCCTTCAGTGTACTAATTTGACTAAGTTTAGTCAATAATATTAGTGATAAACTTGGGTGCCATGGTAAGAAGTTTATTTACCTGAAATGACACACAGTGATACAATACTAATTAAATGATAACTTTTCGAACGTAAATTATTGCTCATAATCATGGTTACTGTTTGAGGACAAAACCCTTAGAAGAAAACCTTATTCGTTCAAGTAAGCATTAGGGTGTACTTCAGTCGCTCATCAGAAGCATCTCTGGCTGTGTTGGCGAATGATATGAACTCAGCTCGCATATGCGAAATGAGTAAAGACAAACCTTGCTGGTGTGCGCTAGTAGATACAAGCCATAAACTCAGAGCCTCAGTCCAAAACTTATGTAATTGAACGAGAAAGTGTTAGAATTAGATACCTGTATTTCTTTGTATTGCTATATTCCTGTGAAAAGTCATTTTAAGGGAAGTCTTTATGCCATGCGTAACCTTCCATTTGTTGCCTTGTGATTGAAGGGAATGTCTTTTAGGTATACATGTTTGTATTGAATGTCTTGTCTTTCACTGATTGTAAGTTAGGTGACACCAGGGGCTACACAACCGAGTGAATTCTAGATAATAATAATAGGGCGGATGACGGTATAGGCATTTGTGATTATGATAACAATTGAAGTATGAATGATAACAAAGTAGATTGCGTAGTATATGGAATGGTTCATAGGAAGTACATATCTCAGAGGGGGTGAAAAGTTGAAAGTGGTAAGTCAATTAAGCACTATGTAACAGGACTAGACAAGTTGTTCAAGATGAAATCAATGTTTTCTAAAAAGATTAAGACAACTAAGTGAAGTAACTAATCAGAGTGAAGGCAATTATAGTAACAATAATAGTGATAAATGAAGGATAAAAAGGTTAAATTAACAAAGGGGGGAAGCTAATGGGTTGGAAAAATGTCATGGCCATGAAAAAAACGGTGACTGCATATACTTCTTTTGTACACATAGATCAGGTTTTAGTTCATGAAAAGCTAAAGCCTCCGTTGTTTTAATAAGTTGAAAACGAAGAAAACGTGGGAGGTTTAGGCGGATTTGATAAATAATTTTAAAGTCATTGTTTGGGTTTGCTGAGTGATGGAAATCAATCATATGTCCTAGAATCTAACTTCTAACAGACTTTCACCTTTATAAAATCACGCAGGAACGTGTTATCGTATACGTATAGAAAGCATTCTCTGGCTACGGCCGATGTACCTTGCTGCACAAGAGCAGGTGAACTGGTAGATGCACATAGAGGTGGCCAAACGAGGAAGCTTATCTTTAACACAAAGGGAGAATGGGTTAAAGCTGGTAAAAGTCAACGGAAGTCTTGGTGCGAAGAAAGTTCTAGGAAGTTCTACATCCTACGATGTTACTATTCCGGCTGAAAAGCCGAAAATCGGAAAAAAAAATGAATACCATGGATCTTAGTGCAAACCACCACCAAGTAATATAGACTCTCTTCACCTCCACACACACGCAGATCGCAATATCCACCTAGTCCCTGAAAGGTTGACTGTGATGAATATTTAGTTCTAAAATCATGCTAGGCACAAGTGTATTTCCTTTTAACCGGCCAAATAATAGTTTTAAACAAATACTTCAGTTTATTTCACCAACATTATTGACATTTGTTTACATGCTTGTTTTATTGAAAGTCGAAATGAATTCAACAGAGAAATGCACTAGAAAGAAGAATGAAACACTAATATACTGTCTGATGTCACAGGTGGTAAGTATAAGATTTTCGGTGTTTTTAGATGATATTGGTGTTTCCTGTTTGTCAAGAGGTAAAACAAAGAAAATGACTAGGGGGAATGGGTCCTGCCCTTGTAGAACTAATTTTTCATAAATTGGTAATTAGAATGTATTTTAACAGGTTTAAGGGGAAAATCATGAAAAATTCCAAATTCTTCAAGCTGCAGAGAATTCAGTGTTACATTTGATGGGTACAGTTAGGGGAAATGACAAATGCTTCAAGTCGAGTAAATTTATCTTCAACTGAACTAATGAATTTCCTCTTTATGATGAAGGATAATGCTTTTTATCTGGTGTATGAATAGTAAGACCTGCTGTTACAGGTTCAATGTCATTCTTGAAAATGACAGTATAAAATAAAGTAGGAACAAAGGACAGAAAATGACAACATGAAGTACACAACAATCATCATTATTACCGTTCATAAGATGGAGTTTTTCGATGTGATAATTCATGAAAATGGGAAGAAAGAAAATAGTAGGACAATGTGAAAAGCGATGAATCTTCATCATGACGAGTGAATTACGTGATCAATTTTACTGTTGGCACAGTGATTAAAACTAGCTTTTATTTACTAGTTTAGCCTTGCTAGTACATGCGTTTTCTAATGTCTGAAATGCGTATGCAGAGAATACTTAAATTTAGTTGTATACTTCAGAGAAGCTGCGAACTTATTGGAACGAATACTGTGGGTCATAAAGATGTCTGTCACACCATCTTGAGCATGAAGATGTCGATACGATTTTCTGTTCATACCAGCAGTTTTTTTAAGGGGGAGGTCAGGGTTGCCTTCAAGTATATTTAAAGAGTGACTTTAAAGCCCACCCCAGCAACTGTTAAGGTGACCAATTACGTCACTTCATACAAACTACCTTCTCAACCGCAATACCGAAACTTGACTGGTTATCTTAGTAGCTGTAAAGATGGGTTTTATAGTGACTCATATTTTAGCCTTTCCAGGCTGTTGTGAATTTTCTTCAGCACTATTGTTTTACTCAGTGTCCTCAATCTTTTTGACGGATCAAATAAATTGCATTGTTGACAGATAATCTGGCTTACAAGACGATCGCCATTCCACGACCCGTCTATAGATGTGACAGATCTATAAGGGTTCTGTATTGGTTTATAAATTAATTAGCTGAACAGGTTTTTAAACAAGAAAGAGATCGGAACCCACTTACCAGGATTAGCTCTTAAGGCCACCATAGCAGCAATCAAGACAACCAATCAGACTCCGCTATTTTATAAAAATCTCCCTTTCTATCCAAAATCAAGAAACACCATCGGTTATTTAAGCCGCTGTTAGATTGATCTCTTAGTCACTCCAAAAATTGACTTTAAGGGTCCCCTTAGCAACTACTGAGATGATCAATTATGTCACCGTATTCTATGAAATATTATCTTCCCAGCCAAAATTCGAAAACTTGATTGGTTATTTCAGCAGTTGCCAGAGGGGGCCTTTAGGGTCACCCATGCTAACAAAACGTGTCTGAGCCTCGAACAGTTTATTTCTATAAAATCACAACTGTAGTTCCAACTCATCCTATGTTTATCCAGAAGACAAGTTTCATTAAGCACCACATGCAAAAATGTACTCAGATTTCGACTAGAAGACAACCCAGGGAGTCTCTATCAAGTAACTAATTTCTGTACTGAGTGAATTTGCTCGTGATCTTTCATGAGTTTTCACAAAATTACTGATACAGCTAGGTGGTGACTGTCAGCAAGCATAGAACCCATGGTATACAGGGGTTCTAACCAAATACCTTTAGGTATCTAACCCTTCGACTTTTCTTTGCTCTGCATTGACTTAACATATGAACTGACTATAGTCTCATTATTTTTGATTTAGTTGGAAATACTGAGGAAAAACAAACTGATACTGAACACACTACACTAAAGGTTAACCTTCACTCTTGTACTGAAATTACATGCAAAAATATGGTCTTAACTCAGTTGGTTCAGCACTGAAAAGATAGATTTTCATTTCAATGGTTCAAATCCTGTCTCAACTCAGGTTTTCATTTTAACTTCAATCGTCACTCTTTATCAAAAGTACCAGTCTGCTAAACAGCAGCAATCATATCAATCGCTACAGGATCGTTTAAACACTTGGTTGAACTACTCAATTCACCTATGTACTCAAACACAACTAACCAACTATATTCAGTAACCAGGAAATGACATTTGTAAAAAGGTGACTATGGCGACCAACGTAATAACAAGACCATGAGTCAGTTACCACGCTAATTATGCTGCAGAAGTGTTTATGAAGAAGATAATGTCTATTGTTTTCTGAACAACCCGAAGATAACTCACTAATTACACATCAGTTTCCTTTTATGAGTTTTGTATTCCATCTGTCTTCTTTCTGTTTTATTTTTCTATATAACTGTCTGATATGTGACTGTGGTTTTCTTGTTCGTGAAAAATAATGTTTAAGGAGAGTGTACCTGTCTAAACGTTTAAAGGAACAAGGCCTTGAATACGGGATTCTTGTTTCCTTCGAAATTATTCATCGTCCGTCATCTGTTTCTAGGTTTATCTGGTACAATTAAGAAGCTATGAAGTTTTTGAAATACCCGTAATATGACTTTTACAAAAGTCCATGTGAAGACAATCTTTTGACTGGAATTTCTAAGCTTTTACCAGTGATCATTACTACTTACTGTTGGTAGTCTGATCTTATCTAAGGAACTTTAACTCTCCAACTCTTATTGATATCGGTTACTCTGATTTTTCATTTTTCGTGTTTTGACAGTAAATTTCTTCTACAAATACTCTATCATCTTAAGCAGATTAACGAAGTTCCACTTTAAAGATCGAATGGTTTTGTAATTCAAAGGTCCACTGACAGTAATTATATTCAAAATACGACCAATTTACCAGCTGTTCTTCGATAAAAGCATTGTGAATTATTTTACATTAAATTGGTATTGCTACTCACAGTGGATTATGAATTTGCCACTACAAAGGAATAACATACCATTACTGATAATTCTAAATCTCCAAGACCTGCGTCTCTTGTATCTACTTGGAAAGAGGTAGGTTGAGTAGCTGGTAGACCTAATGGTCGCGTTGGGTGAACGCCTTCTCCTGTCACACGAACACGTTGTGGTTCAAATGCTGGTAGGACATGTTGCATGAATGGTGAACGAGCCACATGGTTTCCGCCTTGTTTCACTTCAATTTGACAAGGACCATCTGTATCTGGAACATATGTTACATCGTAGACACCTGGTTGAGTTGGTCGTGGAACAATATGCCCTGGAGTTGATCTGCCCAATCGATCAATTGTTGCAACCTAATTCACATAAAACATGAAAAAAGGCTGGGTGAATAACAAATTTACAGTCAATATTCGTATGAAGTATTTCTGGCTTTAAACAGAAGTGAAATTGAATCAGTCATGAAATGCGCAGGTAATTAAAAAGGAAAGTATTTTAAACTAGTGTCAACCTGTTTTAGAACATCTTTGTCTAAGTCTTCAGCATGAAACCCTGTGCTAAGCATTCGACTCAACTAGGATCATCAGAAACTTCAAATCATTAGATGAGATTCTTCTTATAAGGTAAAAAAACATGATCTTAATCTGAATGAAGAGTAAATTTTAATTGTAAGGGGGTGTCGCTTCCTAGTAAACATTTTTATTCTGCATTGAAGTGACTCACTAGAATGATTGTGTTGGTTTCTTTTTTTCTAAGCAGTATACGACTACACCGATGTTTATCCAGTGGCTGTTGGTGTGGGTAATTTAACCTTACACGGGTCAAATATGCTCTGCATAACTTCATAACGAAGTCATTTATTTAAACACTGAATATGACAAATTTCGATGTAAAAAGAAACTCGAGTTTACCGATAGTAGGAAATGGGATGCAGTGTCAGTTCATCTGTTTATAGTTTCTAAGCCAATCATCAACTCCCAGTGTTTATTTAAGCACATCAATTAATGAAATGCATTGATTTTACAATTATTTACAAATCTGAAAAACCATTCATAGTATTTCTCCAAGATTTTATCAACTAGTGACTAATAATTAGGCTTAGAGCCTTTCGTATTCATTGATTCCCTAAAGGAAACACAAGTAAGAGATTTGGTTGACCTCACCGGTCATGACATCTCACTGGAACTTTAGGAATCACCTATCGAAACTATTCACCAATGAGCATTAGATTAAGTCAGTTTGTAGGTTTATGGAGATTTATTGATTTCAGGTTGGTATTCATCATGGGCTGATATTAGTTGGAGGAACGTTGGAGACATTGGAAAACAAGTCGAACATGAGGACAATTAATTAATGACGGCACTGAATGGAGGTCGCGCTAAATCGTGAACTGACAGAAGTAGGAAATATGGAGCATTGGATCCATCCCGGTGGTCCAGTGGTAACATGCTGGCTGAAGAACCCGAAGGTCCTGGGTTCAGTCCCTGGTGAGTTTGGCTATGTGTGGTCACTGCCGAGGAGTCCCATACTAAGTAGAAACGGCCGTCAAGTGCACCCCGGGTTTCCACTTGTCCTCTAAATGATATCAGTCCAAGATGGATGCCAGCCTAAAATTAATAAATCCCCATAAACCTTCAAACTGAATTAATCAAGGGTTCATTAGCTTCGAGAGTTGATTCCTGAGAGAGCGTCTTGAAGGTAGCAATAACACGGTTGAAGCCTTTAGGAATCTCAGTGGTGGAATACCTAGAGATTTACATCACTCTGTACTATGCAGAGTATAAGATGTAGTGGTGAGACATAATCTGTAAGTAAACTTCAGTAATCTGGATAAACACCACATCATACAGAGTGGATATCCTCTTGATTTTGTTTACGTAAGCGTCAAATAATTTTTGAATGCTGGAGAATATTTGTTGCTCAGATAGATAGTCTTTGTTGTATTGTATTCTCTGAGCTGAGTTGTTTATTCATGGAGCTTTCATCGTCTTACTAGACGATATCATCAGCACTAAGTTCAGTATGAAATGAGCTCTCAATATTTTTTCATGAGTGATTTACTAGATTGCCCTGACGAATTGATTTGTGCTTGGTTGTTTCCCCTGAATATTGTGTCATTGACTGTATAAATTTTCCTCTTGGTTGTTCCTCTGTTTAACAGCCAACTTCTCTATCATTAATCATTTTTCTGACAGGTTGACAGATTGGGTCCATGTCTATACATTGCTGACTGACCTGAATATCAAGCTTCCAGAAATTTACCCATTTCAATGCAGGTGAATAATTATAGACATTAATTCAATTTTCACAGCGTAGAAATCTTTGATAGAGGAAACACAAAGAATATCAGAGAACTTCCAAGTTTTTGAATGCCGTTACACCTCTTAGCTTATATCGATCCATGCAGGCAACTAAAGGACACGGATTCGACGACGAAAATATGAAAATCTTGAAAAAACGAAACTTAAAATGAGCAGAAAAACAACTATCCAGTCAGTTCATTAACGAAATACATTTAAAGTAGCATACAAGATTAAACTTCAAGCCAATAAAACAGTCAAATCAAACATATATACGGATAATGGCAATACAGTCATAAGAACAAAAAATAATATCGCATGCCACTTAGTCACTTTAGGAAAAATTCCCACTAGTTTCCTAGTTTCTGAAGTTTAAGCTGATATTACCAAGACTGAAGTTAAAAGTTTCATGGTAAAATGATCCAGTCAACAGAACACAACGTCCTCGAAAAGATTAAAGAACATTTCTTGAGCTTGAACATAGAATAACGGTTGGAGCAGAATAACTTGGTAATATAAGATATCACCAGTTACTCATCAGCTGCTGAACCGTGATGGATTCAGTAACCCTGTGAATATTCGTGTGGGATGCGACAAGCCGCATCTGTTGTGTAAGGGGTTAAAGGTCGACTCCGCAAACCAATGAGCCAAATCTGCTAATCACCTAAGACACTGAAATCTCACGTAACAAAAGGATTTGAACATATTTTTTGCAGTTGAATGAAACTAGTTAGCCAGATGAATATGGTTTAGTAGGGAATACAAAGACGATATGCTAAGAGGTTTCAGCTGCTAACATGATTCAGCATATAGTCTAAGAAAATAATATAAAGAGTAACTAAAGATTACAAGGTGAGTAGTGTACAACCATCTTATCGACATAAACCATGAAGTAGATACCTTATAATCCTTGAAACTAAGCAAACCTTCTCAAACTCACAGAGACCATAACGATCAAACGGATGAAATCAGAATTGTGTATTCACGAAGAAACAGTGTTGAGTCCTTTCTTGGCCTGGTAACCCAATATTTTATTCTTTCCATTAGTTGTTGACATCACCTTTTGACTGAGCACTTCTTAAATAGTAATAACTAATGCCCGTTGTACAAGAGATGGCAGTAGTGGATAACGCCTTGGCGTCTGAAGCGATGATTACGAGTTTTGAGTCTCAGTAGGGACATCACTCACTGTGGTGCAGATACATCTAGCTGACGAGTCCCACATAGGACGAAATTCATGTCCTGGACTCCCTTGCTGGTTACAACCAAGTAAGTTACCATAATTAACGCTCAGGCAATATTGAGGCATCCGGATAGGAGGCCATATGCCAAAAGAGATTGAGAAATTGGATGCAGTATAAAAAACGGGGAATTACAAGGATAACAAGAAATAGTAATTTCTTTTGTTTGTACAAAATTTTCATGATCAGTTTGCCAACTGAGTACAGCTCGTCATATTATTACATAGTTTGTCTGTTACTTAACATCAACTAACCTACTAGTGAATCTCTCTACGTAATTTTTTGATAGTACTTGTAGCGGCAAATAATTCCTGTAGATCAATGACCTAGGGTTCTATGAGATTCAACACTGACTCAGACCTTCATAGTTTTAACGGACTCAATAAGCTGAAGGCATATGGTCAAGCATCCACACCATTTGGCACATTGCTGTGTTATGTCGCGTTGCTCGTACGACATCTTTTAGCCAAGTGATTGGGACGCTTCGAAATTTCGTTACGGTTGGTCAAACGTACCATTTCACTTGACTGTACTGTTATGTTCTTCCTACCCAATGGACTTGTGGGTACATAACAAGTATAAATGATTACTAATTGGCCTTTGCATCTGTCAAGTTCGCGTAAGATCAATTTCTAAATATTCATATAATTTTCTTTGACTGTATGTTGAATCACATTTACAACTGAAAAGTTTTGGCATGTTGTTTAACCCAATAGAAATTTTGTGTTCTTTGTTGAACCATGTCGATCCCTGTCAACTAAAGTCATCCAATTTCAAAAGGTATGTTCAAATTCTTTTGCTGCATTAAGCTTTGTTAACTTAGGTTGCTAGTATCTCATAAGAAACCGAGGGAATCAAATAGTACGGTATAACTCTGTTCCAACAGTTATTCTTTGTCCGTTCAGTGAGCATTTACTAGTCAAAATATTTAGGTACATTGATTGGTTACTGGAGGGCAACCAACTTTATGTAGTCTAGTCCCATATGCTGATAGAATTCTAATGATCATTTTGCAATGTGGCAACCAGTCTACGAGGTTCACCACCACGATTTACTGAGATGGATATCAGCTGGATGAAGGCAGCCGGTAGGAAGCCCTGGATCCAAGTTTCGTGCCTTTTTAGCACTCATCAGCAAAGCGTATCTGCAACATTGACGAAACTGATGTCGCACCTGACATTCGAACCCGCGTCACCGTGCCTAACAACAGCTTCCAGGATAGCTCCGCTGTAGCGTCTGTGACCGCGATAATGGTTGGCGCGGGTTCCAGTCTCAAATGTGATGTTAGTTCCTTTGTGGTTTCAGATACATCTCGCTGACGAGCGCGTTAAAGCACGAGACCCAGGTCCATGAATTCTTACTGATTGCCTCCATTCAACTAAAATATTTAAATACGGACTACAGTAAGATGGTGTTTAACATTCAAAACAGCAAACTATGTAGATAAAGGCCCACGAACAGAATAGAAATGACTCCTTTATCATGTTCGTTGACTCTGATATGTTCTTTTTCCTGAATGCTCCAGTTCTACTCAATAGTTAAAGTAACTCCGGTAAAAACAGCTGAGGAGCTTGAGGAGAAAAATCATTCTAAGAGAATGTCTTCGCAGTAAAGGGAATACGTGAAAATAGTTCTTTTGTCGTGTGATAAAAATCATCCCACTGTTCATCTTATTTTCAATCTACAAATTCCTTACCGCCTACAGGTCCATATATGTATATAAGGATTATGTGCAGTATATGAAGTTGGATTTATCGATTACGGTAAGCATGTAGTGGGATTTTTTACATTGATAGTATAGATTAGGTGTTCATTTCGATTGGTTTAGAAGCTTTGGACAAACTAGAAAGGAAATAATCAACGAAGTTAGTTAACAGTTCGTTTGTTAAGTGCAGGTAAAATGTTAATCGAATGGGATAAGGAATTTAGGAGTTTAGTGAAGTCAATATCTTGGTTAGTAAGCTTTAGAATTGTAAAGACGCTGAAATTTTTAAAAAGTGAAATAAATTGTTTCCAAGACTATAAATAAACCATTAAGAAGTAGGACGTTAGTTAATATCAGACCATGAACAGTAACAGTACATAAATTTTTTAGTTTTATACTGAGTAAAATCTGTTCTACTAAACATCTGGTAGTGAATAGTTCAATTATCTGTACATAACGTCCATAGTATCCACGTGTCGAACAAGGTTGCCTTGCTTCACATCAAAGCATCAACAAAGATGTCAAAAAGCGAAAATAAATAAATCTGTATATCATCCATATGTTATCATAAGTCATAAAAAGTGATAAACAAACAGAAAAGTGAACAAAAGGGATAAAAGCTTATGATATAACGACCTAGGTAACAATGTGGCATGACTGACTACTATCATTATCTACTGAATTTCCTAAGTATCGATTATGTCCATACGGTGGACGGCTAACAGAAAGTTCACACTTCAGATAAAGAGACTTCATGTACTAGTGTGATTTCTTGTACCGGTCACCCTAAGCTTTTTCCCAAGCTGATTCTTCATCATATATTGTTCACACCATACTTACACTACGTTTAAGCGACTCACTGAAAAAAATTATGGTCAGAAAATTGTAATCTTTTCAACTCTTACACTAATAATGGCTACTTTTGAATACTAAATCTTGGGATAGAGAATTAATGTATCGTACACTAACCCTATAAATATAACTTTATAACTTTCGACCAATTAGGGTTGATGAATCGCTAAACGTTAATGAAGTAGTCCAACCAAAAAGCTACCTATAGTTAAACGAGATATAGTTGTAGAGCATTTCTGAAGCAACAGTTTGCTTACAGGTGAGAAACACGTTTGAAAATTTGAAAATTGTCACTAAGATAATCTGAAAGACTTTCCTCGTAATCAGGATCGATACTATCTTAGTGCTCTAAAATGAATGAAAAAATGTGTTGGGTAATTATAAAGTCCCTGTGAAATCAGTAAAGAAATTTATACTCTCCACAAGTACGCAGATGCTGAAATCAGGCTAAAATGAACACTGCCATTTGTTGATATACTTGTACTTCTCCGTTGTTATACTGGATGGAATTTTTTGACCTCATACCCATTGTACAAGAGGTCACTACCATGCCTTAAAGGTCTGGTGGATAACGCTTTGGTGTTTGAAGCAATATGTCAAGTCTCAATGGAAACAACCTCACTCACTGAGGTATAGTTACATCCACCTGATGAGTACTGAATAGGACGAAACGCGCGTCCTAGATTCCTATGCCAGCCACAACCAACTAAATTATCGAAATGTATGCTTTGAACAAACAACATGTAGCATGTGCGCAACAAAGAGTAAATCTCCTCAGGCTGGGAAGTTGTAGTCAAATACATTCTGTTGCATGAAAGAAAGAGAACAAGTAGATCAACAGAGACGCTAACGGAGATTTCATTTGCAAAGCTATACAATCACAAATACATGCAAATTTCTTAGTGAGCATCTCTGGTGTTTTAAATAGTCACAATGGTTCTTTGGGCATAGTGATGAGAAAAACTAAAATATCAAGATTGTTATGAATAGTTAAGAATGATCAAAGATGTAACGAAAGCTGTGCAGAGATTATTTAGATAAGGCTTTGAGTAACGTGACTGGAGATCAGATGTGGTCAAAAAGAGCATAAAGATAAAAATTCCTCAAGAAGTGGGCAGAATGAAAAAGATGCTGATTTAAAAGCGGAGCCGTAGGTGCTCAATTCTGAGGAGTCCCATACTAGGACGAAACAGCTTTCCAGTACTCCCAGGTCTCAAATGTTTCTCCAAATGATGTCAATCCATGAAGGATTCCAACTTAAAATCAATTAATAAATCTCCACAAACCTCCAGAGAGAACAAAGGCTGACTTCAAACTAAGGCTATCAAAGAAGAAGCAGCTGAACAACTTTCTTTTGTGCCCATAGTTTAGGGCTTCAGCAATGCAAAGAATACACGATTGCATGGCCTTCAAAAGATTTATTTTATTTTTACAAATAACTGTGAAAGCAAATTCCCTTGAAATAGAATGGATAATGTTGACAGTTTGTTCGATAATGGGACCCATTATCACCTCTTCACAACCATGTCGAGTAGTTTCTGGAATCGTTTTGATATATATCTTGCTTCATAAGAGCAAATGAACTGATATAAGCACACAGAGTCTGTCAGATACAGAGTCTTATGCGTATTTAGCGTTATAACATATGTGAAGATACAAATCTTCCTCTTTTTCATACGGAATATATGCAACACCTACTATAAATTAGTCAACAGAAACGCTAGATTGAGACCAGATTACAGTGAATAGATTGGTCAATTTGCTGACCACATACTCCGTAATATGATTTAATAAGCCCAACAATCGTTTATTTGTGAACTAAGGACTTTCCTAGCTCATTGATCATGACTCTTCCATGAGTTGTATGCTAAACCTCTTTCTTAAACAGTGGATAGACAAGTTTCCGATAATACTTCAGAATTTCTTTATGAATGTAAGTATTCTGACTTAGTGATTGCCTGAAAGTACACGACATGGAAAAAAGTTATGGGTTTATTCCTATGAAACAGCAACTTCTAGGACGTCGTGCAATCCCAGAAACTAACCTTTCTACTTTAGTAGCTCTATGGAACTATTTATTTCTGGTTGAAATATGAAGACCTATGTAAGAAACACCGAAGTGAATTGTTTTTTGACATACGAAAAGTTTATTTTCTACTTATGAAACTCCTTAAGGCTAAGTAAATAAATTAGTTTTGGAAAATATCAGTTAGTTCAAACGGCATGTCACAGGTAAGCTTGTGCAATGAAAAGATACAGGAGAATGAACCTTATCATTTATACAACATAAAAAACTGTCATTTATTTCCTACTGACAGATTTCATAGGAAACACCACCAGTGTCAAGTGATAGGTAAGAAAATGAAATAAGTTTCTTCAATCTCAAATTACTTTCGGTTTCTCAGAAACATTTGAACCAAAGAAGTAAACCTTTTATATATTCTGCTTACTTGTATTGGTGCATCTCCAGCTTGTGAGGCATCGACAGTAAAGTGTGCTGGTTGTTGTGCTCTTGCACCTCTTGGCTCCAGACCTGGACCGTAACATCGAACACGAGCTGGATCAACGACATCTCGAATTGGAACTTGAAATGGACTACCTATTGAGGACAAATTTGTAGGTTTAACAGTTATGCTAATTTTATAATCTGTCGTGAGATACTGAATAACTGAATAACTAGTTTTTCACTTGTTATTTCTATGTGCTTAATGTGCGATTGATGTACAGAATAACATGCCATTTACTATCCATTAAAACCTATACAATTCTAGACTGTTTACCAACTATTAACTCATTATTCAGTAACCCTAACACTCACTCATTTCTGATTGGTTCATTTCTATCTTAAAAAATATATCGATTTCGAGGTGTAGGTTAATATCAGCCATTAAGAAAACGTATTGCGCAGTTAAACTTATCATTGTGGAAAACACGAAACATTTGCTTCACCACAAACCTAAACACTGAGTCAATGATCTCATTGTGTTTACCAATTTACATATGTGTACTCACACATACGTACGGAGGAAAAATCGAGCTAAGTAGTTGAGGGTGGGAGAACATGTACCCAGATGGCTTCAAAAACAAATGAAGAATGAAATCTTGATAAACGCTGGTGGGAGATGACCCCTTCAGACCTAAACATATTATAGAAACAGGTCACATAATTAATGTTCAAATAGATTTAAGTTTTATATAGAAATAGTCAGTCGAGGACATATACTGAGATTTACGGTAGCTATACAGGAATCGAAACCACATTCATGTGTGCGAAAAAAATTCATTTTCACACTACACCTACCTTAGTAAACTGTTTTCGATCCAAGATTAGGATCAGCTATGTAACCTTTCCTTTTTGTTCTCATCTTTCTTAATTTTAATCCCCTCACTATCTTAATCAATCTTGCCTAGATGACTAGTACACTAGTTACTAGCCGGTCCTAAGCCTGGATAAAGAGGGAAGGTTGGGCATAGGGCTAGCAACCCTACCCGGAAAAAAAATCTAACCACTAAAGAAACCTCAGAGCGCAAAGGAAATACGAAACATAAAATTAAACTTATGCCTTGCTGAAATCGGAGAGGCGAAATGACGCCAGTTGGTGAAAGCCTTCGGGAAGACAATTGACCGATGTGTCTTCTCCTCTGTCAATGAAAGCGAAAGTAAACATGGGAACATGGAATGTCTGCACCATGTATGAACCTAACAAGGCTGCCCAGATTGCTAAAGAGGTGAGAATGTATAGCATAGAAGTGCTGGGCTAGGGATCTGCGAGGAATCTACGGATGGAATGGGAGTGGACTCTCCAAACTGTCAAGTGAAGAATCAATAATCTACTCCGATATTGTCACCCAGATGACAACCACGGGCACACTGAGTTCTGGAGTGGCTATCATGATTTCCCCAAGAACATCGAAGGCTCTCATGCAGTGGGAACCAATCTCCTCCAGGAGCAAGGTCATGATAGCAAGATAGATTCAACTCAAAAGGAAGGAAAGTCACATTTATTCAATACACGCGCCAACAAGTAGTGCAGATGAAGAGAAGAAGGAGGAATTCTACAAACAACTCTAATCAGTACTGGACAACACCCCACCCGAGTTGGCAACACCAAAATCTTAATGGGTGAGTTGACGTGAATGCCAAACTGGGAGCAGACAACACAGGAAGAGAACTGATCATGGGTCGAGAAGCACTCGGTGAAATGAATCAGAACGGAGAACTGTTTGCAGATTTCTGCACATTCAACGACTTGGTGATTGGAGGCACTGTGTTCAAGCACAAGGATATTCACGAAGGGACACGGGTTTGATTTCATCAGACCGACTTCATCTCAGTGTGAAGAAATTGGGGACGCAGCATACTGGACACAAGATCAGACTAAGAAGAGTAATAGATGTAGGTTCACACCCCTCACTACTTCCAAAATCAATTTGAAAGCCTTCAATCCAAGGAAGCTGATGGTAGACCATAGTTCAAGTTCAACACCCAGAACAGAAGCTGAACTGAAGGACGAAACTGCAAAGGATATCTTCATGTCAGCAATCAGAACAAAATGGGAGACACTGAGCAACATCCGTAAAGGATCAGGCGTGGGAGAACACACTGGAACTCTTTGAAAGAGATGTGGAAATAAACCTGCATAGGTTTATTAGGAAGGAAGAAGAGAAGAGACGAGAAATGGATCTCGACGGACATATGTAAGCTGATAGGCCAGAGACGGAAAGATAGTGAAGCAATGCAGTGCAGGAATACACAACGAAAAGAAGAACCGAGTACGACCTCTAAGACGCTACTTTGGAAAAAGAAATGAAGAGTAAGCGAAAAGACAAAAGACACTTCTACGACACGTCAAGTGAAGCAGAACAGGCTGTAGCTAGGAGAGACCTGAAAACATTATATCAAATAACCAGGTTACTGTATGTGATGAGATCAACGCAGATGAAACCAATGGAAGATAGTGAAGGAAACCTAGTTATCAAAGAGGAGAAACAAAGGAAACGATGGGCTGACCACTTCAAAAAGCTCTTGAATCAACTACCACTATCATCTACAACTCGTCCACAAATGCCGCCAGCTTCCCAGCCACAGAACTAATAAGGAACACAAGCCCTCCTACAAAAGCCGAAGTCCTGGACACCATAAAGCCGCTGAAATAAGAGTAAGCAGAAGGGCCAGATGGAATCTGGTAAGAAGCACTGAAAACAGACGCAAGGACAACAGCGGACATGGTCACAGCCCTACTGTAGAAGTTTCGGGGGGGGGAAAGAAAGGTATCTGCCTGTCGATAAACCTTGACGAGAGAGAAGGTGGGTATATACTGGCTGGACTGATGAAGGAAGACACCCCAGGAGAAGATTTGGATTTCGCCGACGACAATGATGATGATGATTTATGTCTGATGTCTCGTTGCACAAACTCGAAGATCTCTGGGCAAATACTAAGAAGTTGACAGTAGAGTGAGGGAAGCGAAAACAGGACTCAGAGTGAATGTGGAGAAGATGGTGGTGATGAGGATATCCAACCAACAACAACATCAACTACAAGCATCAATCATCATGAACGGGAGAAGTGTAGAGGAGGTAGTCTCCTTCACACACCAGCTAAGCAGGGCAGCATCGTTCCAACTACAGGTGGCACAGGCACAGATGAGGATGGCAAAACATGCAGGATGGGAGAAGCGAGATAGGCTTGCATCAATCTGAGATCAGTGTGGAGATCTACTGCACTGCACCCAGCACAAAGTGTGAACAACATCCATATTTTCAAGACTAAGTCCGTCAACTCAGTGTTTGTATATGGTTGATAGACTTGGTGTGTCACGTAAAGCATTTTCAACAAATTGCAGAAATACATCATCAACAGCTGCCTACGAGCTGCCAACGAGCTGCCTGAGCTGACTCGGAAATGGAGATCATATGAGAAGGCCAGAAATAGTACGCAACTAGGAACTCACTCTGTCCTGACAGCGAATTAATCGAGAACCTACGACTCGACAGATATGCAGGAGAAAGTGGAGATTGATTGGGTTGGGCATACAGTGAGAAGGCGGATTGGGGATATCATGCACCAGGCCAGGCAGTCGCGTGGAACTGGAATCGGGAATGACGAGTTGTGTGTGGAGGTGAGGGTGACATGGAGGAGATGGTGTAAGTAACAAATGAAAGCTTGTAGGCAGTCTTGGAGCGAAGTTCAGAAAACTGTAGAGAAGACAGTTGGATGGAGACGTGCTAGTGGCCCCTTATATTCTACTAGGAACCCAAGAGACAAATAATAATAATCATTGTATTTCTCCTCCTAGTCTTCAGTGTAATACAAATTGACTTGACAAGTAAGTGTGTGACTGGATTGCTTGAAATGTATTATGCAAATACAACGCATTGTTCAAATTAACTTCGTCTTCTAATTACACCATAGAGATTCTGATCTTAACCGCAAAACTGAAAAACCATAGCCAGGTCACTTGACTGTCCACATGGCATCGCACGATCACATTATAATATCCTTCGAAGACAACTGCTAGTGATTTGGAACTCTAAGAAATAATCTGAGATATTTGTAAAATAGAAGATCGTTGCTAAGTTATTAAAAGGACATATTATGCAACCAGGCCGTGTTATGGCGAAAACGAAACCTATAATTCGAAATAAACCTCATCGCTACGTAGATGACTGCGTCACATCCCAATGCGTTTACCAATTCGCATATTTGTCTGGTGACATACATTAGGAGGAGTAATCGGACCACAAAATTGACGGCGGTAAAGCAAATCCCTAAGTGGCCTAAAAAACAATTTCATTCAAATAATAGGATAAATACAGGGGGCAGATAGACATCATCCTCTACAGGTAAACACGCATTAGAAATAGGCCATAGGGTTGACCCTGAAACGGTCTTTAAAGACTGTATACTTAGGTTAATTGTGACCTTAGCTATACGAAAGTTCAAATCTCCCCCTAATAATCTCACTCTTTTCCCTCTTCACGTAAAACTGTTTGACGAGTAAATGTGTGACTAGATCGTTTCTCATATGCATCACATTTCTCAGATAATTTCTGTCTCCACGTTGCACCAGGGAAATTCATCAACGGGACTAAACATATCAAGATTCGTTCAAACGGTAACCTAAGGATACATAAATATTCATGAAACGAAAATGGTAAACTGCACCATGTATTGAGAATCAGTACAGGAGACCTCAGCATTCAGGTTAGTTAATTTCTAAGCAAAACCATGGTATCAAATCAGAATCTCTTTTCGGACAAAATCTGCTGTGCAGAACGAAGAACAACAGAGGGTGTACCTGTATTCCGAAGGGCATCTCATGAAGAAATTCACCTAAACTGATGGCTGTAGATGATGGCTTCTACAGAAGCTTATCAGTGACTGTGAGATTCAGCACCTAATCATCGTTAAGATAAAGCTCAGAAATGACTACCCGAAATGCTTTTCGACATCATCAACCTGAGCGTTTGACCCTTTAATTCTACTGATTTAATAATTATCATGTTTGAGGTAGGCTACTTTGAATACAAAGGCCCAAATGGTTAACCAGATTACGAAGACATTTGCCACACTGCTAAAAGATATCCAACGGTTCTAATGTGCCAGAATCAACAGCCAGACTGAAATCGAGGTGGATGTTGAAGATAACTTCTGTGAGTCCTTCTTTTTGACCATCTTGATCGCCTTGTTGCTGTAGCATTTTTTCTGTAAACTTATTTTTTCGGCTGGTATTTTGACTTCAAACCCCTCGAAAGGAGGTTACAAAGTTTATCCTCATCACCTTGGATTTTAATCTTTTTTTAAGTTTTAAGTTTTTAAGTCTCATTTTTATACTTGCAGTGAACCTGGTTTTGTGTCAGTGCAGATAATAATTTCAGTTTCATCAATATACAAGTAAAACTTGAGCACTGTAGTCGAATGTTATCTCATTTTAGTTGATGTATCAAATGTATCTATCAAGTAGTGAAATAATACTATTTGCTGGGTTACATCTTGGACACAATTCGTTGTTCACAATCATATCAAGGTAGCTCTGCAACGTTGAGGTACGGTTTATGTAGTTCTACTTTTCACGCCTTCCTTGTGATGTGGGTAATGGGATGTTCCATACGTTTGGCACAGGTGTTGACTCATTCCTGTTCCACGTACTTGGTGTTAATTCAATAAGCAAAGATTTGGTTATCAATCTCTACTTCCATCTTATTAAGTTTCTTTTAAGGAATGTTACTTTCTCATATCCCATTATGTGGTTGTGTTCAGTTTGATACATAGCTAATACCGAGCTTTTCTTAATTTTATTATCGTACTAGGGTTTAATAACCTTAATTTGTCTTGGTTCTTGTGATGGAACTACCTAAATGACCCTAGTCAACTACTTCTACTTGTGCATATGATCTCGCAATCATTTCATGGTATTCGGTAAGCCAAATTATTCTGCCTAGTCGGATTAACGGTATTATTTAAACCTCAAAAATCATTTCAAGTCAGTTTCTAGGTTGGAAGGTCATCCTTATCCTAGCCATATTTAGAACCCTAAATTATGTCTCTAAGACACCTTCCTACAATCTATCTCACAACAAAAGCGAAGATGCTAGAACTATATAAACCTGATTATTTGTTGATACTTGTGATTCTATGCTGCTGTATAGGGTCAAAATGATCGAAGCCTTCTGGCATATGGTCTCATGTGTGATTCTTTTGATATTGCATGCATACTGATCCAGTGTGAAAACGAGAATAACAGTTACTAACTAATACACATTTCACAGGGAGTGGGTGTCGTATCTTTTCAACTGATGGATAACGCTTTGACGTTTGGAGTGGTGGGTACGAGGATAGAGTATCTTTGGAAACAACATCACGAACTGGGGTGTAGATACATGTAGCTGAAGATTCTCGCATAAAACGAAACGCGTGTCCTAGATTCCACTGCTAATCGTCACAAAATCTACTATATCAACCACTGCTCAAAGTTGCAGAGCTACCTTGATATCTCTATCGAAAATAAAATGTGTCCGAAATGTAACGTGATACATCTGATAAACCAACAAGAATGGAATCCTAGTTCACATCATATCTGCTAGTGTGTTTTATAATCAGTGTTCTACGTCTGGATTTTAAACTCATTCCGATGTCATTGGATCTCTTGTCTCTTGTAGAATGCATTGTTCAACATTCAGCGATTACTTAGGAACTGCAGTTTTACTCAAAAAGTTTTCAATAAGGCTTACAACTACGGTCTTATTGCCATGGTGTTTTGTAATTAACAATTCACTTCTATAGATAGTCTTAGTAGTTTCGTGCAAAAAGTGAATCTTCAGTGCAAAAGTACTGATTTAAGTTAATTGTAGTGAAAGATAAGCTTAAAGAGATGAATGCATAAAACTGATGAAATAACCTGGCATACTCTTCAGGTATTCATCAAATGGTTATCATTTTAATTCCTACAGTGGTCTATTTTAATTGTGATGTTAGCCATGAGGATGTCATTGAGATGCATTATAGTAAGAAGTGATGTTGTTTAAAAAGACACCTCAGCGATTGATTTAATAGATATTCCAATCAAGTAATAGTTTGGTTAACCTGAATGCACTGATGAAAGTTACATAGCGAACCATCGGTCAGTTAAAAGGTTAATTTCATCTACCAGCTGCAATGTCTATTAGGCGCTTTGTCGATGCTGTATAAGTTCAAAATCATCTGCTTTTCTAAAGACAAAAAACCCTAGAATATCTCAAGTTATATTGATACTCCACAGAAAACTATGCAGTATATTTCGTCGCATAGGGTAATATTCGTTCAACGAATGTCTGTTTAAATTACTTTAGTTTTTTTATACCTAGCCTACTGACAAAATTTCAGTTTGACCTCAAACAACTTTAGCGGTTTAATTTAATCAAGTGGAAAAATGAATTTGAATACAACAGGTAAAACCTCTTACATACCTGGGATATTCATATCGTTAAATTTCACAAAAACATCATATGTTCCTGCACGAGTTGGTAAGTAGTCTACTGTGCATGTCCCGTCTTTGTTATCTTGACATTGGATCTGAGCATCAGCAGGACCTTCTAAAGCTAACCCGAGAGCACCTTGGCCGGCACCGTCTAAATCAACTGTAAATCTTTGCATCTCATGTGTGAATCCACCTTCCAAACCAGGCCCATATGCTCTTACTCTAGTTGGATCACATCCAGGGGCAACATTGACTGGAAAAGGACTACCAGGTACTGGTGCTCCATCGTATGTAACCTCAACATGATGCAAACCTGCAAGTGTACGAAGCAAAAGTAGTTTAATTTTCCATCATAAAGGAAGACAACTTACATCTCTTTACTTCTAAATATTTTCTGAAAACCATTAGCTATCGAAAATATTAGCAAGTATTAGCATAATACAAATGACATACATATACCTATTAAGATCCATAAATACGTTTCATCTATTCCCATTGTGTACACTCTGTCATTCCCAACAAATCAATTTTTAGTTTTTATGAGGTAAGAAGTGCCAGGGCAAGAGTAAAGTTAACTTAATTCTGCTCCCATTAGTTTACGTTATCACAGAACAAATTCCGGAACAGATCATGAAAGCTAAATTTTTTTAACCTGAACCCAAAAAGCGATAAAAGAGAGTTAATTTGGCCGCTTTTCAAAGTGATCGAACCGGAAGCGCGTTGTGTCTAAGGACCATTGTGTCACTTCAAGTAAAATTTTTGACTATCAAGGTATTAATATAATGATTTCTCTAAAATGCTCCTTAATTATCCATTTCATGAACTTATGAGAATAGCGCAATAGATGTTCGCTGAAAAGTTAACAGGGTTATATATTTTCTAAACTAAAAGTTATGATGAACTCAATAAACTTCCTCTTGGCATACATACTACACTATTTCTTTGAGAGCATTGTAACCTATTACAGAATGAAATCACAGTTGTTTTATTAGCCATAGACAACAATTTGAAGTCTAAAAACTACAGTTGAATGAGTTTCAGCCTTCAACATTTTAAAGGACTGAAAGTGTGAGGTAATACACTAGTATTGCTTGGCTTATAGTCTTGTTATCTTTCTCTATTTGTACACTATTTACCACTTGCCAGTTAGTTCATATTTCTTTGATGGTTGATAAGAACTCTCAGGTATCTTGGTTGTGTTGTGTTCTGTGAGCTGTGTTGTTTAGCCGCGGAGCTTTCATCATCTTTCTAGATGAATTCTTCGGGACTAACTTCAGTACTAACTAACTAACTTCATATTGAAGTTAGTGCTGAAGATGTCGTCTAGAAAGACGATGAAAACTCCACGACTAATCAACCTAGCTCAGAGAACGCAATACAACCAAGACCATCTACTTGAGCTACAAATATTCTCCACTCTTAGGTGTGTTTTTGTAACATGATACCCAACTCTAAGCTCGTTCTTGGTTTAACAGTCCGTGGTTTTAATCAAGTAAGATACAAGTACAGCCAGTTAGTGGTTTGCATCTACATTCGAGAAGGTTTTGTTGAATAAATTCCCAACAGCACTTGCAATCATTCTCTTGGGTCGCTGCTTCAGGCTGAAACGACAAGACCAGAAAACAAAGTTTACATACCTTCAAGCACAAATACTGTCTAATAACTATCACTAATTAGTTGGAAATGGGAAGGAATATAGAAAAGTCAGATTACTGCAAATTAGACACAGACGTCTTATGCATATGGCTACCGTAACTTTGGCTAGGTAACTATGAGAAAAGATAACAAATTTAGACGGTTACATCACTCTAGAATCATCTAGTCTGGATTTTGGCACAATCTAGATGTTTTCTTTCAATTACTCTTATACCCACTAACATATACACTAATATGATTCAGAATACTCTCTTCAGTCGTGTAACCAACAAACAAAGTCTTTTCAGGAAGCTTTGAAGATGTTCATTACATTAGTATTTCAGTGAACGGAATATTGTCCATGCAATAAAGTATATATCTGACAGTTTAAATCATAATTTATGGTCGACATATAGTATTTAGTTATGTATGTAGTTTCGTGATCATTATAGCCACTAGTACAATTTCGAGATTTGTGGGGATTTATTGACTTCAGGTTGATATTCGTCATGAACTGACATCATAGGAGACCCAGTGCCTCAACGGTAATGTGATGGCCGTGTAACCTCAAGGTCCTGGGTTTGATCGCTAGTGGGGTCATGGGTGTTCAGTGCTGAAGAGTCCCGTAACAGAATGAAACAACTGTTCAGTGCTCCCAGGCTTACAATGTTCGTCCGACTGATGTCAGTCCATGATGAATACCGATCTAAAGTCATTGGTACTCATTAAGAACAAATTGTTAATTAATTCATAGTAAAGATTTCTCAGATAATATTTGTTTTACTAAGAATTCATAGGCTTACCATCATCTATTGGTGAGTAACTACATTTATATGTTCCATCTCCGTTGTTTTGTATTAAACAAGCTGTCCTCTGTTTACTTGGACTGACAACAATGGCTTTGACCACTCCTCGGCCCTGTGGATCTACTGCCTTGGCATCGACTGTAAACTTGGCAAAAGACTCTTTTAGAACACCTTTAACAAAAAAGATGACAGTGGAAAAGTTAGTTGTTGTGATTATTCGTCCAACAATAAAAAAGGAGAAGCGTCGATCAAGATGCTGTTTGAACAAAAATTTCACATTTAAGATTTAAAGCATAGTTGAGCAATGGAAATTCATGCTAAGAAACCTTTACTGATATCTTCCATCATGCAAAATAAATACAGAATCTGTTGAATTAAATAATGAAGCAACAAGTGTTCACATTGAATCATGCTAAAATACTGGCAAATATATGTTCGCATTTAGAGAAGTACACCCAACATGCGAAGTATAGCTGTTGCATTCATTGCTGATTTCGCCTACCAGTTGGTTGTAATCCAGGACCATAAGCATGAACCCGTGATATATCGATATGTTCTCTTCCAGGTGGAGCAACCCTTACGGGGAATGGGCTTCCTTTGATATGTGTATCTTTGTACAAAACATTAACAACATATGGTCCAGGTTCAGTTGGTAGGTAATCCACTCCACATGTACCATCACCATTATCATTGTAATTTATTTTAGCCTCTGCAGGGCCCTCAATTGTAACGCTAAGAGGAGCAGGTGGAGCATCTTGACTGTCGATAGTAAATTTTGCAGGCTTTCCAGCTGTTGCACGATAGAGTCCATCACCATATGCACGAACTAAAGTGGCTGCATCAGGTCCAGAAATAGGCACCGAGCTAGCCTGCTGACGTGCAACATCTGTAGCGTAGATAGGTTCATGAAGTGAAGGAGGTGGGACAGCATTTGTACGAAATGGACTTCCTTTGACGGGCACACCACCAACTTCCACAACAACAGTATGAGGTCCAACGACGGTTGGTGTAAACGAAGGTGTGTATCCATCAACACTATCAGCGATAGTGCATGGTACACGCATACCGTTAGGAGATTTCACCGTTATAGTTGGTTTTGGTTTACTGTTATTCGGTGGTCCTGCACCAGCAGTTATTACGTCGAACTCAGTTGGTACACCTACAGTAATGTCTGATTTATACAAAAATATGTTTAAATATTAGATGCGGAACTTGTTTTCTAAGTATTAATAATAAAATATAGTCAAAGGAATAGAAATATTGTTCAGGATCTTTGGAACTGCTTCATTATGAACAAGAAAAATGCATATTTGTGTCCAACTTACCACCAGTTTTATAAGCACACTAGAATGATCATTCATGATGGTATTTGTGCTACTGGGTCATGTTTGAAAGTGGAATAAAAACTTAGATCGTAGCAGGATCTGAACTCATGAACTTCGCAAAATAAGATACAAAACTTAGCTACTGACCAGGTTTTAACTTCACTTTACTCACCAAGGGTGTACTCGGTTGTTACCTGAATGCATGATGCATAACTGGCTGTTCATAGTGATGCTACTTTCTGTGTGGCCAGATCTCGCCTCCATCGAAATACAGCTGAGTCAAACTAAAGGGGTGGTAGATTAAATGTTGATATTAGAGATTAAAATTGAGACATGGTTAGTAGTTGGCTCTCAAGGCCTATTCCTGCAGTAATCTAGGTTATCGTATCATCTACAGTCATCACACGGTACCGTAAATAAATACGAAACTAATAAACAGGGACTTCAGGAGAATTCACCAATTTTAAGTTGAGCTTATCCATGAAAAACATCACCTTAACATTTGTTCATCTCAAAGACGTCTGTACTATTATTATTACTATTACTGGCATTATAACTGTTATTCTCATCACATTTTTAGCCGTGTTGTTCTCCCCCACTTGTCTCTAACTGCTGTCAACAATTGACCACTTGACATAACCATTCATTTTCTCTTTGTGTTAGTTACGACTTTCCAAATTATCGATCATACCATTCTGACAATCTGAGCCATGGTTTGGCAGACTAATATTGATACTGAATGATGACTGGAGGTGAATTGAAACTTTGGATCGGGACCAGATTTGAACCAGTGACCATCTGGTTTTTGGCCAAATGCTCTAATATCTCGTAGTTCAGTTGGTAGAGTATCAGGCCGGAAACCCCGGTGGTCGCTGGTCCTAATCTGGTCGCGGTTCAAATTTTCATTTCACCTTCAGTCATCAACCAGCATCAATAATACAAGAACCTGTTGGAGATTTCACAATTTTTATCATGTAATTAGTCTATATATCAGCCAATGTTTTCATTGCCTTGATTATTTATTACGCCTTGATACTTTGAGAATGATAATTTGTTATGAAACGATTACTGCTAATGTACTTACATGTTACTTTGTATTTTAAAAGTGCTACATATTATTGCACAACCATTGCTGAGGAACTAACTATTTTAGTCACTTAGCCGTAGGAACATTAGAGTTATCGCTTCCTGGCATTTCATATTTTATTGATTATTATTTTGATAGAGTCTGATGGCCACTGGTTCGAATCCAACCACGGTCCAAATATTCATTTCACCTTCAGTCATTACCCAGTATCATATTTTATTGTTATTTGTCAAGATGTTGAAAAGTAAGTAACCAACCCATGCAGGCTTGATAAAAAAAGGTTTTATCGACCTTAAAGATTTTAGATATTCTAAAATGTACTTGTTATATGCTAGTATTATGGTTACAAAGGAATTTTTGAAATTGTCTTTTTCTTTCCAATATTATTCCATTCACTTTTATTAAGACATGATGGATGGTAGTAATCTGAAATAAACTCGAAGAAAAAGAGTAAGGGTCATCTGTTTTACTTAGGAATGTTTTCTGAGACAGTCTACGCATTTTTCTGCCTGACTGAGAACTGTGTTAAGTGAGTGAGTAACTGACTACATTCAGTTGACTAATGTGTTAAAAACACCAGGTGGTGGAGTTTTTACTTATATATGTTTACGTAATAATAAAAACTCCTGTGGACTTATTTTAGGTGTGCAGAACTGAGTGACTGACAAGCAGAAAAAATGACATTTTCATGCTTGATCAGACATTGTTATCATAAAAATCATCTTGATATTCGAGGATACTTTCGGCATGGAGTTACTTCAGTACGAGAACAGCTGAGAACCCCGGGAACAATGAACAATTATTCTTTCCTGATTTCCAAATTATAAACGGTACGGAAGAAAATCTTTGTGGAGGTTTGTAGTAAACAGTACAAAGACCAAAGAAGGCAGGATGATAACAGTAAACTGATAAATAAATAAAAAAATGAACTAATAATTTGGCCACGACTATGACTATAGCTACTGATAAGAAACATACTAGTATGAAAGACTCTCTAAAAGTGATGTCTTCAGTGGCGCCAATTAGTTAACTTAGGGAAAAGATTGACAAACTAATCTGAAAATCTACAACTTGAGCTGCGATTATTTAACATGACATCAAACTACTAAGTTTAAAATAGTCAATCAAGAGATCATGGAAGATGGGAACAAACTGTTGTTCATATGACTATCATAAATTTCGTTAACTTAAAGATTAACCTCATTGAGAGAAACATCTGGCAGCTCAGAAACCTAATAACTTGATACATTTTAATACGGAAGTCACTAGTCTGAAATAGCTCTAAAGTGATCGCTTAGGCTTATGCTTTTAGCTATGCAAACGTTTGGACTCCCATCAGTATGTACAAGTGACATTTGAGTAATATGTATTTGGTAGTTGATCAGAGTAGGAGTTAAGGGAAATGTTTCGTCTTACTTCAAATTCATTAGTTTGGTGTACTTGAATCTTGATTTTTTGGTGTTCATACCCAGACATGAACACATCCATCACTTAAAATTATAGAGAATCAACCGCCTGACTATTCACTTACAATGATCAATTCTTAGTCGAAGAGCATCTGTTTATTGTTAGAAATTTCAGTGTCTCCCGTTGTTTGTCTACAGGACTAAATTTATGAGCTTTTGTTGGCAGTTTCACCGGTAATTCAAAAATTCAACTAGCTGTTGATACATTCTTATGACCATTCCTAAATAGAAGGCAACTCACATCATTGAGTTACCTTGCTATTATTATATTATTATTTTATTTGTCCCTTGGGTTCCTAATGGAACATAGGGCTTCAGTAGCACGTCTCCAGTGCGCTCTCTTCTCTGAAATCTTTTGAACCTGGCTCCACGACAGCCCACAAGCTCTCATTTCCTCCTCGCATGATCTCCTCCATGTCACCCTCACCTCGGACCCCCAACTCGTCACTTCCCATCTGGGTTCCACTCGAGTACCTGGCTTGGTGCATGATGTCCCCAATCGGCCTTCTCAGTGTATGCCCAATCCAGTCCATCTCCACTTCTTTCCACTGCATATTTGTTGAGCGATAGGCTCTTGGTTTGTTCGCTGCCAGGCCAGAGTGAGTTCTTTGTTGCTTATTCTTATTATTCCGACCATCTGATCTTCAGTAATGAGTCGGCCTAGATAGTTGTTGATGAATGTCTGTAGTTTGTTAGAAATGCCTTTCGTAACTCGCCAATTCTCTCAACCACCACATGGAAGCACTGACTTGACGTTGGTGTTGAAAATCCGGATTTTGTTCCACACACTGAGTGCAGAAGATCTCTAATCTGGTTTCAGGCTAATGAATACCTGTCTTGTTTTTCCGATCCTCACTTTGGCGTCCTTATCTGTGCCGCCTCTAGTTGAAACAGCACTGCCTAGATAGGTGAAAGAGGCTACTTCCTTTAGGTTTCTCCCGTCGATGATGATTGGAGCTTGTTGTTGTTGGTTGGGTATCTTCATCACCTCTGTCTTCTCTATATTCACTTGAAGTCCCGTCTTCGCTGCCTTTTCTGACAGCTTGTTAGTTTTCGCCTGTAGATCTTCAAGTTTGTGCGACATCAGACACAAGTCATCGGCGAAATCCAAGTCTTCTAGGTTCTTTTCCGCGGTTTAGCGTATTCCTTTCGTCTCGCTCCTCACTGTTTGCTAAGCACTGCCAAATTTAGGTAACCAAAATCAAATTACAGGTGATATTGAGATGTAAGTGCATGGAGCTCATATGCTGAACTACAGTGATCGACTGAGCTATATAAATAAACATCGAGGAATACCGATACTTCTTATAACGAGCCATGACAAATTTTTCAGTGCAGAACAGCTATACTAGCAGCTTTTTAGCAAATATTTTGTATTCACTGTAAAGAGTCAATATTCACTCATTCTATGTTTCCGCACGTGAGATGTTTCACCAATCAGCAGATACTGCGTTGTTCTAAGCAGACACGCTGTGTTCATCAATCTTATTATGTATTCATCATTTCACAGAAATTCTTCTGCTTTGTGGCACGACGAGGCTACTGTGATGAAATCAAAAATATATGTAGGACTTTTTCGTAGAGCTTTTTTTTCTCCAGGTGCAGTTTCTACAGTGGTTCCGCCAATAATAGAAAGCAAAAAAGTCTTCTGCTTGTGAAATATGACCTAATTGCAGATCTAATCCATAGCGTGTCATTCATTTTTTCATCCCAGCTAGATCTGTCAGTAACAATGTGATTGACAACCAGAGGTTGATGATCACAGTGTAAGTAGATTCCTGAAATTGAGTTGCTATCAGGAAAACAAAAATTTTATGGAACTGTATCTCAAAAATCCCTATCTTCATGCCTTCATCTTGTTGACTATACCTCATTATCGCCATAAGTCATCAAATGTATTACATGGATGAAGCATTACATCTTAATGCTTTGAGATCGACACTTTTTTATATACCTTCGTTTGTCGTCAGCTTCCTGCTGATACAATGTAACTTGCAGTTTCATCTAGCATCTTTTGAGGTGATAAATAATACCAATAAAATAGAAAAGATTGTGATTTGTAAGCCAGGTCATTTATTGTAAAAATTAACTCATTTAACGTCATAAGACTAACCAGAGTATTAGCAGTGTCACAGTGTCAGTGGAACAATTTACCTCATGTACCCGAATTATTATTACTTGATTTGGTAGAAGCTATCAGTACAAAAATGTTATAAGCATCTTGATCATGAGTTTTTCTATACATGATAATTTGCTTGCAGCATTTTTTCTTCTAATCTTCAACTAATAAAATGTTAGGCTGTAGCCAAACAAACGACTTATTTAACTAAATATAATAGTTATTTTTTGTTTGAGCACACATCACAGTAAACTGAAATTAAGTAATTCATATAACAGTCAAAACTGAAAATTGTTGTTTACTACTACTACTGCAGTGTTTGCAAGAACTGGTGCGGAATCACGCTCCTGTCCACCCAAAGTAAAATATTAAGCCGCATCATCCTGGAGAGGCTTAAAGATGCACTGGATTCAAAACTACGACCAGAACAGGCAGGCTTCAGGAAGTACAAATCATGCACGGACCAAATTGCAACGCTTCGCATCATCATAGAACAGAGCATAGAATAGCAATCAGCTCTCTACCTCAACTTCATCGACTTTGAGAAGGCCTTTGACAGCGTCGACCGAGAAGTAATTTGGAAACTGCTTCAATACTACGGAATACCACAAACCTTTATCAGCCTCATTCAACAACTATATGAAGATGCCACATGCCAAGTAATTCACAATGGGAAGCTCAGTGATGCTTTTGAAGTGAAGTGAAGACAGGAGTGAAACAAGGTTGCCTACTATCCCCCATGATATTCCTGATTGTGGTGGACTGGATTATGCAACAAACAGTGGGGAGCGAGAAGAAGGGAATACGCTAAACCGCGGAAAAGAACCTAGAAGACTTGGATTTAGCCGATGACTTGTGTCTGATGTCGCACAAACTTGAAGATCTACAAGCGAAAACTAACAAGCTGTCAGAAAAGGCAGCGAAGACGGGACTTCAAGTGAATATAGAGAAGACAGAGGTGATGAAGATACCCAACCAACAACAACAAGCTCCAATCATCATCGACGGGAGAAACCTAAAGGAAGTAGCCTCTTTCACCTATCTAGGAAGCACTGTTTCAACTACAGGCGGGACGGACGAGGACGTCAAAGTCAGAATCGGAAAAGCAAGACAGGCGTTGATTAGCCTGAAACCAGTGTGGAGATCTTCTGCACTCAGCATGCGGAACAAGATACGGATTTTCAACACCAACGTCAAGTCAGTGCTTCCATGTGGTGGTTGAGAGAATTGGCGAGTTACGAAAGGCATTTCCAATAAACTACAGACATTCATCAACAACTGCTTACGCTCGCTGCTGAAGATCAGATGGCCAGAATAGTCAGAATAAGCAACAAGGAACTCTGGGAACGAACCAACCAAGAACCTATCACGCAACAAATATGCAGGAGGAAGTGGAGATGGATTGGGCATGCACTGAGAAGGCCGACTGAGGACATCACGCGTCAGGCCAGGCCCTCGAGTGGAATCCCCATGGGAAGCGACGAGTTGTGTGTCCGTGGTGAGGGTGACATGGAGGAGGTCGTGCGAGGAGGAAATGAGAGCTTGTGGAGTGTCGTGGAACCAGGTTCAAAAGATCTCAGAGAACAGAGTTTACTGGAGACGTGCTACTGAAGCCCTATGTTCCACTAGGAACCCAAGGGACTAATAATAATAATATACAATAATGTTTCAATTCATACGTTGTGTATATTGTACATTGAAAACGAATTATTTACTGAATAACGTCTTGGGCACAATTTGTTATCCATAATTTTAGAAAGTGAATACATACAACTTTAGAACTTGACTTTTATAGCTTATTGTAAGGAAACATTTACAGCGAAATTTTTTCAAATCTGCTTTTGAAAAGTTTGATATACTTGACTTAAAAGAAAAAGTAATTTCTGGGAGTACAAAAATTATGTCTGTGTTTGAAGTATCGTTCAATATGCAATACAAATAAATTACAGTAGAATGAGATTATTACTTCTATATTTCCTTGTGATAGATGAATGCTAAACGTCACTCTGAAGAAAAATCCCTCCCTCCATTCTAATCGAAGATATACTGGATAGGATGAGGCTAAGAAGATGAAACATGACTCGGAAACACCATTTCATGTTCAAATTCACATCCGTAATAATAAAAACAAGATCAACACTTAAAATAATATTTGATGCCACTATTAGTTGTTCTTTTTTTTAACCAAGAAGCGATAAAAATAAAAGTGGAAGGTTATTGGTGAAGAACAGCTTCTTCTCCCCTGCTCCTGTTGCTCAGTTTTCTATGATGCACATCTTACCAGTACATTTCTGAATTAGACAGAATCCTTGTGAGATTGAAGCTTGCCTTGACATTTGTTTTACTGAGATAGCGGTATTTTTATGAATTTAGTATTCTAAGTATTAACTTGAAATTGATGATATGCCAAACCAATATCACTTATTATTAATGTTCAAAAGACTGTAACATCGCATTTTCTGATAAATCTGCCTTTTGAGCTGTGTAGTTATCAACAGGTAATTATTGCTTATCAGAAGTATGCATAAAATTAGAACAGAGTAATTCAAGATGAGTGAGTGCATATGTCCAAACTCGTCAAATTTTGAGCTGGATTGTTTGTACTCTGCAACCATCAGTTTTAACTATGCAACAATGGGAAGTATTTGTAGCTCAGGATGAGGATGATGGTGATTTGATGTCCCCAGCTCTGTGATATTTTATGATAAACGTTTCATCACTAGGCTTAGTGACATTTATACTAACCTCATAAAGGAGAAAAAAACTTCCTTATGAATTTTGTGCTGAAGATGTCACCAAGCCTGGTGAATTAATGCTGACGGCAAAATATCAAAGCTTCGAGAACACCAGACTACCATCAGTTTTATCTTGTGGACTCTAAACAAGGTGTTTGAAGTTTCCGAAATGATTCATCTGCTGAACTTGCATCATACCTTCATTTTATCACCATAACTTTTCTTCTACCAGGATTCCACTTCACTTAAGCCAGGATATCGGTGTAGGGTGTTTCTAGTTATGCAAAGCTTACGTCTCAGTGAATTTAGCTGATCAGTGTGCATAAACTTCTTTAGCGCTTTATGCCCGAACTTTTCACTGTTCTCGTATTGTTGATATTACCATTATTACCTATGAATTAACCCATTCCAGGATTTGCTACAGTAATTCTCTGTCTCCAGTCAATTCTCTGGTGTATCCTATAAATATTTACGAACAAGTTTAGTTATGTCTTGGCATAATTTTGAATGGATTTCTATCTATCGAATTTTATTTGGTATATTTGTATTCGAAGTCCTATCTGTTTACAGTTACAAGACTATCCCATAGAACGAAATGAGAGAATGTTAAAAAAGAACCGACACTACTTACTTGGTTCAAGATTTTCGACATGAATTTTAGACATGTCTATATTTGGCTTAACAGGGACTTTAAATGGACTACGTGGAACTTCTTGGTTGTTGAAGAAAACTTGTACAGTATAGTAAGGTCCAGGTGTATTTGCTGTATAGGCGACTTTAAATGTTCCATCTCGCATATCTTGTGTATCCATAGCAACATCACGTCCAGCTTCATCTGTAACACTGATACCGACATTTCCTATGAAAAAAGAAACAAGTGAAAGTTGTAGAAGAACAATGAAAGATGAATATGTGGTAAGCTACTGGATATTTTTTCGTATATCTTCAACAGTCGGACTCAAAAGAACTCACTTCTCAAAGCAGCAGATCATCTTTGCATGTAAACGTTTTCTAGTCCTTCAATTTTGTTTGGGAATTTGGCTAATTGACTGAAACATTCAACAGATTCAATACTTATAGGTACATAAACTTGTAGCCACCTAAGCTGCTTTCAACTTTCCTCTTCATGTTTCCAAGTAGTGGGAAAAATAATTCATGATTTTTAAATTTTACTCAATTTTATATACCATTGTTATAATTAGAAAAGTAATAACTCGCTTAACAGTCGTGTGCAATCCGACATACTGAATAATAAAATATGACTATTTTATAAAGTTTTTGATATCCCCTGATTGTAGTGGAGTTCGAAACGATAACCGACTGGTTAGATTCCAAGCAACTAATATAAATAATCATAAGTCATGCAAGTAGAGGGTAAACTTTATCCAGTGTCTGGTCACAAGGTTCGCACATCTAGAGATACTAAATAAGATCATATCCAGATATAATGAAGTTCCAATGCAAATCCATGACCCATGGGGCTAGTGGAAATTGAAATATGTGCCATCTCAAGATAATGGATGATGGTCGCGCTATACCGTGATCCAACAAAAGTAGGAAATTATAGACCAGTGGACATCTACTGAATGGCTGGATGTTCAACGTATTGGTCACGAAACCTGAAGGTTTTGAGTTCAACTCCTGGCTGGGTTGTGAGTGCGTGCTGCTAAGGAGTCTCATACTAGAACGAAATAACTACCCAGTGCCTCCAGGTTTTCAGTGGTTCTCCGGCTGATGTCGGTTCGGGAAGAACACTACCACAAGTATATATCCCTCAGATATTTTTTTACCGAGGAAGAATTGTATTTAATAATCATTCATTGTTCATTTTTCTGGATATGTACACAAAAGGTATAAGATATTGCACCCATGAGATGAAATACATGTTTAGTAACTTCAACAACAGTTTTTCGCCTGCTGGATGGGTGCCTCAAGTTTTAACTTGTAAAAATACTTTGATCAGTGGTTCGAAATATTACTAATATTACTAATCGAAGTAAGTATTCCGTTCAGGAGTGTTCGTGTTAAACAACACCCAACCATTCAGTTATACGTTTGAATCCTATCATATATCCTCTGGTTTGAGGAAGTAAGGAAATTTATAAACTGTCAGACATTATGAATTAGGTTTAAAATAATACACTAATCAGTACAATTATACGAAGTTGAAAATATTTGTCCTCAGGTATACATTTTATTCACCATAGTTAGATTGAGCAAAAATTTTTGTCCCGATAAGAAGGATAATCAGAAGCTTAATTTCGTAATCACTAGTGTGCTATTCCCCAAAACCAACATTTAAGACATCAAACTGTTATTATGTATCTGTGACAAAAGAAGAAGCTGAGGAAAATATTGTAATGTTAGTCTATTCCTTTTATTATGATCACCATAGAAACATATATGACAGAATTTAGAACTGTCACTGATTTTCTATTATTGATAAGCACCTGTTTATACGCCTTTAATCAGTAATTCATTTTTATTTTTTGTGTAATAATTAATTTTATTACTTCTAGGTTTATCATAACGAAAACTATTTCAACACATTTAATGTTTTCAAAGAAACCTCTGCACTTGTTTGTTTGCATTCACTGATTTGATCTGCTGGATAGAAAATTTCCATAGTATGATATTTTAATTTTTGGATCTTATTGAGACGAAAGCTTTTCTAAGATAGCTTAAGTGATCCTGATGTTTAAAAGAGGCTCAAGATGATACCATTAGTTTGATAACATCTGGAAACTATCCTTAATAATGTCTTAAACTATCATTGATGGCCATAAATATGAAACAATACGGCTTAAAGTTTTAAAGGAGTTTAACTGATTTTAAGATAATGCTAATCGAGGATTGACAGGAGTTACAGAATAACTGAGAACTGGACAGCAATTTCGTCTTAGTTAGAGACTCTTCAGCCTTGCATATCTCATAAAGATGACAATGTATTTAATAAAGCAGTTCTTTACGTCGGCTGAGACATTTTACCTTAGTGTTTATCCTTAAGATGTACATTGATTACTTTTGATCATTGTGTGAATGAAGTTATCGCCATTGACGTTTTGGTAACCAATTACTATCAGTAGCTTTTAGGCACAAATATAACTAATAGGTAGTAGTATTATTTATTTGTCAATGACTTCAATTATGCTATCGGTTAATTACATAGAGCCATTCTTATAACTGATTACAGATAGACCAAGTAGTTGAGAGATAATGTCTGTACATGCGTAGACCCTAAATGTATTTCCAAAACGTTGTATTGTAAACGGGGTACACTTAAAATAATCCGGTTTAATCTACCAACCTGAATTTGCTAGGTTAAAAACTGTATCAATCCAACTATATTTATCTCAGATAGCCTATTTAAAAAGTGGAAATATTAGTTATTAGATTTTCTGTATTTCAAATCATTTTCACAGTAGGATGCTTTTAGCGTATGTCGGGATTTCATAAATATTCTATAGTATAGTAATAATAAATCACTTCTTGATGTGTTTACTGCTACCAAAATCTCTTACTCTTTATTGAAATGTTACTTCCCTACAGGGCTCAAAACAACTTTTGACAGGAAATATTTTTAAAATTCAATATACTACGCGAAAATAGCTTCTATTGTCAAATAGGTTTTGTGGTGCATCTCAGACTAAGAGTATTTGATTGATCCAGTGTGGTCCGTAATTACAAGTCTACATTCACTGAATATCAATCCCAACTGACATAGTACTTAACTACAGGGAACTTCATGTAATGCTAATGTTTGATGGTTGTTCAGTTTACTCACCGTTTTAGTATTTTGTCGTACACTTTTTATCAGTAGGCTTGGTGACATCTTTGATAATAACTTCATAAAAAATTGAAGCATATTCTAATGACACATGAATGTTTAAGTGGTGTTTTTTTCAACCTTCTTCTTTGCCATTATCCCTCCCTGAGCTACAAATGTTTTACAATCATACATAGCTGAGGAACAATAAACTGTGGTTAGGTTAGTTTCTTTTCAATGAGCATGTTATTATTAAATACCCTTGTTTCTTTTTAGTCGCTGAATGATATGCAAGTACCTTGCAGCATATTTGTGAGAAAGTCTTGGTAGATAGAGTATCCGGTTTTATTAGATAGTAATGCGTCACCAAGAAAGCATCATATCTATTACAAGTGATGCAAGCACGTAATTCCATATGACAATAATTTATTAAATATAGCACAAAGCGATACAGAATCACTTACTAGATGACATTTTGAGTGTAATTTATGAGTCATAATTATTTTAGGGTAATAACACGACTTCTCGCCTCAGTTAGTAGGTTAAGCATTGAAGACACAAACAATTATAATCTCATCCAGCTGTTGAAGATTCAATGGATTAAAATGATGTCATCCTACGCCGAAGATTATGTTCTCATTAAGTCTTTTAAATTCATTAAGGGATGCATTTTCAGTCCAACCACTTTATTTATCGTTTTAGAGAGTAATAAAGATGATCAGTGGCTATGAAAGCTTCTTAGGAATGAAACTAACAAACCAAAGAGATAAATTAATTTTTCACGCATATTACGTTTATAATTTACGTCAAAAAGAATTTGATGAGGAAAGATGTACGCTGGCTAAGAGCACAATGCACAGTTTACTGTTAGGATACTTTTGTTCATATTTATTATTTATTATAATATAGCAGTTTCCTTCGGTATCTTGATTTGTAACCGCTTCCTGTATTCCTTTTAGAATGCGTATCTTACTGCTATTCTAATAAGGGGATACATAAATATTTAATGATCAAAACAGAGGGCAATTTATATTTTTCTGTAACCCTAAAAGAATTTTTTCTTGGGGATCCCGCGGTAAAGTTCGTCACCTGGTGGTTTCCTCAACCAAAATACTGTTTATACTATATAAAAAAGTGTTCTTTCTACACTAACTAATTTTCGTTTAATAGCATATGCGTATAATGTATTAGCATTGATGCTAATGACCTTGAGATCGCTGTGTTTCTGACTTATGATTGGATTATCATTTTTTTTTACTTTTATGCCAGAATTTATATTCCCTGACAATTAACTTCTTTTAGATTCAACTGCAATGTGAAATGCATACCGTTAAACTGTATAACTTTTTCCAGTTTCATTACCTGGTTTTTGAATGTAACATAGTGACCAATGCGTATATAAACAAAAAGTAGATTTAGCGACTTCGTTTCAGATAGCTTTCATAAAGTTCCAGTGTAAAGCTATGATCTATAGGGTCTACTTTATGTGCTGTGAAGATTATTACTCATCAGCTACAGAAATCTGAGTATGCAAAACGTAAGATGGTGCTACCAGAGCGGTCTGCTACAAGTATTCCAAACTTGATGATAGGAAGTGAAGTGATACGATGTGTCGACTACTTCATTACATAGCAGTTGCATCAGCTCAAACGGGCTGGTTGCTGACAAACTCTCAACACGGATAGGGAAGGTCCGTTTGGTATTTGCCGAGATGAGTCATCTGTGGTGCCGACTCACGAGATATCCGACTTCCTATCAAAGGATGAGTATACTGCCTTGCAGTCCATTCTGTCCCGTTGTACGGCTGTGAGAGATGACAATTAAAAGTAGAAAACACGAAGCGATTACTGAGTTTCTATTGCAGACGTCTTCGTTACATTGCTTGCGCTTGGTGGAGACAGTGTACGAGAAATGTTGAAGTCTGGTGAAGGGTACTAGGAAAGACAGCCAAGTCGATTGATGAAGTTATGCAACTCAGTCGACTGAGATAGCTTGAACATGTATTGTGCTTTCTTTAGTTTTCATGTTCGTAAGTTAATAATCCCTTTTTCAAACATAAAGGCTTGAAAATCAAGCATACAATCTATGTATATAACATACTGAGAATGGCTAATAAGAATATATAAGCTTTAAGCCAGACGCTGCGGTTACCTCTTAAATGAATATGTATAGGCTTTATTCTTCTTGTTTAATATTAATAGGAAAGCGGGAGAACGGCAATGAATCTTACCATGTCCAGCTTGTTTGCAGTCTACAGTGAAATAAGTTGGCTGACTTCTAGTTACACTTTCCACCCCTGGACCGAAAACGCGTACTTTTCCTGGATTACTGGGTTCGGCTACTTCAACCTTCAAGTAGAATGAACAGAAATACATAAGCAAACGGGAGTTTAATACCAAATAGTTTGAATAATGAATGTATTTAGAAGCTAAAAGATGAAATGATCTTAAAGTCGTCTGTGAGTAGTATCGCAATGTATATTTCCCGCTTATTTTCAAAATTAATTGACCAAAACGTCCATAGTGGCTGTTAGATTAAAGCTCGAACTCACAGGATAATGCAAGACAATTAGGCAATAACATTCTTCACTGACTATGCTGAATGATGATGCTTTAAAGCTGACTGCAGATAACCCTCATTAGAGAGTTCTGATATACAACAAGCCTATATCAAGCGTATTTTAACCGCTATCTCACAGAAGTATGCTGAAAGATAGGTATTTTTTATACAAGAAGGATTTCAGGTCACTAATGCTAAATCGTGTGGGGCTATAATTCAATATGCTGGTCATATTGCCGTGATTCATATTCATGTTCTTGATTGAAGAAACATGAATAAATAAATGAAATCTTCATTAACCACACTGTTTAGTGTCTAGTTGTATTTTGGTATTATCTCACGATATTACAATAAGGCAGCGAAAATATTCTTTAACTTTAAATTTTTTCCAGCAAACTGATGATAACTCACTCTGAAAGGACTTCTAGGTATATTAACTCCACCATAGGAAACAAGAACTGTATGCTTTTTGGGCACTTTTGGTGTATAGCTACATGTGTATGTACCATCTCCATTGTCACGAACTTTTAATGCAACCGGTTCACCTTCATTGTCTCGACATTCAACTGTTAATGGCGCAGGACCTCCAGCATCTCTTATATCGACAATGAATTCAGTTGGTTGGCCAGCAACATTTCCAGTAGGCATTATACCTGGTCCATGAGCCTTGACCTATAAAATTTCCATAAAAAATATGCAACAAGTTTTTATAAGAGGGATTTGCACCAACCAACATTGGGCGCATACACTGAGAGATAACGTTTATTGCTAAACTTACCCTTTCCGGATCGCATTTACCCATATCAGGTTCAATTGGAACCATGAAGGGAGATTTCGGTATATTTTCATCATTACATAAAATATGTACTGCATATTCGCCAGGAGCTGTTGGCCAGTAAGCTACAGTAGCTGATCCATCACCATTATCTGTACAATCAATTCTTGCTTCACTTGGACCTTCAATGGAAAAGCCTTAAATAAAGCAAAAGTAAAATGTTTTAGGGTTGGTTCTGATCGAATCCGCTTCTTAAACGTCACTAATAATACTAAATAACTTTGGTATGAACACCGATTTCTGGGTTTTGGGGATTTATTTACTGACTTCAGGTTGATATTCATTATGGACGCTACCATTTTACCACTGGGTCCAAGTCCATTAGTTCATATTTCCTACTCCTGTCATTTCACGATATAGCTGACTAGCTTCAGGAGGTGATTCCTGAAGTTCTAATGAGAAGTCATGAACAGTGAGGCCAACCAAATCGAACATAAGGACTGTTACTTAACGACGGGATTGAATAGAGGTCACGCTATATCCTAGACTGGCAGAAGTAAGAAATATGGACCAGTTGATTTCAACCCAGTGGTCGAATCGTAATATCTCGGTTTCAGTACAGTAAAGGCCTTAGGTTTGGACCCAGGCCAAGTCATGGGTGTGCACTGCTGAGAAGGCTTGCAGTAGAAAGAAAGAGCTGTCCAGTGCTTCTAGGTTTCTGATGTTTCTCCAAATGGTGCCAGTCCATGATGAATACCAGCCAGAAACTAAGAAATAATTTTTGTTTAATCCGTAGATTAATGATGCGTCAGAGCTAACTACAATATAAAGTTGAAAGTTGAAAATTCGTTGCAAAACGTGCGGAGCTGTGGCTCAGTGAATTAGAGTGGTAACTCTAGATTAATGAGTGACGGATTCAAGCCCTGCTCCACCTACCGAAGTTTGAACGCCCTTATATAATATATGGGGCTCATTGCCTACTGAGTGTATTTCATTTTCATTGTAAAATTTAGTTTCAAAAGGCAAAAATACCTAAACTTTATGCCAACGTTGACTGTATCTTCCATTTTCTTATATATCATGAATTTTTTTCTACTATAGCAAATATTTCACGGTGTCTAATTGTCTGTTTACCTCTGAATATCTGTTTGCACCAACTAGTAAGCCAATGAAGAACAGCATCACATATAGACTTGATACTCTATCAAAATCATCAGTAGAATTTAGTTTATATTTAAAAGATAATTGGGGCTATAAACACATTATTTGGCAACGTCAACTTCAGTAATGTGTCATTACAGAGTATACAATATCGTGATTTTTAACCCCAGGTTCTGAAGGAATCAGATTGCCAAGTTTGCGAATAAGTCATTAAACTTAAAAAATGTCATCGTATTACTATTCTGGATGATTTTAGACAGCTGAATAAAATTTTACATTCTGCCCTTGGTACTTTTCAACAGAAGAGTGTACAACCAACTTCAACAGAGTCAACAATACTCTGTAGAACTGAATGCGTGTCATTCACCTCTGAAGGCAGATATGTTGTCTATGGGTTATTCGCATCGTGGCTAACTTTCGGGTACACGCTAAAGAACAACTAACATCACTGTTTCAATCATAAGCGTTATTCCAATTCTGTCGGTCAGTTAAGTGACGTTCTATGTATTCATAAAGATAACGTTTTCAATATATATAGGTAGTACTCACCACGGACTGACATTATTTGGGGAACCACTTGAAATCTGGAAGCACAGAACAGCTGTTTCAACCTAGTATAGGACTCCTCAACGGTTCGCAGCCACGACCGGGCTAGGGATCGAACTCAGGACCTTCAGGTTTCACGGCGAATCCGTAAACCACTCAGTCACTGGGTCGATTTTCAATGGTCCACGGTTTCCAACTTCTGTCAATTCACTGTGAAATCTGAAGGTCTTGAGTTAGATCCATAGCAGCGTCATAGGTGCTTACTGTTTAGCAGTCCCATACTAGGTTGAAACAGCTGTCCGGTGCTCCCAGATTTCTAATGGTTCCCCAACTGACGTCAGTCCACAATGAATACTACCTCGAAATTAAAACATCCCCATTCATCTCAAAAATAAATACATATTTAATATTTTTGCTATCGTCTCTAGAATGTTCATTCTATCACTACAAATAGTTAATCGTTGAGAAGTCCTGGCAACTTCATCAATTTCCATCAACATAACTCTTTATTCCCTTCAGTCTCAATTAGAAAACTTTGTTGCTAACTTATTAAAATACATTGTATAACATATTGTCCATCATAAACATTATATTCTGTAGGTTGTGAAGCAGCATCTCAGAAGAATCCATGAAATACAAGTATGTAAACTCTGCTACTATTGTTCTACTTGCTTTATTCAAAAGCTTAAAAGAGGAGAATTTCACGAAGAAACATTTTATGTACTCATGTATTAGGATTTTAACTTCATTTCAATCATTTGAAACAACTTGATATTGACATATAGCGTTACTTATATCCATCCAATATTTTAGTGATAATTCATTATGAGCCTAAACAAATGTCCAAAATGATTTCTAAGTTGATCTCTATCCTTCCAAAAGAAATGTAACCCAATACTGTAAATCTATGCTATGAATAAATTGAGCTTATCTGTTGGATATAATGATAGGAATAATAATTTCTCTGTTTTCAACATGAGAAAAGTCACTCAAATTTTATTGTTCATTAAAAATTTTAATATTTTCCAGTTTAAACAAATTTACGTCAAATACATAAAAATTTATCTTTTTTATAATATGCTTGAAATATTCTGGAATACCTAAAAAAAAATACTGACGTCTCATACGACCCCATTTGCTACTCTGAATTTTCTGCATTTCCTGGGATTAATTTAAGCGGAATTTAGGTTATTTCCGGTGGTAGACTGCTAGATATTTTAATGGCTAGTATGCAAAGGGTAAATATCATCTTTGATGGACACAAGATTAGAAACTACTTTTTATATGGTTTCATTTGGAAACATGAACACTTTATCTCTTTCTGTCTTATACAGTTATAAAATAAGAAAGTGAACTTGGGAACTAATTTTTAGTGCAGTGTTTGGCATATTGATACAAGTGAGTAAGAGCACATCAACTTTTTTATTTATTTCGAAGTTACACCCTAAATTCATACAAACTGATTGACAGACAGGTTGACTATTGATAATTGTAACAAAATTTATAATCTCATGGTTAACTATAGTGTAAATGTGAGTGCAGAATGTGTTGTAAGTTATGAAAAAGGCGTCATATCAGTGAGTGAAATGTTCTCTTGCTTTATTTTTTGTATAATAGTGGGAGTTTGATATCCACTCATTTCATCACCTCATAAGAAATATGAAGAATCATTGCTAAGTTCTACAGTAATCCACTTATTCACCAATAACTCTAATCGGATGTTTCATGCGTAATGTAGATATTAGCAGAAGCTTGAAGTGAGGCTTTATATAATCAACTCATTAGCCAACAATCAGCAAGTAGGCAGATGGAAATATAATTGACCGTTTCATTTTTTGGGCTTTAGACTTATTCATCATTAGTTATATAAATTATTGTCTCTATAAACACACGTTTTAGTAAAATAGGTGTCTGGTGGGCTGAGATATCTATCCTAGTGCCTCAAACTGCATTTCTTAAATCGTGAAGACACCGGGATGTCGTAAGGCAAAGTAAAGAATCTACGTTTGTTGGTGAAACTGTAAAACACCATCGACACCTTCAAAGTACTGCCTCATCATCGAAACGGAGCACTGTCATTCATCCAGAAGAAGCTTGAAGCTATCTCCAGTCTCCTGTAGAAACAGCGTTGAAGGCCGTAGCTGACTCTTAAACTGAAGTTAAAAATAACCGATGAATATCAGCAACTTCTTCCGAATTATTGGATGTATGTGAAGGCATCCATGAAGGCAATGAGTACAGTAAGGAGCTAGCGTAACTCAAATGTAGATTGGTAAAAATTTTATGCAATGACTGCAAACAGCGTCGAGCAGCATAAGTTAAAGAAACGGAAAAGGCAGCGACAATAGGTAACAGAAGACAGTTATTCGGACTTATCAGCAAAGCTTGGGCAAAAAGGTCAACAGTTAGTGAGACTTATGGGGGGGAAGATGGGTTTACAATCCACTTAGAAGGGAAATGACTGAAACGATGGGTGGAAACACTTTGAGGAACAGTTCAGCTGGTCTCCAGCCACTATCGCGTTGTCCGCTATCTAGTGAGATCCTGAATAGAACATTGAGATAGGCCCTCCAGTACCAGCAGAAGTCGAGAAAGCGGTAGGTAACCTGAAACGATGAATGGCAGCTGGGCCAGATGGACTAGTTGCTGAGGTATATAAGAACACTGGCAGAGTGATTTTAATTAAATTAAATGAGGTGTTAACTAGTTCATGAGAGTCAAATGTGATCCCCTCTGACCGGTCTCGATCACCGATTATTCCACTCTTCAAGAAAAGCGAGAAGTCCACTTTTGATAACTAGAGAGGAATCAACCTGAGGAACATAGTGTCCACAATTCTGGGTTGTATAATCATTAGACGCCTGAGTGGAGCTCGGGAGTAGCAAGCCAGAGAAAACTATGCAGGATTCAGATCCGGCCGTGGGTGTATTGACCACATATTCATACTGTGCCAGGTTCTGGAGCACAGGCATGCTCACCAATGACCGATCAAACCTATATTTCTGAACCTGAAGGCGGCATTTGACTCCATCGATCGAGAAGTGTTATGGCAGTGTCTCTAATTGGAATTGGTACCGATTAAGTACATCATCCTATTGAAGGCTGTTTACCCAAACCCTTGTGGGCGTGTCAGAGCTTTTGGTGAGATATTGGGTGAGTTGTGTACATCGAGTGGTGTTCACCACTCAATCTCTCTATTCCAATTCAATTTTATCAGAGATGATCTTATGCAGGTCTCCCTCTCGTCATCTGAACACACAGGGATTGACCTGATCATAGGAGAATTTCGGGTGGAGTTAGAATACGCAGATAACATAGTCCTGCTAGATGAAGACGCATGCTTAACCACCATCTGCTTCGTCACACAATGTTAGCCGAAGTAGGTTCAGACTGTGGAAAGGCTTGAGATGACCAGATTAAAACATGGCATCAGTGCATGAAGTCATCAACTCTTCGTTCAAGCCGAGTAGGGCGATGCAGACTAGCCGGTCAGGGTCCGTGGGGCAAGAGAAACCAGTAGTTGGAGACTGACTGTAGGTGATATGTCTCTGTACTGATGTCAGTGGCACATGTGCAAACACACATTATCCTTATCTTGACCACCATACTTAATCTTATCACCTCATTCCTACTTCCTCTCTTCTATCACTTCTTACTTCTTGCAACCTATTTTTCTTTTTTTCTTTTTCGTCCATTTTATTGCCTTGTTACTTGATGTGTTGATAGGAGATGTGACAACCTGGACAGTTACACAATAACGCTTGGTCCCGTGTTGATCTTGTTGATGATGATGGCACTGTCCCAAGTGAAACAATAATTCTGGTGGAATAAATCTCGTAAATCGATGAATATCATGATGAGTTTTGTTGGAAGTAACAATCTTAAGAATGGAAGTTTATAATATGACTAAGGTTATCACGGAAAAACTTTAGATGATGTAGCTTAGATTGTATCAAATCAGGACAAATCCATCCGTTTGATATTAATTGAACTGTTTCATCTCTTACTGCATCTTGACTATACTCCGCTTTGGCATCACATCCTTTGGCTACCTTTTTTGGTTCTGTTTAGATTATATGGCAGTTACAGCCGGTAAGTTATTCTTCAACAACCAAATAAACTTTATTACCGAGGTAAAAGAAAATGTGAGTATGAAGGAATGCTTGTAGAGAGAGAGAGAGAGAGAGAGATTACAATAGACACCAATAAGTTATAAGTTACTTTTTCAATGTGTTTTATGCAAACTAAGATTTCATTCTGATTCCCAGGTACGTTTTGCTTGTAATTTTTTGTTAACAGAATTCTATCATTACAAAGGACTAGAAAACCTGAAGTTGAATACCCCCGAATGAATAGTCAAATATTGACTTGCATTCTCCCCTCGACAGCCATTTAGATTACTGATCAGAGATACGTTTGGGAAGTGCGCACTTTGTGAGGCCTATATAGCTAGCTCAACAGAAGAAAGTAAGTTTTTAGATACACACCGAGGTGGCCCAAAGTGGCAACTTGTCATTAACGCATTCTGAAACCGATTGCTGACTACAAAAGCTGGTCTGCAGCTTCCCAGAGAAGAATATATTCTTCAACAATCTGGACGGCCGATTCTTCAGGTTCTCTGCTGCCGTGTCGCCTTTGGAACCAACGTTCATAAACAAGGTCTTCTTTGGAACTGCGAGTACTTGCTCCATGCTGTTTTAATTTCAAGTTCTCAATAAATTTTCCTTTTTTTAACTCTCCAGCATCTTTAATAATGTCAACTCGTTAGTTTTCCCGATGACATATTGTGCTACATACTACTTACATTTATTCTTACAAGTAGATGGTAAATTGAAAATGTATCGTATTTTTTGAAGTGATTTATCTTACTTTTCTGTCCTATCATAAAAACTGTTTTATAGAATGACCTAGTATTCTTGCACTCTAAGGAGTGCATCCATTTTCAGACACTTGTATACATAACAACAAGATATGTTTTGTAATATCGTATGTATTTAGTCAGAGATATATAAACATTCATTCGGTGTATGCAGGTGAAGGAGATTATAACTAATAGATCATGGTTATTAATTAAGGACAGAATTGATGAATACCGTCGAAATAACTATGAGAGTTTGGTGTTTTTGTTATCAGTTTCCGTGAATGTGAAATGGTTTCCATGGAAAAAAAGGTTTAATAGGATTCTAGAACACAGTTTGTAGAAAGTTCTTGAAAATTTCAGATATTTCACATATAAAGGAGACATTTTATTTATTTCTACCTATGGGTTTAATTAATTCATACCAATGGATAACCAGATAGAATATTAAGCGAACATTCAATTTTTAGATGAGTGAATTCTTGGAACCGTTTCAGTATAGTTTGAGTTAAATTTACATCCATTAAAAGTGCTGATAATTACCACTTTTTAGAATTATTTCTTCAACTTACCCAGAGCACCAGTTTCTCCGTTTGTCTCTACAACAAAAACAGCTGGCTTATTAACAACACCACCGAGAAGACCTGGACCAAATGCTCGAATACGTGATTCCTTATAGGGAGCCACTTCAACCTATATTAAGTTTAATGGATAGACAGATATTTATCATTCACAAATTTAGAACTATATAGTAATTAAGAAGTATACGAAGCGATGTGCAGACAGTTTAAAAGAATGCATAAGTATATCTTTTCCTAGGGTGTAAGTATATGAGTTTAGAATCTTAATGTGAAGTGGACTATTTAATACAGAATATTCCCCTTGGCAAGCAACATAAGACATCAAACTAACGATGAAAGATTCAGTACTTCCTGAATATGAATTGTTCACAAAAGACACCTTCGTAAGCATTTGAGCTCACTAGCATTCAAAACTCGATTGGTTAATACTTGTTCATGACGAAGCATGAATATTTTTATGCACGCTTGAAGTTTCTGCTATAAGTCTGATTTGAGAGTGGGTAGTTAATTGTTTCATTCAAATTTTATAGTTCAAACAGTAGTCGGTGTGGCTTTGAACCTAAAGAATACATTTCTTATAGTGAACAAGGTAGTTTATTCAATGGAATGAAATCTAGCGATTAAAATTCCAAAGCTTTAGTTGATACAATATAGTTCTACTGTTTGTTATCCAGCATTATCAGCTAATATCTATCCTCACTGGAGACTTTGTTTTCCTCGAATATTGTAGCTTTCCATTAGAGCTCAGATAAATTTTCTTCTCCAAGGGATTTATTAACAAGAAAACGGTTTTAATTCAAAGGATAGTAATAATAAGAAAAAGAAGAAAGCAATGGTTCGTCGCACCGTAAAAGTATGACCTTTAAAGTAAATCAATAACTAAATATCAAACATGACTGAAGATGTATTTAAGTAACAAAGAAATGGATCCTCATAGATAAACAGACACAGAGAAAAGTTGAACAGATGTAACATTTTTAAGAATCGATATACATTAACTCATATATTGATTCTAAAGTAGAATGTTCTGCTTAAATCAGATTCAATGAATATGACGTTCTGTCACATACTACTAATATGTAATAATGAAAGTAAAATATGCTTTCATTTGTGATATGAAAAGCAATTACTTGACTTCTGATAACCGATAAGCAGATAAAGACTGAAAGATGGTAAAATGTGAAAAAAAGCCCCGACGTGAATAATAAAATATGACGGTAATATATCTACTGCATTATATATTATGTATATGTATGCATAGCGTTCAACTCTTTATCCCTATCTTCATGCATACTAAGATCATACAGCCTACAATTAACAATACTGCATAGAAAAAGAGTTACAAACTTTATAAAATGACATTATACATTGATCGGTCACGGCAGAGCAACCAATTTCATGTTGTCTAGTTTAGAGTGCAGATCAAATCCTATGGATCATATTTGCAATGTGGCCACTAAGCTAGGAGGTTCAATATTGCAGTACATATCAGTAGATTTTGGCTGGTTGGAGGCAATCTGTGCCGAGATATCGGTCCCGTTGAGGTTGCAGATATGCCTTGCTGACGAGTGCCAATAAGCACTAAACCTGGGTTCAGGAATTTCTGCTGATTGCCTCTGACCAACGAAATGACACTATTTTAATCAAGTTACCTTTACATTTTCAGGACTACTAAGGAATGCTGGTTATAATATCTCTTTATTATATCGAATGGCATATATATGATGCCATCCGTGTAGTTGATATTAGGGTATAAAGGTAAAAATTTTAAGTACATCATATTTCTTCCTTTTTTATTATTTACATTTCGCTTTAGGTTGAAATCGACAATTTTGTTTTAATGTTCATAAGAGTTAGTGTTCATGAATCAGATTCAGCGGAATAGTTTAGTCAAAGGATTAGTGATTAGTCGACTTTTTCTATCACACTCTGCCTTCCAGCCTAAAGTTCTTAAGTGTGACTCTAAGGGTCATCCTAACAAGAACTATTTCAACTAAGAAGGCCTTTTTTCACAAAATAAATACGCCTGGTCGGTTATTTTTGTGGTTGTTACAATGGCGTTTAAAGTCACTCATTTTCTCACTGACGTTTGTCTGCAGTACCTATCGAAAACTCCTAATCTGATTACAAAGTGTTGGATTGTAGATTACCAATGGAAAGTTACTTAGTTTATTCATCTTACCGTGAATGGACTGAGCATAATATGATCCCCTCCATATCGAACATTAACTTGATGTGTACCTGGTCTTTGTGGTGTATAACTGCAATCGAATAAATAGGCACCTGTTTTACGACTTGTACACGGAATTCCTCTACCATCTAAAATTAAAAGCAACAAAAAGGGCATCTGATAGAAATCAGTCAGTTGGGCAATAACACCAAGGTCTAAGAAATCTAGACATAAACGACTAGTTTATCAAGTATGAAGCAAGCTCACACACCTGCTAGTCGACTAATCTGATTGTAGACAGGTAAAGATGTTAGTTGTGAAAATTCATGCACAATCAACTTACTTCACAAATCTATCAAGTTAGCCTAATGACAGTGTCTAGGATGATACTGAACCATTTTTCAGTAAAAAAATGAACCGAAGAAACCATTAAGTTTAAATGCTCAGTTCGAGCTACTAGTATTTATTGTCATCTCTAAAGACATTGAAGAAATTATAATGCCTAAAGTTTGATCGTTTGTTGTTTTACTTTTCGACGGTTGTCAAAGTTTAGTAGATGGTTTTGAAATAAATTTAAAGCTGGTCATCAGGTGCGTTATACAAATCAGTTGGAAAAGAGTCTGAAATTATTGTGAATGTGGGATTACAATTACAGTGCGTATTTTGAATATAGAGTTTCTGGGAATGCTTGAGGGCAAGTAAATATTTAAAATGCAAATAGGAAGCAGATAGTGCTGATAAAAGTGTTTCTAACTACTGCTTATGCATTGACTTATACAAAACCATATCACACAGTTGTATTAAGAAGTAAACTAGTGATTCAGTCCCCCCCACTTCACTTTAAATTTTACGTATCACATAATGATATGGCATATGAGTATTTGAACTGATGTTTCAAATTATTGTTTTTCCCTTGGGTCACTAGTGGAACATGGGGGTTCAGTAGAGCGTCGACATTTTGCTCTCCTCTCTACAGTCTTTTGAACCTGGCTGCACGGCGACCCAGAAGCTCTCATCTCTTCCTCATACTGTCTCCATATCACCCTCGGATGCCCAACTCGCCGTTTCCCATTTCGCTTCCACTCGAGGGCCTGGAGCGTGACGTCCTTAATCGATCTTTTCAGTGTATGCCCAATGCATCTCCACTTTCTTCTGCATATTTATTGGGTGATGGGTTCTTGGTTGGTTCATTGCCAGGCAGAGTTCCTTCTTGCTTATTCTTTCTGGCCATCTGATTTTCGGTATCGAGCGAGTGTAGGCAGCTGTTGATGAATGTCTGCAGTTTGTTGGAAATGCTTTTCGTGAAGCGCCAAGTCTCTGAACCATATAGCAACACTAACTTGACATTGGCGTTGAAAATCTGGATCTTGTTCACGCTTTATCCTTAGTGGAATGGAGTGAAGCGTAGTAGATCTTTACACTGATTACAGATAAATGAAAGCCTGTCTTGCTGTCTTCCCGATCCTGGCTTTGACATTCCCATTTGTGCCGCCCTGTAGTTGAAACGATGCTGCCCTGCCTAGGTGGGTGAAAGAAACTACTTCCTCTAGATTTCTCCCGTTCATGGTGATTGGTGCCTCTTGTTGTTGATGCTGTTGTTGGTTGAATATCTTCATCACCTCCGTCTCCCCTACATTCATTTGGAGTCCCGTTTTCGCTGCCTCTTCTGTCAACTTGTTAGCATTTGCCTATAGATCTTCGAGTTTGTGCGACATTAGACAGGCTTAAACCGGCCAAATCCAAGTGTTCTAGGGTCTTTTCATTGGTCAGACAGCGCAGGTCCATCTTTTCGCTCCCCACAGTTATCTACTGCATGATCCAGTCGACCACAATCAGAAAGATCGTGGATGATAGTAGGCCGCCTTGTCTTAGATCTTTGAAATTAGAGTTCATTAATAGCCACGACAGTGATCTAATTAGCTGCTACATAGAGACCTGGGTAAGTAAAAAATACCAAGTGCAGTCTTTCACCTGCTTTCTGTGGTTTTGTTTTCAAAGTCTTACCCTTCCGGTGAAGATGTGTTCTTAGTTGAGACTTTCAGTAACATCACTCTCAGCAAGATAATGATCAACACTGCGAGTGCGACTTTAAATAAAGTCACCTCACTTTATTTCCAATGTGCAGCATTATGCCATGAAGCTTAGAGTTGTTTGCTTAGTGTAACACAATTTCCCATTTTCATATCAACTTCTTGAATTAGGTAGAATTTTATAGAGTTGGGTAGTTTCAATTATTTATTTTCAGGGATTATTTTAACTGAACTTTCATGTGTTGATTTTAAGAAATTAGTTTTTGAACAAAAAAAAATTTATAATTCACAAAATTCAGTTTTAGGATACCACCGTGAGTTCTTAGCAAATTCATTGCAAAGTTGAAGCACCTATAAGCATGGAAACAATATGCAAAAAATGGTTTGTTAGTTGAGTCTTATAATTTACATAGCGGTGAGATAAGTCGATTTATCAACCATTATCTTCTTCTCAGTGTATTAATTAGGCAATTTACTTTGATCAGTATGTGATAAAAATCTAATTAAAATTTCCTTTCCCTGTTAGAAAGAGAAACTGAAGGTAGCTTAGTGAATAAGATAAGGCGCATAAAATAAATGTATTCTTTCCTTGTTTCTCCATCTTTCACTTAATCGCGTTATTTTTTCTCAGTATATCGCTTGCAAATTAGTACCACCGTTAAATAACTTACTAATGTTTATGTTAAAAAGTGGGGGAGGGGGACCTAGAAAGGCACAAGAGAATTCAAAACAAGCAAATTTTCATAAAAGTACATAATCTGTTTGTTTCATTGTAAAAAAATGCATCGTTAACTAATGCTGTATTGATTATTCTATCATCTTCCTAGTTATACTCCCTTGTTAAGTAAATATCTAATGCTAAACGTATCAAACTTATTTACTTATATAAACATTGATGTTTAAAAGGAAAGGCTAAAGTTACATTTATTACATTTTGTGTGGATATTCTCAGATAATGCTGTTATCTAAAAAATTTGTGTTGCTTTCCAGTGAAATCTAGTACATGGAATCTATCCTTTCCATGATATGTTAGCTAGTTGCATGTGCAAGACCTTATTCATCTACAGTAACATTTTGGACCTTGACTTTCTGATAAATCTCATCTTCTACATAAATAAACATTGAGACCTAACAATCGATCTATTTGTGAAGGAACAAATGAACAAGATACACTGCGATGCGTTGCATTCCAGGATGCACTGTACAACATTTTTAAGGAAGTATCACAATACTGAGACGACAGTAATTCGTTGTTCTACTAGTAAATTAAGTAGGATTTGTCAGTAGGACTTCCATATAGCCCTTATGTTTAATTTTCGTTTAAAAATGTTACTATAATAATGTATGTATAATGTTAGGATAGTCTTAGTCAAAGAATGTATATTAGTTAATGAAGTTATGCATGTGTATCTTTCAAACTGACTGAAACGTTAGTTTCATGTGACAAGTAACCATCTAACTAGATGAACAGTGTCAGGTGAAATCGAATTAAGTTTGGGTTAATACTTAACATGTTAGCATCATACTACAGTGACAATCAAAGAAGTATTTGACTGTTGTTCTAAGTCTTATCAGTAAGTATTTATTAACTTATTACAGTCCTGGAGAACTGAGAGGACAATGGTTGATGAAGCTCTATAGCAACGTCGGAATGCAACTAAAGTGCTACAGAGGTATATACCCTTTTTCATCTTACAAATTTTGACTATTCATTCATCTTTCCTTCGTATTAGCACACTGTTATTTATGGAAATCTACTTATACTTCCGTTTATTTTTCTCTTTTCTTAAAGTGTGATAAACGAACTTTTGTGTGGGGTTGTGCACTAATCTGTCTATCTGTAGGTAAAACTGAAAGTAGCTGTAGAATTTTGAACAAATACACATAGTGATAACTTCAAATATTCTTCGTTAATGTACTTTGACTAGAATAATCCCTGAACATGTTATGTGAACTATAAATCACTTGGAAGCTGCATTCACTATTACTTTAACAGTAAATTTATAATTCGATCTGGAGGTTCATGGAGATTTATTAGTTGATTCTGAGTTGGAACCCATCATGAACTGACATCATTTGGAGGAACATTGGAAACATGTAGACACCACGCAGCTGTTTCGTCGTAGTATGGAACTCCTCAGCAAAGCCTCCCCAAGACCTTGTTGGAGGTCGAACCCGGGAACTTCAGTTTCCGTGCCAACATGTTACCATTGAGCCACTGGGTTGAAATCCAGTGGTCTGTATTCCCTATCTCTGTCAATTCACGATATAGAGCGACCTACATCGTGTCGTCGTTGAGTAACTTTCCTGGTGGAGTCAGAAGTGCCTCATACTGGGAGGAAACAACTGTCCAGTGCTCCCAGATTTCCAATTTTCCATGAACGGATGTCAGTCCATGATGAATTCCAAACTAAAAAGCAAATCTTTAAACTTTTTGAATTGGTTGTTACTTTGAAGGGTGAATTGTATCCTTCCATTCAAACTTCATGGAATATTTCCAAATTTTCGTGTACCAAATTATTAAAAATTTTAAACTATTCAGTTGGTTGATTTCAGTGGACCGACGTAGATACTACTGAGTTTCAACAGAATATAATGTGAAAATGCTTTATTTTGTATCTATTTCACATTTTTACATATTGGCAGGACTGTTTTAACTGGCTTTAAAGTAAGTTAAATTTGAAGGGTATTTTGTTTGTTTAAATAGTAAAATATTGGTGGGTATTTTAAAACCATAGCCTATACAGATTTAAAAAAGGCAGCTTTCTTTTTTACCTGGTGCAATCACAGACACTTCCAATGGACCTTCTCCAGCATCTTCTGTATGCACTTTAAAATCAGCCAAATCTTTAACACGTATACCCTGAGGTTGAATGCCTCGACCCGTGGCATATGCTTGTTTTGGATCACATGCTTAATAAAAAAAAATTTTTTTTAACGTTAGACATAAATAAATGAATAAATTTTCATTGAAATCTAGACACTTTCGATAACACTGGTTTGTATTGTTCGGCAAAACTGCGGTACAGTGAAAATTCAGGTAATCAAGTCTTCATGTTTAGGTAATATTCAAGTTGGTTTGTTCTAAATTTCTGTGATAGTTTAAAGAAACAAAGATACTGACAAAAATGTTCAGTTGGTCCACTGATCATTGAACTTTCCTTGCTTTATGTAATAACGAGAAAAGCTGATTACGAATTTTTGATGTTAAAGCTTTAGTGATGAATTCGAACATTATAACAACAACACTTATACAATGAAATGAATTTCTTTTGTTTCAAAATATGTCATCATCAGGTGATTGCAATCTGAATCAACGTGTATATCATACTTAAGACCTCGGGATGTCTTTCAATACTCTGAAGATAAAACATTACACGTTTACTGCTAAACAACCTGGATAGTTCACTACGTAGGTTTCAGAAAATAAGTTGGTTTGATCTATTCAGAGGATGATCATTTTTCTTTTCTCTTATCTCTCCATTAGACAAATTCCGATCCGATGGTTTGCACCAAGTGTGTCTGCCTGATAGGTTTAGATGGACCAACGAAGTATGAAAGGTAAGACTAATATACACGCAATTTGCACATCATACAACTGATACTGACATTTCGTACATCTGAGCTGTTACTTTTAACCTATCGAAAAGACTGCACACTTAAAAACTAGGAAAAAATGTTCTTCAGCGAGAATTACAACAGCGGATAATAACGAGTGAGTGAGATAAATGGTGGTAATGTTAATCATAATTAAAATGAAGGTAGATAGGGATAGATCGCAAAGAATATCGGTTAACTTTTGAAAAAGTACCTGTCTGTTTTCGAACAAACTAGTCAAATTGAATTCTTTTTTTGTTGCATCTTCAGCAGTTTTTTTAAAACAAAATTTCAGTATGAGCTATACTAGTTTTTTTCTATGATTGTCTATTTGTTTAATCAGGTTACATACAACTGTTAGCGAGAAACTAGTTCAATAATATGAATTCATCTTATTGTGAAAATTTAGTTTTTACTTTATTGTACTGAAGGGTGATTCAGTATAGTACTAGACAAACATTTGTGAATTAAATGACACTAAGGGTATTCATACAAAAAGTATACCATGATTCTGACCTGGTCGTTTTGGTTGAGACATTTTTCTAGCTGCTTGTGATGCTTGCAAAGGAGCTGTAATTGAAATATGATCATGTACACATATTTATTCTTAGTTATAGTGATATAAAGACACCGAAATGAACTTAGGCTGTACACTTCACCTTCATGCTACAAAAGCAGTATGATATGAGTCCACCAGAATGAAAGAACTAAAAAAATTCTTTGATCATGCTATGAAATGTTACATTTTGATGGTATCAGAACATGCGTAGGTGTTCGAAAATAAAATATGCAACATTTTTTCTCAAAATAAATGAGACTATCCCTAATTTTCACATAGAAGTAATTTTAAACATGAATTTGGGTGTAATCAATCAGTTTAAACGAAAATACAAGCTCATGAAGATTACATGCAGAAGTATATTTATGTGTGAATTGTATCAAATGACTATTTAGGTCAAACAGAAGCTCTTACGATGAAGGTAGCTAAGTTAAAGGAAGGCAAACATTCACATCTCAATCTGCCCAAGTTTTGTAAGGTAAAATGCTTTCGGAAAAGCGTAACTTAAGACTTTCTAAGTAAGCATGACAAGTATTTTTCTAGTTGTCTTGACTAATAAACAAATTTGTTTTGTAGACCAATGACACTGGTTACTGACTAACTTGAAGTGCCTACAGTTTATCTATTCACTTCTCTAAAACTTAAGGGTGCTGCATCGCATACTACATTTAGTGCTCAAGTATACTCTGTATAAATGAGAGTGTGACAAATAATTCTTAAAATGTTGCCAATTTTTTCAGTTAGATGGTTCAAGGAGCAAAGATAGAACCAACTTCCAGAATAATGATTTGCTAAATATAGGGTTCAGTTACTACGTCAGCATAGGTTTTCTTTCAATTCTGGTCAGCATTTTTGTATGCATCCATCGAGGTCACCAAATATTCTTAGAAAAGCGTGAATGATATAAATCTTTAACTTAACGAAATGTCTATCATTTTGTTTCAGAAGACTGCTATTAGGATATCCCTAGTGAGGTGAATAGAATTTCTGAAGGAGATATGTGATGATGATGATGATATTCCAGTGCGGTAGGTTGTGTTATTAATTAGGCATTTCTCCGAAAGACCTAAATGTAAAGAAAAACTGAAATAAAATAAGCGACTTAATGCTAAACTGAAAGCATAAGCGTCTTTACAGCCAAATATCCCATCAGGAAAGGTTTGTACATGCATCTTTTCATTTGCATTTGTCATCACTATTGTTAAACACCATGTAAGATTCAGATAACTGTCTCCTTTAAAAAATGTCAACCTTCATGCTGAATTGTTCAGATGCCTAATGCTAAGTGTTTTACGAATATTAAGTGGTATACAGCTGCCCACATACACACATAAAAGTAGACACAAACAAACACACCTTCTTGACTAATTATAGGAGCAGGAGACTGTACTGGAGGTGGTGGTCCTATAGAGAAGAAGAAAATTGTGCAAAACTTATATACTCATTGTTCAAAAACTGGTGGATAAAAGGATTATTCTTTCAGTTTCTAAGATACATCATTAAGAAGTATAATACTTTAAACGTGTCTACCAATCCTACCTACACATTCTATCAAATTGCTTGCTAACTGTCTCTGACGTTCAAGACATTATGTAGTCATAATAACATAACAAGGGATAGAAATTTGGTAATAGCAGTAGTGAATCTTTTCAACTGTAGCGACCTTTGATGCATTGTTAATAATGCGACAGAAAAGATGGCTTTCTCAAACTGAAGATTTTTGTACACCAACACTAATGAAAACTAGAGAAGATTTGAAAACAGTGTTATTTTAATGCGGGACTACTTAGCAGTCTACAGCCAACATGCCATGCGCACTCAACCTCTTGAAATCCAAGTATCAAGGTGGACGTCGGACTATTTGGTTGCTAGTTTGGAATTCACTACTTCTTACTTACTATCCTTTATCCCTTCCAATAGCAATGTGACTATAGGCGCATATTATCAACAGCGTTCCATCCTCATTCTTGACTTAGTTGATCCTATAGATCACATCTTTCTGCTGTAACATCAGGAATTCATCTCATCAGCAATTTGTGTAGAAAATATCTGATTTTAAAGCGAAATTTTGGATAGAATAAGTAGATAAAGATGAATCTTCACCGGTAATATTAAATAATGGTCACGCTTTATAGTGAATCTATAAAAACATATTTAGCTAACTTCAGAAGTTATGTGAAGTGGGATTGTATCGGTTTCATTTGAAATGATGTACTGCATTAACTTGTAATATTTTTAATAGACTACTATTGTCTTAGTTGCATTGTGTTTTCTGAGCTGGGTTGTTTAATTGTGAAGCTTTCATCATCCTTCTAGACGACATCTTCAGCACTGGCCTCAGCATGAAGTGAGCTGTCAATATCTCTCCGTGAGTGATTTAGTGGCTCGCTCTGATAATGTGGTCTATGATTGGTTGTTTCCTTTGACTGTATAGATTTTCCTGTTGGCTGTCCCTCTGCTTCACCTCTGACCTTTCCGTCGTTTATCACCTTTCTTATTGGTTGATTGGTCGGGTCTATGTCTATACATCTATTGATTGCTGACTGACTGACCTAAATGCCAAGCTTCCAGGAATTCTCTGATATCTTTTGTGTTTCCTCTGTCCAAAATTTTTACATTGTCGAAATTGAATTCATTTCCATAATTATCCATATGCAGTGAAATGAGTGGTCGCCCTCTTCGCCTTCGTCTACATGAACATCGATTGGCTATTAAACGTCACGATATTTCATCAACACAATACAACCAAGATTATCCACCTGAGCTACAAATATTCTCCACTATTACATGACTACTACTGCACAGCTACTCTCACATTAATTGTGTTGTAGCCTGTTGCAGAGGTATATATCTTGATGAGTTTTCAAAATAAAATACTTCTAATAAAAGTATGTTACTAGGTGTTACAATTGTGACAGAATACCTAACATTCATATACCTTAAGTAGGTGAAGGTAAATATAGTATCATAGGTGTAGTAGTATTCAACTTCCTATTCTATGACCTTTCAATTAAGTTCTACTCGTATAAAGTTCTAATAACTATCATTTGACTGATAGAAACATATTCAGGTTTATATTCCACGAAATCTATATAAGCAGGATAATACAATTAGCTGCAAACATTATAAAATGTCTCTGTTTTCATTTACGCAGTCGGTATAAGGTATTTGAAAAAGATCATACATTACATCATAGGTAATATAGTATGAATGATTGATATCATGTCCTACAACATATCTGTTGCAATATGTTCTGTTTAACTGGTACACCGACAAATTTAACATATGACCTTATTTGACCTCAATGTAAAGAATAACTTGTATAGTACCTTTTATGCGGATAATTTTAACACCTAATTTTCTTTAATATTAAAATTCTGGTTGAAAGAACAAATATCATCAAGGTATTATTATCACTGTGATTTTCTAAAGAAACTATGATGAAGTGAAATACAACTGAAAATTATTGAAAACAATGATTGATGTACGAATTTAACTCGTCTGTTGATCGGTTAGCGTAAAATAAAATTTCCGAAAGAGATTTATTCATGAAAAATATGCGGTGTAACTCATCAAGAGAAGTATGTTTGATGAAATCAATTGCAATTTGTCCTGATTAGTTATCACAGTAGATAACCAAAATATTTTGTTAGCATCTTACAATTATCTATAAAATATTTCACTTTTCTTCATTGAAATGCAATACTATGCTATTTTCCCGATCTACATCCAGATAGATTGGGGAAACTTTTATTTCCTCTTCACATAAAGTTAATCCTGTTTTTCTGTTACTTAGCTTCTGTAACATTTGGTGGTACCTAATTTATCCTTCCACTGTAAATGCCTTAAAGGATTTGTATTGACTGGTCACAGGAGTGCGACCAGTTTCATGTTTTCTAGTCCTGAGTGCAGACCGAATTCTATCGATTATATCTGCTGACGAGTGCCAAAAGCACGAAGCCTAGGTCCAGGGCTTCCTGTCGATTGCCTCCAACCAACTAACATCTACTAATGTGCACCGCAATCCTGAGCTTCCTAGCTTGGTTGCCACATTGCAAATATGGTCGATAGAATTCGGTCTGCACTCAGAACTAGATAACATGAAGTTGGTTGCACTCCCGTGAGCAATCAATACATATAAGCCATGCCTACATGAAGTCAGTCACGGCCTGAATAGCTCAATGGTAAAGTCGCTGACTACAACACTGGGTGACGTGGGTTCGAATCTCATGCAGGACATCAGTTGCGTAGAGGTTGTAGATACGCCTTACTGACGAGTTCCGAAAGGACGAAACCTAGGTCCAGGGCTTCCTGTCAGTTGCCTCCAACTAACTAATGCCTTTAAGGATCCACATAAGTGAAAGATATACACGAACACATTACTAGTCTGTTCACATTTTCATGTGTACAAACAAGCGTATACATGCAGAAGTCGATATTTCTCAATTTTTTCATTCAATGAGAGCAATACTTGGTAAATGGATTCATGTTAACTGTTTATTACACTACACATTGTTCAATGCAGATATAATACATTTCTTCAGAAGCTGAAACCGCATATTATTCACTTTATCTTAGCAGTTTGTATTCACCCATTTCACTAAAATACAACTGTAGGACTGTTAAACTTGAGATTTAAAAATGTATCAACAAGTTCAGGTCATAAATCTTTCAGTAGACAAATTACTTAATGTAAGATTGAGTAAATGTGACAAAAGGAGGAAAGATCATTGATGAAGATGACATATTTGTTTCAGTATGCTTCATACTCCAATCATCTTAGTGTCATGTATCTGTAGTGAAATGGTAATAATAATATGTCACACAGTGAAAAGATTTGGTGTTCGAATAATTTACTTTAAATGTAGGGTAAGAGAATAGAAGGAAAATGACAGACAGTCACCTAGTTGCTAAATGGACAAGTTGTTAATTTACCGTCAAAATCTAATAATTTATTTTCAATTGACAATGGATTATAACTACTCAATAGAAGCCAGACCAATAAATGGAACGATACTTTTTGAATAAAACTACGAAATGCAACCTGATATCTTGAAGTCAATGAATCCCCAAATATTGATCCTGTTTATCAGAGTTTCCTTATCTTCTTATGAATACTTGCACTGAATAGTCAGTGGTCATGCAGGATAATAACCTTACTTTTACATTGATCTTGGTGACTAGCAGACGAATCTTGGACGAGCGTTTCGTCCGGCAGTGTCGGGGCATCCTCATAGGAACCCGTCTGTCAACAGAGGTCAACCACTTCAGGCGTGTATACCAACCGGAAATTAAAGGTATAATTACAACCTCACTTCTATTTTGTTCGCATTGACTTCAGAAAATTTCGACAAAAATGTTTAGTAACTTTATTATCGCTGGAATCCTGTTATTTACATACATATCATGACAATTAAGAATTCGGCTGAATTCTGTAAATACAAACATATCACGTTCAAAGATTAGAGATGAACTTCTCACACAATAAAATATACTCATAGAGTACCAGCAGACAAATATTTATGATACTTTCCGGTCAAGTTTTGATTACAATTTATAGGAGAGAAATAAATAGTTGATGTATATACAGTAACACAGGGTTTGAGTTGATAATGAGGTATTTACAGGTAGTGTAGTGTGGAATCGGAATTACCAAAACACCTAAGTAATTACAACATAAATATTAGGTTAAATTTAATCTAAATAAGGAAATATTTGAAAAAAGACTAATAATAACTAAAATAATACGGGCGATGAATACAAACATACACAACAAATTAAACAAACATCAAATAATTCATATATTTTTAGGTAAATAAACTTAATTGTATTTCGAGGGGGTTGTGGGGATTGAGAAATATTTTCAGCTTAGTATTCATCGTAGACTGACGTGAGTTAGAGGAACAATGGGAATCTGGGAGCCCTGGACAGCTGTTTTGTCCTATTATAGGACTCCTCAGCAGTGAGTACCCACGACCTCACCAGGGATCGAACTGGTGCTCATTGGTGACTAGCTTCGAGAGGTGATTCCCGAAAACGACAGGTCGTGATTTGTGGGGCTAGCCTGATAATCGTGAGGACAGTTGCTCAGCGATGACACTGAGTGGCGGTTGCGCTGTCGTAAACTGACAGTGGTTGGAAATATGGCCCATTGGATCCCGACCCAGTGGCTCAATGCTGACGTGCTGGCCACGAAACCTGAAGGTCGCGGTTTCGTTCCCTAGTGGGGTCATGGGTGCGTAGTGCTGAGCAGTCCCATGTTAAGACGAAACAGCTGTCCAATGCTCTCAGGTTTTCATTATTCCTCCAACTAATGTCAGTCTAGGATGAATACTAACTTGAAAGTAAATTTAAACTGGGTAATGATTGAAGGTTAAATGAAAATTTGGACCGCTGTCGGATTTGAACCAGCAACCACTGGGTTTTCGGCCCGACGCTCTACCACATATTTTTCTGGTTAGCAGTCAGGCCTTGCAGCCCAATTGGTAGAGCATCGAGCCGGAAACGTGATAGTCACTGGTTCAAATCCGGTGCAAATTTTCATTTCACCTTCAATCATCAGCCAGTATCAATACTAGTCTGCCAAACCACGTCTACCTGAGATAGTCTAAGTGATAAATTTCAGCCAGTTACTGTTTATTTACGATACCATAAGGTCAAGGACAATGAGTAAATCAGTATACTTTTAATGTAAAAATGGTTTCAATTTCATACTTCTCATGATGATCTCTTCTTTCGTCTCGATAACTTGAAGATGTACACCATGTGACAGTCTATTTAACATCTGGAGTACTATTGAAAAGAATGCATTCATGATCACTGGATAATTATTCGCAGTTATATTCATCTAGAAAGATTCTTTATCATATGTCCCTTGTAACATGCTCCACATCAGCTTTTAAAGTGATATACAAACTTGGGTTTGGAAAAGTTAGGCATGATTTCCCTCGAGGGTATAAAAGCTGTGATCGTAACGCTCACTTTTTGGCATGTTTGTAGGAAAGATATTTCATAGGCTGGTTATCAGTCAGTTTGTGTTTCCGAAATCATTCTTCCCTCTGTATTGAAGAGATCAATTGTCTACTGACTGTGATATGAATTGTGGCCAAGTCGTTGTCGGGATAGTATTGTATAGAAATTATCTATTATCGACTGAAAACTTTGACGGTGAAAAATAAAGTGACTCTATAAGCCATCCTAGCAACAGCTGGGATAATCAACTAAGTTTTTTTATTTCGACTAGACTGATGGTCTTCCATAAAATAAAGAAACCTAGTCGGCCCTTCCATTCGTGTCTAAGGTGGCCTTTAAAGTTGCTCGGAAAGTGAACTAGCTGTTTTGATTTTAATACCTTGATCATTTGTGATAGCTAAGAAATTAAAGATCCACTGCCCTTGCATTCAATTTCCTGCAGAATAAGTGGTTCCTATGTTAAGTGAAGTGTAACCACCAGGCGAGTACAATAACCCGTTGGATACTTAGTTCAGCTGCAGTCCCGAATGATCGACCGCTATCCATCGTTTGTTTTAACTTTTCTTATTTATCTACGTACCATTTAGCATTCTAAATGTAGACAGCCATATGTCATAAAATCAAAACTCTGTTTGATTTATAATAAATTTAGGTTTTGAAAGTTCTCATTGGGTAATTTAGGACAAAATAGAAAAGCGAAGAACACTGTTTTCAATAAGATACTCTTCGGGCTTTAGTGTAAGTATATATATATATATATATATATATATATATATATATATATATATATATATATATATATATATATATATACATATATATATATATATATATATGTATTACCTTAAAAAGAAACCATTGTTCATGAATCTGCAATTTAATGGAGACGTAGCTAGGGTATTTTTAAACTAGAGACTCCCTAGAACCTTTATGAGGACCTTCTACGTCATGCAACTCTATCTTTCATTTTCCAGCTGACCAGTTGCTGTAGCTCAGACAAAAGATAGGTTGACTGGCTTTTTGCATTTTCTATGTGTATTTACAAGTTCGTCTGCTCCAGTAGAGAAAGCTATATAGGGCGTACTACTAGATAACAAACATGTTGCTGAGCACATACCTTCACGGTTGGGAAAAGGGACAGATAAAATCCATCAGAAGTTCCATTTTATTTCATCTCTTTGATAGCAGTCACTAGGTAAATAAAAACAATGCTTTCACGATTCTCCTCCACACACCAGCTAGTTTTTCGAAAGATATGTGAACTCTTCTTTCATACAGCAGAAGCCATTGGAATTCTAGCTAATAATTCTAGTCTTTGTATGCAGAAGAAGTTTGTACATACCTTATCTATCACTTGACTAGGGAATACTTAATAAACAAGGTTATCATTGAAAATTTTCTCACCCCTTTCTTGCACTCCATCTCTAACATAATATGCCTACTACATTCACTTAGACTTTATCCACGTACTTCATCCTTCATTACTACACAACTTTTGTTCTTCCAAGGTTTTGACCCACTTTGATTATCTAGGCGTCTATATTTTCAAACTATTTTCTTGGTCCTTATAGCCGATATCATCCGTATGACAAATACTTTAGTCAACGCTGACAACCTAATCATTTTTATCATTTGTATTAGTATCTACATAATTATTTTAAAGTATCTATCATATTATTGAGATGAGTGAGGATTTTAATTATGAAGTGGTATTCAGCATGGAGTGACATCAATCTGAGAACCACTGGAAACCAGGGGGAACTAGAAAACTGTTTTGTTCTACCACGGGATTCCTTAGTTGTACGTAACAAGTAGGTGGCTACAGATATCACGAAGTTCTATTGAGAATCCATGACACATGGAATCAGCCCGTCAGAAACGAAGTGGAGACCATCTGAAGATATTGGCTATTAGTCACACTGCATCGCAAATTAACAGAAATTGGAAACTGTGAACCACTAAACTCCCACTCAGTGACTGAATGGTCAATACATTCGACATGGAACCTGATGGTGCTGAGTTCGGTCTGTAGCCGGTTTGTGGATGCATACTGTTGTGGAGTTGAATACTTGGGTGACAAAACAGCTGTCCATTTCTCCCAGACTTTCAATTTTTTTCTCCAAATGATGTCAGTCCATGATGAGTACCTCCACAAAATTTATCAGATTAACCAAAAAATCCACAAGACTGGTTTATTGTTTATATATATATATGTTAGAGTAAAGCATGTAGTGTATGTAACTGAAAACGACTCTGTTCGCTTATATGTATTGTTCTTATAATAAACTAACCGAAATAATCAGATGTGAATAGTCTATATTTATGTAAAACCGCTCAATTACTAGATGTTATGGGTTATTTAGAGGCAATTTAAAGGGAAATTTTCGCTGTTTGGTAGGAGTACTACATAGGCAAGAGAATAAAATATCTTCAAATAGCATTTCCTTTTTGATTAGTTGTAATTTTAACTGGGTAACTGAATACGAAATGAATTTATTGAAATCCACTGGCTGATGTAACTTTTTATTCAACTTTTTCGCGTTCTGTTTCTATTGTTTGCATCATAATGTAGATTAGTTAGTTTTGTTATGTTTATCAATCAGTGACTGAGAACTTTGGGGCGTACAACTCAGAATACATGACAGCGGTGTAGATGCATCCAATCTTTGTTATCTTCAATTATCCAAGTATCCTATTTGTGTTCATTTGTCCCCTTCTTTATATCCTCCTCGTCTCTTTCTCTTCTATTTATATTTACCATTGATGTTACTTCACAGTAGGACAAGTTGAACCACAGCTCTATTTTACGAGCTTTCAAGCCTGTATATCTCTCTATTTGGCTATCCAATTACTTTGAACATTCCTGTTTCCCTTAGTGCTGTTAGAGTCAGAAAGAGGGAATGCCTTTATCAGTGATACTTATAGAGAGGGGATACAAGTAAAAGCTCCTTATTTTACACTAAGTAACCAATATATCTGGTTATTATATTGATATTTTCACGAATGAAACGAAAACAGATTGTATCCTTTGTTAAATTCAACTTACGTGGACCAACCATAACACCAAATGGTGAATTCGGTATTTGCTGACCAGCAAAGAACACGTTCACTGAATGAAGACCTTCATCTTTTGGTGTATATTCTACAAGGTAATTATCTTCACCTTGACGTGTAATCAATGGTTTAACAGCATCACGCCGGCCATGAGGATCTAGAATCACACAGTCGACATTTCCAGGTCCTGCAGCTAATTAAAACAAAGTAGTAAGGAATGAAAAGCTTCAATAAAGTGGTAATTAATTGAAGGATAAAGTAAAGTTAAAAGTTAAGTAGTAAAAAATATGTACATAAAATCGTGCACCAGGTTACGTTTTTATTAATTGTTATGATTTTGGCAATGAACATAGTTATCTGATTCTCTTGTTTCACTCTTAATACTACATGAAACACGATGAATCAGTGAATTTAACTACTGTGCAGAAATTAACCATTTCACATTCTAAAAAAGTAACGATTATTAGTAATGTCTATTGTTTAAGCTGAAAAGCACAAACAGACGCAACAGAAAACAACAGAACCAAACAGACAACATTCACTTAACCCAGACATTGGTTTACTTTCCTCAAAAAGGAAAAGGGTAGAAACAAAGAAAGCAATAAAACAGAGACTGAAGTAATACGTGCAAAAATTAACAATTTACACTTTACTATCTAATTGCCAACAAATTGTATGGAGTATAGTGGATTAAGAAAGTTAACTTGTTTTAAAAATCTTTCTTCCCTACTTTAAATTTTAGAGGTAAGTTGACAGGAAATTGTACTTGACCTTCGTCTAATGTTTCTTGACCTGAGGCAAATCCCTGACCATGATAAGATTATTACCCTGTCAGATCTTAATTGACATCATTCAGTATCGAAGTCAAATGCATTCAAACAATGACTAACTACCAATAGGAGAAGATTGCCTACGTGAAGTGATAAGTGAATCGTACTGATGTAATTTTCAAGCCACAGATTATAAGTGAATGTTAATGTATTCCAATTTTTAAAGAACAGTCTACATTGAAAAAAGATCAGTAATTAGCACCAAAAGAAAACACCTAGATAACAAATAATGGCAACTTTTAAGAAAATATGTGCATTTCTAGGGCATATTATTACGGATATTCATTCTTCCTTCAAATATAATCTTTTTTTTCTATGTACTGATGTTGTTTGTGTAATTAATCTAGCCTGCATAAGTGAAGCAGAAATAATATCCTTGCTACTTGGTTGGGGGCAACGGGGAAGAAGGCCTTGAACTTGGGTTTCGTGCTTGTTAGCACTCATCAACAAGGCGCATGTGAAGCCTCGCTATCCCACCTGAGATCCGAGCCTGCATTATCTAGGCTTACAGTCAGTGATATCACCACTGAGCCATTCAGGTAGCGTTTTTGGACCGCCTAGTTTGCTGGCAACATTCAAAAAATGATCGGTAGAATTCGGTCAGAATCCAGAACGAAAGAAGTTGTTCTCTTGTGACTAATCAACGTAGAGATGAGATCTACTTGTAACAATTATGTCATAAGTTGAGATTTTGTCAAGCAAAAATGAAGTTCTATTGCTTTACTATTTCATTTTACCGACATGCCTCCAGCTTTAGTTACGTAACGAATTTCTAAAGGCATCATTATATGTGCATCTCATACAGATATACAATAGTTTATACTGTAAGTGGTTTTGTTTATCAGGTGAAAAGCAGTTGGAACAGTGTGGATTCGCAACTCTGCTAGGGATCCAGTTTTGCATCGTTAACTCTTGGAATGAGCTCATTACCACTAAGCAACTTGGTTCAAATCCAACGGTCTTCTGTTTCGGACTTCTTTATCGTAAAGTAGTTTCATATCGGTACTCAAAGCATCAATACACCTGTGTTTGAGATTCATGATTCAGATAGGTATATAAGTTATGTGAGGTTAAAGTTATGTACTTGATCTTTAGATAAGTCAATATTCATTATGTTCGCGTTAAACATTGTAAAAAGTAAACCAACCTTACTTATAGTCACTAATACTATCTATCATGTGATGAAGAATGGTGGTCAGAAAATACTTATATTCAATGGAAGTAATTTACATTGAAAGTTGAGTCATTAAAATATCTTTCAAATGAGAAATGAATTGGAATATGAAACAGGTATAACCGAGAGGAAGTTGTACAACATCATGCATAAAGACACTTTTTAACTCTTCTAGAACTTATTATTACATCTACAGACTACAAACAAGTGTTTAATCAAAAGTACACATAACCTACACAACACTCATATATGAACTCACAATCGGTATTGAGACCCACTGCTTCAGTGTGTACATTTTTATTCGATATCAACAAAAAGAAGACAGTAAATCTTTAAAAATTACATTTTATGAATAGGTAATAACGTTTTCTATGTGTATAACATCTATAAAGCACACAAAATAATAATAATAGTTCCATGTGTCATGGATTCTCATTAGAACTTTGTGATATCCATCTGTAAGCATGTCACTAATGAGCACTATACAGTAGCCTATTTTTGAGATGAGTGGGGGTTTTAATTTAGAGATAGTAATCATCACGGACTGGCATAGGTTGGGGAAATATTGGAAACGTGGAAACACTGGACATTTATTTCGTTCGACTACTATGGGACTCCTCATCAGTACGAACCTACGTCCTGGCTAGTGACCGAACTCATAATAGTAGTTGTTTAATGAGTATTCTTTTCAAATATAGATGGCTGCCTGTCACCTATTAATTGGGATAATTGACCATCAAATTAAGGAGAATTAAACGTGATCATGTGAGATCTTCAGTTTCAGTCTCTTAATTCCAACAATTTCTAAGTTGAAATTTGAGAATAGTCTTGTCTCCAATTAGTAATGCCATATTAAAGGTCACCATAGTTTGGAAAGACTGGAAGATATTGATAAGAAAGGTACTGTACATTGTAAAATTGTCATGATAAAATTAGTAAAGAATAATGCAATCCACCGGTCAAATAGATGTTAGCCCACTAGGTAAGTGCACTGCTTTTGTATGAACACTAAGGGTACATTTTCACTGTCCAAATTTCGGTAGGTCGAGAGAATTTTAAGCTAATTACCGACTGATTGATGGTCAAATGCCTAAGTTACATGGTGAAGTTTGACTTATTGAAAACAAATCGGGTAGAACACTAGGTCAGAGGTGAATGAACAGTCTTAAACTAAACACACAGAATTGGGGACCAAAATCTTACACATTTATGGGGAAATTAATTCGTAAATAATTGAAAACTAGCTAAGAAAAAGTTTCGTCGACAAATGCTCCTTGAAATTCAGTTGTTCTTTGCAAATGGGAGAACTTTTCCTTAATTTTTGTAAAGGCTTAACGTATAAAACATGATTTCTAATCATGCACCAACAGTAGCTCATTTTTTGCCACCAATAAAAGTAGTTTCCTTTATTGTGTCTCTTACTTAGTGTTATAGGTTATTAAATAAGCTTCTAACAAATACACATTGGAAATTGTTAGCTGGTTGAAGGCAGTCGTTGGGAAGCCTTACACCTAAGTTTCCTGCGCGTTGGGGCTTGTTGGTATGACTTATCTGTAAACTGGAAGTTAGTTGCGTCCCTCCGGGATTCAGACATGCTTCATCCGATGTTGCAGTCAGGGATGTTAAAAGTGAACACTTTGAATCAGGATTGGTCGATATAATTCGATTAGTTTTCAGTTGTCAACAGTATGATACTGGTTGCTGTCTAGCGACCAGTCACTTTTTTCAACTTAGTCCTGCAGATCGTCAATCATAGCCTGACTATTTCGGTGGTAGCGTCACTGACTGAAGCACTTGGTACATAGGTTCGAATCTCAGGAAGGAGGAGCATTACTCCCCTCCAGACTGGAGATGATGAGTGCCAACAAGCACGAAAGCAAGTCTCAGTATTTCTTGCTGTTTGTCTGGTCTTTTCGGTTCGCCTAAAGAAGGTGTAACTGCAGTCGAAAAGAATCTACTGCAGCATTCCCTAGTCGTTACCAGTCGTTGACAGATTTTTTGAAGTAATCGACTACTGCACAATGTTGAACAGTGACCCAGTAACTCAACTGCAGTGTACATAATCTCAACACACCTAATATTTAAGACGCATCATGTTGATGAGCAAATAAAAGTTTGAAAAGATTATCTCTAAAGGTCATCCTAAAAAGTAACACAACAACCAGTTAGATTTCTTTATTCGGCTGTAAGATAGTTGCGATCATGACGTAAGGAAAACTAGACAGTTATTTCAGTAACAACAATGTATAGTAGCTAACAGTGGAACCAAGGCCGCATGACTTGTCCTAGCTGAGACTTGTCAGGGGGATGCCACTGCACCCTAGTGAGCGATGTTGTTCCCACTGAGACTAGAACATTGTATCAATTGCTTCAATTACTAGAGTGTTATCCAGTAGGCCACTAATTCAAGATGTAAGTTTCTTTTGTGACGGTGTAACTAGTTCACTAGTTACTGGCCAGTTCTAACCCCGAATAAAGAGAGAAGGTTGGGTATACGGCTAGCAAACCTACCACAGAAAACCAATCCGATCACCAAAGAAACTTAAAAGCACAAAGAAAATATGAAAAAATAAAAACAAACCCATTCAGCGCTGGAACACGAGAGATGAAATGATGCCGGTTGGTGACAGATTTCGGGAAGCCAGTCGGCCGATAAGTCTCCTCTCGATGAAAACGAAAGTAAGATTCGGGACATGGAATGTCCGCACAATGTTCGAAGCTGACTGACAAGGCTGCCCAAATTGCAAAAGAGATGAGGAGGTATGGCATGGAAGTGCTTGGGATCTGAGAAAGTAGATGGAATGGAAGTGGACTCTCCAAACTGTTGCCTGGAGATTCAAAAATCTACTCCCATATTGTCACCCAGAAGAGGCTGAGAATTTCAAATTGTACCACAAATTGTTTGGAATAAAGTGAATTATTATTATTATTAACTGCGAACCCACTGATTTTTGGAGTGGCTATCATCATGTCCACAAGAACATCGAAGGCTCTCATGCAGTGAGAACCAATCTCCTCCAGCATCAGGATCGTGACAGCAAGATTCAACTCAAAAGGAAGGAAAGTGACAATCATACAATGTAATGCCATACACCTACAAATCATGAAGATGAAGAGAAGAAGGAGGAATTCTTCAGATAGCTCCAATCAGTACTGGACAACACCCCACCCGAGTTGGCAACATCAAAATTCTGATGGGGGGGGGCGACATGAATGCCAAACTGGGAGCAGACAACACAGGAAGAGAAGTGATCATGGGTCGAGAAGCACTTGGTGAAATGAGTGAGAATGGAGTACTGTTTGCAGAATTCTGAGCATTCAACGATTTGGTGATTGGAGGCACTGTGTTCAAGCACAAGGATATTAACGAAGGGATATGGATTTGACTTTACCAGATGGATACACTAAAAATCTTCATCTGAATGTGAAGAAAGTGGAGACGCAGCAAACTGGATACAAGATCAGATACAGAATGGGAGCAGATATAGGTAGTTCACACCATTCACAATCTAGTGCAAGCAACCTACATTCAAAATCAGGTTGAGAGCCTTTAAAAAAGTTGGTGATGGACCACAGATCAAGTTCAACACCCAGAACAGAAGCTAAAATGACGGACAAAAATACAAAGGATATTTTCACGTCAGCCAGTCATCAGGACAAAATGGGAGATATTGAGCAATATCCGTGAAGCATCGGGGTTCGAAGAACAATGGATCTCTATGAAAGAAATGTGGAAGGAAACCTGCATAACCGTATTAGGAAGGAAGAGGAAACAATACAAGCAATGGATCTCGACGGACACATGGAAGATGGCGATGGTGAAACAGAAGATGAACCAGTGTGGTGTAAGGATAAACAATGAAAAAAACAACTGAGTACGACGTAGAAAAAACACTGAATAAGGAAGTGAAGAAGAGTGCGCACAAAGACAAAAGACACTTCTACGGCACACTTGCAGGTGAAGCAGAACAGGATGCAGGTAAGATAGACAGAGGCTTGACAACATTATATCGATAACTAGGTTATATTCTGGGACGGAAAAGATCAACGCAGACGAAACCAATGAAAGGTACTGAAGGAAAGCTGGTTGCCAAAGAGGAGAAACAATGGAACCGATGGACTGACCACTTCAGAAACCTCTTGAATCGACTACCACTACCACCACCACCACCTCCAACACCACCTGCAACTCGTTCACAAATACCACCAGCAACAGCAGAATTACCAGTGAATACAAGTCCTCCGACGAAAGTTGAAGTCCTGAAAGCCATCAAGCTGCTGAAATCTGGGAAAGCAGTATCAGCTGATGAAACAAGAAGCACTGAAAACACACGGAGGGACAACAGCAAACATGCTAACACCACCACTGCAGAAGGTTAGAAAGGAAGGAAGGAAGGAAGGAAAGGTAACATATGATCGATTGGAAGATAGGTTATCTGGTCAAATTACCGAAGAAGGGAGACATGAGCATTTGCAAGAACTGGCGACGAATCATGCTCCTGTCATTGTCCACACCAGGCAAAATGTTAGACTGCATCATCCTGGAGAGGCTGAAGGATTCCCTCCATTCAAAATTACCACCCGAACAGCCTGGTTAACTGCCTACCTTCAACAACAACAATTCATGTGCCGATCAAACTGCAATGCCACACTAAGCATCATCATAGAACACAGTATAGAATGCAAGTCAACTCACCACCTCAAAATCATCCACTCTGAAAACGACTTCGATACAGTCGACCTACAATCTAATTCCCCAGTTGCTGCTTCAACACCACGGTTTTAGTCCCATAAACACATATCAACCTCAGGCAACAGCCATATGACGACACCACATACCAAGTCATCCACAATGCAAAGCTGAGTGATGCCTTCGAAGTGAAGACACGAAGGAGTAAGACAATGTTGCCACCTACTATCACCAATCATCTTCCTGAGTGTGGTCCACTTAACTGGATCAGCGACAAACCGTGATGAGCGAGAAGCTGAGTATATGCTAGCTGGACTGATGAAGGAAGACACCCCAGGAGAAGATTTGGATTTCGCCGACGACGACGATGATGATGATGATGATGATTTATGTCTGATGTCTTGTTGCACAAACTCGAAGATCTCTGGGCAAATACTAAGAAGTTGACAGAGTGAGGGAAGCGAAAACAGGACTCAAAGTGAATGTGGAGAAGATGGTGGTGATGAGGATATCCAACCAACAACAACATCAACTACAAGCATCAATCATCATGAACAAGAGAAGTGTAGAGGAGGTAGTCTCCTTCACACACCAGGTAAGCAGGGCAGCATCGTTCCAACTACAGGTGGCACAGGCACAGATGAGGATGGCAAAGCATGCTGGATGGGAGAAGCGAGACAGGCTTTCATCAATGTGAGATCAGTGTGGAGATCTACTGCACTGCACTGCACTACACTGCACTGCACTCAGCACAAAGTGTGAACAACATCCAGATTTTCAAGACTAAGTCGGTTAACTCAGTGTTTCTATATGGTTGAGAGACTTGGTGTGTCGCGTAAAGCATTTGCAACAAATTGCAGAAATACATCGTGAACAGCTGCCTACGAGCTGCCAACGAGCTGCCTGAGCTGACTCGAAACTGGAGATGATATGAGAAGGCCAGGAAGAATAATCAACAAGGAACTCACTCTGGCCTGCCAACGAATCAACCAAGAACCTACGACTCGACAGATATGCAGGAGGAAGTGGAGATGGATTGGGTTGGACATACAGTGAGAAGGCGGATTGGGGATATCACGCACCAGGCCAGTCCGTCCAGTTGAACCGGAATCGGAAACGACGAGTTGAGTGTGTAGGTGAGTGTGACATATAGAATATCATGTGAGGAAGAAATGAATGCTTCTTGGGAGTGGTGGAGTGAAGTTGAGAAGAGTGTAGAAAAGAGAGTGGAATGGAGACGTTCTACTGAATCTTTATTTTCCACTAGGAACCCATGGGAAAAATAAGTAAATATATAATGTTTTTTATATTACTACTTTTTGATTTTTCCGGCTGTTGCTGCAGTGAACATCAGAGTTAGTCCACTATGATTGGGTTATTCTTTATTTTCTTTAATAGTCATACATACTATATTTTTCCTTCATGTCTGCTCTGATACTTTAGGAGCATCAACTTATCTTAAACACTTAATATTGTCTAAATTCTTTTGATATGGCAAGTGAAATGGTTGTTTAATTCCTCCAACTACCCACTAACAAACACGATTATTCAGAAGTGATATATAACTATGCTGTTTTACAAATAAGTCCATCTCAGTAAACGAATATTTAAACCTCTTAGAATGTTAAAATATTCTGATGTGCTGTGAATTATTGAACTGACCTGCAGTAAATATATTAAAGAATGTACGTCGACCAACTTGATTTCCTTGAGGCTCAATTCCTGGACCAGAAGCTGTTGCTTTGCTTGCATCACCTTGTGCACCTTCCACCATTACTTTGAAGGGTGAATTTAGAATTTCTTTTGTGGCGAATTTAATGATGACTCTATATTCACCTTCTTGTGTTGGTACATAAGCACATGAATAAGTTTGTTGTTTGTCATTATTACTGAGTACATCACACTAAAATCAAAGGAATTAAGTATTTACAAATAAACTTGTTACTTAGAAAAAAACTTCACAAAGCAGCTGAATGAAGTCTTGTATGTTTTTCGATTATCTTACAGACTTAGAAAAGCTTCAGGTTAATAAACTAGTAGGTGTTTCAAGTGAGTTAACGAAATAGGATTCTTAGTGGACCAATTAAATTACTGAATATTATTGTTTGTTAATACTTGTAATCCTCTGTGATTATGCTGGATCGAATTGACAGACGTCTGCTGGAATATGGGTTCGTATGGGAATACCGCAATACTGCCCGAATATTTGTTATTATAACTGAATTGGTTATGTCTAGCAGTGGAATCTGTGACGTGGGTTTCGCCGACAGGATGATTAAAAGTATCAATGAATGATGACAACTAAAACCCGTTGTCTAAGAGGAAGGTGTCGTGCCTTAGTGGCCTAGTGAATAACGTTTTGGCATTTAAAGCAATAGGTAAAAGGTTTGACTTTCAGTGGGAACGACATCACTCATTGGGGTGCAGGCACATTCAGCTGACGAGTCTGAAGGGGGATGAAACGCACGTCCCGGATTCTACTACTAGGGACAACCAATTCAGTTATAAATTAATTAAGCTGTAAATCCTATCACTTCAGGAAGTATCAGGTTCTTATTAAAATGAATTAAAGATTATCCATTTGAGTGATATGAATGATAATAAATGAATCTTTACTTTATTTGACTAGGATTTTATGTAAAATAAAGGCTAACCACACAGCAAGGTCATTAAATGCACCACATCAGACAACATGCACAAAGAAAGCAGCAATTAAAAGGGAGGTAGTAACTCCGTAATAGTCATCTACGTTCAAGAGAGCCAGAGGAGGAGGGTCACATATGGATGCATTTCAATAAATATTCCTTACTATGCTACTTTCTATTTGATAATCAAGCATGAAGTGACATTCTGATTTCCGGTAACTCCAACGTTTAACTGTGTTAAACCATTCTGAGCAGATAAGAACCATTTAAAATAGCTGAAATTCACCAAAATTATCTAAGTGAACTGCATATCTTTCAACTGAATTAACCTTCTTTCTTAAGTGATACTGTCAACAGGAATAAAACGTTTTGAAATATTTCGTTCAATAACGGAGTATTAGGTGGACAGAAAGCTTATTCGAATGCTTATTTATCATTCAAGTTGACTTGAGTTCTGTCTCAACTTAAGCCTAATGCAGCTTGAAACTACTACCCTACTTGTTGCAGTATAGAGAATGGTAATAAAACATACAGTTCTGAATATTATCAACGTGTACATACGAGTTAAACTGCTGCCATTAGGCTAATGATACAGATCATGAACAAGTACCAGTTTGGCTTTTAAAAGAGGTAACGAAGTATCTGGCTTAAGCAACAGAAATCAAAAGTCGTAAATATTCCTCATTTATTCAAGAGTAGTATGTCCAACTTTCTCCCCAACATGGTTTACGAAAGGAACAGTCGGCACCTATTCGTTATGCAATCGTAGTAGGACGTATCAACCCCTATCCTCTTTCGTTTCAGTATCGATTTCTCCGATGAACTCATGTTACTTAATGTATAAATAAGTTACCAGTAGCCATCGTTGTATTCATCTAGCCACAGTTATTTATAAGAATACATATAAGTAGAAAATAAAACCACGTCAAAAGTAATAATGATCGACTGATGAGAAATCAAGTAAAAATAATATGCCATAATTGACAGAAATGAGACTCATAACAAACGATTATTTACAAGTGGATATTAAGCTATTAGATTTAATATCAGCTGCATCACTGAACTTCTCTTCATTCGTACTATTACCAAGCTTACGTATGATTAATATTGCCATCGATACCATTACTTGCCTACCGACTGTATATCGCTCTTATCCAATTTTATGGAATGAGGTGATGATGGAAGTAGAAAAAGAAATCTGGATCACAGTACGATTTCAACCTGTGACTTTCCAATTTCCTTTGTTACATTCATGTTTCTTGCATTTAAATAACTGATTTCGTAACCACTTGGTAGTTCACGCATACGCAGAGGTTTCATCTGAGTAGGCTAATAATCTAATAGATCGTTTTGCTCTTATTTATTATTTTTAACCATAATCAATATGACTGACGTTTGGATTCAGCTGTATTCAACCTATAATTCTGACTGTTTCAAGCATAATTGTATTTTTAAACTGACAGTTGTAAAATAAAATTGAATTTGGGGACTTATGCGGATTTGGTGATTTTTCAAGTTAGTATTCATCACAGACTGGCATCAGCTAGAGGAATATCGGAAACCTGGAAGTACTGGACGGCTGTTTCGTCCTAGTATGAGAGTCTTCAGCAGTACGCATCCATGACCCCGGCAGGGAAGTAGGAAATGTGGACGATTGGATTTTGACCCAGTGGTTCACTGGTAACGTGCTGGTCACTAAGCCTGAAGGTCCTGTGTTCTGTCGCTTTTGGAGCAGGGTCATGGGTGCGCACTGCTTAGGAGTCTCGTACTAGGACGAAACAGCTATTCACTCCCCCAAGGTTTTGAAATGTTCCTCTAACTTACGTCCGTCCATGATGAATAACGACTTAAAATAAAACTGCTGGAATGATAACTAAGCATGGAGATTGAAAAAGAAGTTAGCGAAAACAACTCATTACTCAGACTATTTAATGTCTCTGAATATTCAATGAAAATGTTTTTAGTAATAGAAGTGAAAAAATGAACCGTTAACTTACTGGTTCCCTTTGTCCTTTAGGATTTAATACAATCACTTCAACAGCACCACGACCAGCACTGAATGTGTCAATTGTAAATCTTGCTGGATTACCAACTGTATTTCCATGCGGTTCAAGACCTATTTATGGATCAAATTTAACCAAAGAAAAATTAAATAACCTGGTATGAAGCAAACAAGTTTATTGGATTGTTTAGAATGTATTCAAAAACAATGTTTTAAAACTTTATATTTTCGGATATATGCCAACTTTTCTCGAAAAACTATGAAGACTGACCAAGAAAACTGTGAACACAGATGACTGTATTTCGGTTGAAAGGAAATTGGTTTCATAGAAATTCTTAGAATTTCTTAAAACGTCACGCTGATGGTCTGCTTAAATTGTGGGCTATTAAAAATATTTCATCACATATATTTCATCGAATAGCTCCTTTTTACCTGTTTTAACCATTCAAATATTAATAAATTGTGAAACATACTCTTACACACTGCTAAAATATATTGAACCTAGAGTTAGGCCGGTTAACGACAAGATTTTGGCAAAAATATCTCAGTAGACGGCAGCTGGCTCTCGATTGTATAACAGTGGAATATTTAACTATTGAAGAAATACGTGGCTGGATCAGCAAATTTTCATGCAGGATAAACAAACCTCCACCATCACCACCACCACCAAACTTACGTGTGCTTTTCCACCCGATCCACTTAGAACAACATATAAACTAGACAATGACCCAAAAACTACTGGTTATTGTGCATTACTGACTATCATACTACTATTATTATAAATATTTAACTTGAAAACAATGTACACGAAGTAAATTTGTCGAAATACCGCACTGAAAATTCCAAACCGTACTAAAAATTATTTTCTGGTTTAGGGTCTTTAAATTTAACATACTTATGAATATATGGAGAATCAACGATTCAGAGACTTTCAGGTCTCATAGCAAGCAAGTTATCTCTCATAAATTGTGTAAGCGTTCAGTAGCCTTCATTTTCTCACATTAGTTAACTTGTAAAAATATGATCAATATTCAGTAGGATTAATAAAACGCCGCCTAAGGCCCCTCGCTTGTGTGGAATCGTATGTGGACGCTATCAAAAATTTCCATACTACAGTAAAGTAAACATTGAAAGCTGTATAAATTTCAGTGCTTTATTAGCTAAAGTCAGTTTTTCATAAAAACTGGCCTTTGAATGGAACTTAAGTTGGAAAATCTTTTAGTAGTACACTTCTTCATATAATTTCAAACGATTTTATCTTCATAATACCATACGTACACATCATACTGCGAGTAATAGTATCACAAGACGTACACCAGAGTTTATTTAGATCAGTAAATAGAATTCAAAAGGAAATTGCACTAAGTATACTTTCATCAGTTTTATATATATATATATATATATATATATATATATATATATATATAGTTTATTTTCTGTAAAAATGCCAGGAAAATTAATCTGTGTTTTAGCACTTCAATATCTTTGGTTTTGTTAATTAGGCTTTTCTCATATAATGTGTGTAAAGAAAATATTTGATACATGTGATCATCTGTTGGTATATAAGGCTGAACCTCTTAACCTATATTGGCTGATGAGCTCCTATGTGGAGGCCTACATACTCACAAACATTCTTGATGTTGTATTTATCTTGGCGACTAGCAGTGGTATTTGGGACGCACGTTGCATTCTCTTTCAAACTCGTCAACTGGACATACCTGCACCCCAGTGAGTGATGTTATTTTTCACTGAAACTCGAACCTCGCATCCATCGTTTAATTTCTAAAACGTTATCCACTAGGCTACTGGTGCACGAGAACAACCTCTTGTTCAAGAGGTATCAGTTGTTGTTTGAATTGACCCTTTTGTGGAGATGGGAAATTTTAAGTAGGCCATGTAAATAGTGGTTCTCATGCTCCAGTGGCTTAGTGGACAACGTTTTGGTGTTTGATGCTATGGATACTAGGTTCGAATCCAAGAGAGGACATTATCACTCACTGGGGTACAGGTACATCCAACCGAGGTGTTCCAACTAGAACAAATCACACATATTGCTGGTCATCAGGATGAAGTTATCTTTACGTTGTAAATATGTTGTTATGAATGAACGTACATCTATGTAGATACATTTAGACTAGATATTCTGTAAGCAAATGTTTATCTGTATACTTGTTTGGAATTTTATAGTTTAATTTATGACATTTTTTTTCGATTGTTGTGATTCTGTTAATGTTGTATACAAAACACTGTGAGTATTCTTAATATACTCATCTTATCTGTTAAGAAAATATTCATTATTATGCAAAGTACACTGGGATACAAGTAAAAGCAGAGTAATTTCATTAGTTATTTAACTTGATCATAAGTAATACTATAGTAATTACGAAATTTTACTGGATGATTAATGTAAATGCTTGAAATCAATACAGACGAGAAAATATTAATACTATTATTATTGTTACTACCAATGACTGAGAATATTCTTTTGTTTATCATTTTCTTGCATTCAGATACCGAACTGAATATCATACTCATGTTATTAATAAAATTTACTATATGCACTAAAGAATAAAGATCGTTTCTACGATTTGATTATTATACAAGAAACTTTGAGCATATGAATCACATAAATTCATTTCAGCATTTTAGTTTAGTTAGAACTAAAGTGTTAAAAGGCCAGAAGATTGACTTTAATTGCTCACCTACAAAATTCTATTCAAAATGTATACAGATTATAAATTCATCTGATAGACAAATAGATGATCTATCAGTTTGCCGGGAGATTTCCTTGATAAACAGAAGTTTCTATCAACTCCCATTTGCATTTGAACTACAATAGTGGTTATTACGACTTAATTTTGTAATAAAATTCACCGGTTTTATGTTATTTTTATTTCTCAAACTTATATCATGCAAGATAAACAACAGATTGTACACTTTTTTTTAAAGTTAATACCTTTTGAACTGTTGACTATGCAGAATAATTTGATAAAGAAAAAGGAAATTTTATTCAAAATAAACTGCTTAACAATATGAGCGGTGTTCAGCCGCTTGCGATGATCTAGATAACGACATTCTCAGATCGGTGATGGTGATTTTCAATTACTCAGATTAATTCATAATACTATTGCTTCAAAGACCACACACTTTGCGATCAAAGTTATAATTACAGTGAAATAGTTGAGAAACTATACACGCGCGGTTAAAAATGTCAACATGGAGTGTGTAACTACCAGTAATAGACTAATTTAATACCTTATTATTATTTTAATTGTCACTTGAGTTCCTAGTGGAAAATAAAGATTCAGTAGAACGTCTCCATTCCACTCTCTTCTCTACACTCTTCTCAACTTCACTCCACCACTCCCAAGAAGCATTCATTTCTTCCTCACATGATATTCTATATGTCACACTCACCTACACACTCAACTCGTCGTTTCCGATTCCGGTTCAACTGGACGGACTGGCCTGGTGCGTGATATCCCCAATTGGCCTTCTCACTGTATGTCCAACCCAATCCATCTCCACTACCTCCTCCATATCTGTCGAGTCGTAGGTTCTTGATTGATTCGTTGCCAGACCAGAGTGAGTTCCATGTTGCACACTATTTCTGGCCTTCTCATATCATCTCCAGTTTCGAGTCAGCTCAGGCAGCTCGTTGGCAGCTCGTAGGCAGCTGTTCACGATGTATTTCTGCAATTTGTTGCAAATGCTTTACGTGACACACCAAGTCTCTCAACCATATAGAAACACTGAGTTGACCGACTTAGTCTTGAAAATATGGATGTTGTTCACACTTTGTGCTGAGTGCAGTGAAGTGAAGTGAAGTGTAGTGTAGTGTAGTGCAGTAGATCTCCACACTGATCTCAAATTGATGAAAGCCTGTCTCGCTTCTCCCATCCAGCATGCTTTGCCATCCTCATCTGTGCCTGTGCCACCTGTAGTTGGAACGATGCTGCCCTGCTTACCTGGTGTGTGAAGGAGACTACCTCCTCTACACTTCTCCCGTTCATGATGATTGATGCTTGTAGTTGATGTTGTTGTTGGTTGGATATCCTCATCACCGCCATCTTCTCCACATTCACTCTGAGTCCTGTTTTCGCTTCCCTCACTCTGTCAACTTCTTAGTATTTGCCCAGAGATCTTCGAGTTTGTGCAACGAGACATCAGACATAAATCATCATCATCATCATCATCATCGTCGTCGGCGAAATCCAAATCTTCTCCTGGGGTGTCTTCCTTCATCAGTCCAGCCAGCATATACCCACCTTCTCGCTCATCACGGTTTGTCACATGATCCAGTTAAGTGGACCACACTCAGGAAGATGATTGGTGATAGTAGGTGGCAGCATTGCCTTACTCCTTCCTGTCTTCACTTCAAAGGCATCACTGAGCTTTGCATTGTGTATGACTTGGTATGTGGTGTCGTCATATGGCTGTTGCCTGAGGTTGATTTGTGTTTGTGTGACTAAAACCGTGGTGTTGAAGCAACAACTGGGGAATTAGATTTTGGGTCGACTGTGTGGAAGTCGTTTTCAGAGTGGATGAATTTGAGGTGGTGAGTTGACTGGCATTCTATACTGTGTTCTATGATGATGCATAGTGTGGCATTGCAGTTTGATCGGCACATGAATTGTTGTTGTTGAAGGTAGGCAGTTAACCAGCCTGTTTGTGTGATAATTTTGAATGGAGAGCATCTTTTACTCTCTGCAGGATGATGTAGTTTAATATTTTGCTCGGAGTGGGTTGCAACTTTTGGTGGTATCTGTGAGGAATTCTTTCTATGTTTTTTGAATAATCACCCTGATTTAAGTCTATCGATATAATTTCGTTGTCGCTTTAACTCAAATTTTGCGCTCACCACTTAGTTTGTTTGCAAAGTTATCTATTCATGAAAGACACCACTTTTATAAAAGGCATAACAATTATTTGAAATTAATGTTTTCCAGCTGTTTACTTTTCGAAGCTTATTTGATGCACATATGCAGGCGAAAATTAGTACTGGCCAGTGATTTGAGTGAAACACGTTTATCTAGGTGAAACAATAATGTAACGAAATGCTTAAGCTTTTAGAATGCAAAGCATGAGATTGATGATCTCCATCTCTGAGTTCC